GCCAAATTTCCAAAAAGATACACTTAGTAGTTTCGCTTAAAATGCAAGTTTTGTGAAAATTCGTAAATTTGGTATTTCTTGAAAACCAGTTTTTGAATCATTCTGAAAATTTGGATATAAGCTTAATTTTTGATTCTCTACAACTTTTCCATTGACACCAAAATGGGTTTTTTTTGAAGAAAGTGCTCAAACTGTCACATATGACAATAGTCCGCAGTTTTCAATTCACCAACCCAATATATTGTTAAAATCTAGTTAAAATCTATGTTACATAGATTCATTTTTTCATTTCATTTAGGGAAAAGGAACCAAATCTGTAGAGAAAAGGACTTTCCCTTAAACTTTATAAATTTAAATCTTCAAGAAAACCTAAACCCTTCACGTTTGTTCTTTGCTTGCTCACCAAAACTTCAAGTTTCTGCAAAATTGTGGACCTTCTCAAGTAAGGGGTATGATTTCCGAAAACAAAACAATGCACTGAAGCATGGGAAATGCGAGAGGGCATCTAGGTGTTCTGAAAGGGAAAAGGATAAGGTAGAGAGGGGAGAGGTTCATCGGTCGATCAACCACTCCTCTTTCTATATTGTTGGAAGAAAAAAAGAAGGGGAACAACGTGTGTGAGACAAAACTTCTCACTCTCCTCCTCTTCTTTGTCCATCCATTTCCCTAGAGGGTCCCACCCTCACTCCCCTCTCGTCTCTGTTTCACATCCACCACCATCCGAAATTACATCTCCCGCCCGGCCACCTGAGCGTTTCCTTCTTGATTCCGCGAGAACACGCTTCACTCAAAAACGTGACCTTTCTTTAGACTTGAATTTAAACCATCTCTGTACTTTGTATTCTATCTGATCTACTCTTTTAACCTCTTTCAAGAGTTACTTTTTTGAAAACTATTCTCTATCGATAATTTGCAATTATTATTTCAAATCTATAACTCTTTAACTAGCCACAATTTATTTCCAAACCAAAGCCTAAATCATTTCTTTGTTTTTGAAAAGTTTTCATCTCCACTTCATGAGTTTCAAGTCTCAAACTATTTCTTTTTACTAATCCCAGCTTCAAGATTTTTCTCTTTTTCAGCTCTAACTTGTTTATGTCAATTTTATAGCAATAACTTGATGCAACTGCAAAAACAAAAAAAACTTTGAGGAAAGTTTGAGGCGATGAGTGAAACGGTGAAGGAAGCAGCTGTTTAGGACTCGGGTCGAGATCGGTTCATGACCTGAAAGAAAAGAGAATTGAGATATATGAAAGAATGGAAGAGAGGGGAGTGAGCAGGTTTGGGGGTGAGGGGTAAAGGGAAAGAGTTACCCATCCCAAGGGGTGGTTGTAACACGTATGGGAGAAGAAGATGCACCCAAAACCTCTAACCCTCGTTTGCCATCCTTGCAATTCATTGATATGTCTAAACTATCATTGTTTACTTGCACTTGGTGTTAGCATATTTCCATTTGGAAGGAGAAGACAATGATAGTCTAATTCTTTAGCACTTGTAAATCTATTGAATGCTTGAATGCTTGAATGCTTGAATGCTTGATTGCTTCAACTTGCATTACTTTACCTGAGCTCCACAAGTAACTATGGTCTTGATAAATGTGATCAGAATGGTTAATGTTTTGAAAAAAATTGAGAGAGATTTCGGAATGAGAAATGAAATATCTTTGAGTTACGAGATGGGAAGAGATCTCACCTGGATGGAAGGGAGCGATTCAACGAGATGGGAGTTCCTTTTGGCCCTCAAAAAAAGAGAAATAGATAGATTCATCGAGGATTTTATGGAGGGATCTTTCCCTCCCCTTTCACTCATTCTCTCCATCTGCTTGGTTTCGTTTTTTTCCTTCTTGTTCTCACGGGAAACTCCCCGAGGACCTTTTATAGTTGGAAGGGGGAAAAAAAAGAAGTCCCTTCCACCAGTTAGCTCTCCCTTTTTTTCATCTCTTCTCTTTTTTTCAGCCACAAATTTCCCACTTTGTCACTGAGAGATTCCCCGGATTCATTCCAAATTATCTTATAAGTATCTTTTTTTAGATCAACTTTTCAGATCAACTTTTTAGATCAACTTTTCAGATGAATCCATCCTGTATTTCATTCAATTTAAAAGTACAACTTTTTCTGTTACAAAAATATTTCAACGTTCAGCCTCATTGTTTAGTATTGTATTCATTTTACCAAACTTGTGCTTTTGATTTGATTTCAAATTTGGATTCGCATTGAAATTCGAGTTTAGCTTCTGAAACCAAATCGGAAATAATCTAGAGAATTTGAAAGCATTACAACAATGTCTGAACAACTACTTTCAGTTGAACACAACAACTAGTCGAACAACTACTTTCAGTTGAGTATCAAGCCGATCGAATGCCCACTCCATAACAATCTTTTTGTTGAACATTCAATCAATTGAAATATTTCAAAGTTTTCCTTTCACATTCATTGATCTGTAAATGAAAACTTTCGACTTTTCAGCTTTCCCTTTTCGTCATTTCCCCACTCTACAATGCAAAATTTGATAGCCGGAAAGACGAAGAAAAAATTTTGAAATCGATGGGAAATACAGCCACATATTTTTCCTTAATTCTTTTATTTTTATTCTTTCATAAAGGTGAGTTTTAAATAGGAAAATCAAATTAAAATGAGCCTTTGATTAGGTGATACAGATGAGAATAGCAATAGCACAGGTTAAAGTTTAAACAAATAAAAAAGAGCTTTTTGTGATTGAGGGAAAGGTTCAGTTCAACGTCAGTGTCAGTTCAAAACTTTTTATTTGAAAGTTGTTTAATCAAAAAATCCCATTTCAGCAGCTTGTTACGGTAGTTGTCTTCACGTGAGATCTTCATGTCTTCGATCGATCAATTGTCGACCGTTTTTAGAGAAATTTCAACAAACATGTGGATACAATGTTGATCGTGAGTTGTTTATCTGGTAATTTGTTTATCTGTTTATCTATTTAACATGTAAAAACTCATCTAATCTTAGAGCTTTATAATTTACCCACTTTTTGCATCTTTTTCCCTTAATTTTCTAATGATTGTTTACTCAAATCAATCTTTTTTTTTAAAATATTATTTGAAAAACTAAAAGTATTTTCTTTAAAATTATATCAAAAGTTAACATTAATATAATAATAATAATAATATCACTAAAAAGTTACAGATTCCTTTGGTTATTACAATTTGCGCGAAAATTTCATTTCCATTTTAGGCTGCACGGGTTCATCACCATCTGACTGTGTCCACACGTTGCGACAACTTCGACACATTTTTGATCGTGACAGTTGCATTTGTTATGAAGCACTTGGTAACTTTTTACAGATTCCTTTACAAGTTATTACAATTTATTAGTATTATTTAGCATAATATTAATTGTTAAATTTTGATATAGCTTTAAAGAAAATACTTTAGTTTTTCAAATAATATTTTTTAAAAGTTGTCTTTTGTAGAACAAGTAGTCACAAAGAATTCTTGAAACTCTTTTGCACATACGATTTTGATTTAAAGTAATGATTACTTTTGAAATCTCAGGCAGTCAAGCACAATGTGAATGGTTTCGTCAAGCGATGTACAGTAATCCGTGTGAGAAACGATTGCTAGATATGGGTGAAGAGAGAAGAATCAATCGACCTGATGAATATTATCATTATGGTGAGAACAGTTTTGAGATTATCAAATGAAAAATGATTAAAGGATTAGCAAAAGAAGAGAAAAGAATCATTGTGGTGAATGAGAATGGAGTGACTGAAGCATCAACGCAAAAGAGGACAACACGATCACCGATACAAGAAAGGATAAGGGAATGGAAAAGACAACTGAGTGGAGGTGAGGGGAAATGGGAAATCATTGTCGATGAGAGATGAGTTCAGATTTGGAGACGAAAGCCGCTATCAAGAAGTTGACGTGCAATGAGGCACTGTATGAGGTTTGGAGAGCTAATACTGAATGGATCGTTTTCAAATTTTACAGACTTATGTAATTAAATAAGCTCTATCTTTTTTGATTTTAGCATCAAAATAGGTTTGTATTAAAGAAAGTGTCCAAATTGCGACTTCAGCATCAGAGCAGTTTTCGGTGCTCACCTTTGCGCCTTTGAAAATCCACAAAAATAACTACTTTCAAGAACTTCCCAAAAGCCATTTTGCAGAGAAAAAAATTAAAGTTTTAATTGGTTTTGTTGGTTTTGTTGATTTAACTACCGTATTAGAAAATAGGTTTATAGGTGTGTCTTCGACATGTCTCTTGCAAACAACTCTGGCGCCTCTTTCGAGAGAATTGCGATGTTGATGGAGAGAATAATTGTCGAATGCAACAAAGGTAGGATACCGTAACTTTAGTGACTTTATAAAGAATTCTTTTCTTTCTAAACTTTTTTCAAACTCCCGTACTCTTGTTTAGGGATCTTTGCTGGCAATCATTCGAGGGTCTCTCATGGACGGGTCTTGGATCGTGTCATTGTAATGGTAATCATTCGGATTGTCATTGGATACGTTTACATACAAATTACAACAAATGCATATGTGAGTTTCGAAGTGAGCAAACAGAGAATTCAAGAGATTTTAGATGAGATCTCACAGAGTGGCGAGTTTGCGGCTTTCGTTGGAGTTGAGGGGAGACCCGGCCCACCCATCAAGTAACATATTTTGAGCGAAAACTTTCGTTACAAGTCAATTTTGGTTATCTAAGATCAATATCTTATATAACCTATAAATTTGACGAAGAAATATCTCTTGATTTCAGCCCCCCAGCCCCAATCCCTCCCCCGTCAGCTCCACCACGAAAGGGACTCAGCTCAGAAGATGGATCATCACAACCACAAGTTGATGTCTCTTACGAAGAAAGAACCGATACACCACTGCAGAATGCTCAAGTTTAGTGACTAAGAGAATTTGCGAAAATAATCATTCAGACAATCTCGTACAGTTGGTCTTGGCAGGCACAAAATACACCGACAAGAGTGTTGCCGATAGATCCAACAACATCGACGACGACAACGACTACGACTACAACAATGAGAACAACAACAACAACAACGACGACGACAACGACGGCAACAATGGTTAGCTTTACCTGTACAGTCATGAATTCATTCAGAACTTAAATAGCTTGTTAAACTTAAAATCTTCAGCCAATTCCGACAACATTAGCTTCACCAATTATCCGTCCTGTCAACACGATTCCTCGGTTTGTTTTTTGGAAAAACTGCTTTGATTTTTATTCTTTCTAGCGTCCATCCCCAGCCGACTGTTCAAGAAGTTACGAAAGATTCCCGAAATTACAACAATAACAATCATGATCGAACGAGAACGACTGCATCGACAAATGTTCGTCCCATTCTTCTAGTTACCAGACTTTCATCCAGACTAGTTTCAGATTCGCGCAAAAGTCTCAAAATCGTGGGAAAGAGATGAACAGGATGAGAGAAAGTGGATGACAACAACTCCAAAAATTCCTGATGGACCTCGACAAACGTTTGTCGAGTTTCGACCACAGGAACGATTGCTGCGTGGGTGATTGGGAATCTTTTGTGAGACTGGTTTCGTTTAAAGTTATGACATCGACATATATTATTTATTAGCTTGAATCTTTTTCCAAATCTCTGAAATTGAATCTCGTTGAGAATGTTGACTCTTGTCTATTCTTGAATCCAGTAGACAGAAACTCGGAAGTAGAGAAAGAAGCATATTTTTCGAATCACTTGCCAAAAAAGCCAAGACCTAAGTTTTTGGTGGTGCGCTTTTTGGGCTTCTCTTTGGCAAGAACTCATCATCATTTCCGTGAGGGAGGCCACTCCCATCCATCGCCCATTCCCTTTGTCTACTCCCACCTCTCCCCCTCATTCTCCGCACTCCTCCCATTCCTCTACCTGAATCCTCTTTTCAAAAGTTCCCATCTTTGGAGCGGCATTATCTCCAAAAATGAACACTCTCTAGAATGTATTCTTTGCAAGCTCTTTCACTGATCATTTCGATTTTCACCGTTGCAAAAGCTCAAGGTATTTACTGATTTAATAATGAAATCTAGGATTTGATTTGATAATGATACATTATCAAATAATACATAAGCATGTTAATGAACATAAGTACATAAGCTTACACATAAGCATTTTAATGAAGTTCATATGGTGTAAGATTCACAAGTTTCAAAGTCTCCAAACAATCATTTCTAGGTTCTTCATGTCCGGATGCGATGCAACGCTGTGAAGCCGATGGTGGATGTCGATGGCATGTGGCTGAGTTGAGTGTTCGGTGTCGATCGGACACTTGCAAGAGACAGGAATGTTCGATGGTATGTGTAGAATACAATTGTAACGAATCTGCTTTTTTCCAGAGAAAAAGCAAGCCATCATCTGCTTTGACTAATACATAAGATGTTGTTCTTTAGGCTCTGCAACGATTCGCTTCATATGTGCCACGGCCACTCTCCGAGCCGCTCATGTTTTGTCATTGTGCGGCACACGATGAGCGATGTCTTCAACAACAGGTACCTCATTAAATACTGTACTGGCAAGAGATTGTACAATTAATCAAAACAAATTCGAATTCTCAAAAATTTTTTCGAGTCCTTTAAATGTTATAAAAGCCCAATTGCTTTAGACTTTTTAGCTTTTTAGCAAAAAAAAATTTCCTTAAAAGCCCCAGGTATTGTTAAGAAGAGAAAAACGGGGTCTTTTCCACTCAAAAAACTTCTTATCCATCTTTTTTTTCCTTTCTTTCTTTCACATAACCGCCACTTTACTCCATTGATTCTCGGCTTTACTCTAAAGTGAAAGAAAAGGGTCAAATATTTCTTTTTCTAGGTTCATAAAGGAGAATTTTTCATTTTTCCGGGAAAAACTTTAACAAAAACAAATTTGCAATATGCTTTAACAAGCCTTTTACAAAGATTTTTGTACAGAAATCTTGAAAAATAGGGATTAGTTTGAGATTTTACGATTTAAATTAAATTTAAACTTTAAATAACAGTAAACAGATTAAATTTGTCTAATAGTTTATGGTTTAAAATTAAATACAATACATGAATCAAAGCCTAAACATCAGGAGTTGTTCAATTCACTAGTAATACAGTATTGGACAATGAAATATCATATTTGAAAAAACGATCGTCACTTTCGCGCGTCTGTAACTCCCTTGTCTTTGAGTTTAAACTATTAGTGTTATACATTTTCTGAAAGCGCTTTTCAAGGGCTACACAGTGGTAATATTAATATTTAGAAATACGGTAAAGACAAGGGAGTTACAGACGTGCGAAAGTGACGATCGTTTTTCAAAGATGATATTTCATTGTCCAGTAGTGTATCTCTAGGGCAAGCTAATCAATTCGAAAAGGTTGACAATTGTCTTTCAATGTTTAGATTCTGCCAAGAAGTTCAAGAAGTTTAACAAAAAATATAGAACTTTTTCTAGTCGACCTTTTTCTTTTTAGTGGCTCAAAAGTTTTTCCCTTTATTATTTTGCCCACTCAACCGCAAATTGCCAATTTTGAGTTTCTTTAGCCCTAAAAATTTTCGTTTCCAAGCTGTGTTCAAATTTTTTGATTGAAATCTTTTTCATCTCAAAGTTCGTCATTGCAAAATAACACAACCATTTTTAGGGGTGAAGATTTGTCGGCGTTTGTTGGCACTAAATTTTTCACAATGTCGAGTGTTATGAAAAAAAAAGAAAAGAAGGGGAAAAACGGGTCTTTTGTTGTTGGAAAGGACAAAAAAAACGTGCACTCGGAAATGTTGAAGAGAAAAAAAAGGGAAATATTTCAAAAAATCGAAATATTTCATTCAAAAATGAAAGAAATGATTGCATTTTATTTAACAACATCAAAATTGGGTATTGAAACACTTCAAATTCAAAGGCATTTACAGCTTCGATTCAAAGCTGAAGATAAAGCCAGTTGCGCAAACTTTTCAATGCTGTCAAATCTTAGAAAAATCTTATAAAACTCAATGTCGGAAACTCAAACTCACGCCGACAACACTCGACATTGTGAAATGTCGAGTGTTATGAAGTTTTGAGCCGTTTGAGCCGACAACCTTCACCAAACTTCAATTTAAAATCTTATAAATCTTATTCAAACTTACCTACAATGTTACCAGTTTTTTTTGAGCTAATTTCTTCTAGTATCTTCTAGTATCTTAAAATTTACAAAGAAAACAGTCAGACAAGTCAGACAAAACAAAATAAAAACGTTTCTTATAAGAATATTTGCGCAACTGACTTTATCTTCACCTTTGAATCGAAGCTGTAAATGCCTTTGAATTTGAAGTGTTGCAATACCCAATTTTGACCCAATTTTGATCCAATTTTGATCCAATTTTGATTCAATTTTAAAACATAGACCTTGTTGTTTTTCTATCAATTTATAAATATATAAATATCGAAACATTTGAGAGTCTTTTCTACCCGAAATGCTTGTATATGCCGGCGGAAACCCCACGAACTTGTTCACAATTGGTTATCGAGTGTTCGATGTCTGTTCGCTGCAAGTAAGCTCATGAAAAATCAATCAATAACTTTCTTAATAACTTAAAAACAATCAAATTCTATTGTAAGTGTTGTATGACGAAAGATTTAGCCAATTGCGCACGTCGATCGCGAGTGTTTGTCCGGTTACAAAAGGCATTTGCGCAACGGATAATTTAGATCATTGCAGGTGCGTTCAAGAGATTGAATATAGTTCTTAAATTTTGTTTTTTTGTTTTTTTTTGGGATTTATTAGATTATTAGAAAGATATACATAGAACGATATGCATAGAACGATATACAGAAAGATATACAGAAAATATACAGAAAGATATACGGAAAGATATACAGAAAGATATACGGAAAGATATACGGAAAGATATACATAGAAAGATATACAGATTATTAGAAAGATATCTTAGATTTTCCTAATGACAATTTCCATTTCATTTCATTTACCATTTCATTTCAGACAAACCCTTCTCTATTCCCGTGGTTCACTTCTCGAAGCTCCATGCTTTTGTGCAATCTCTGATATTGAATGTTTGAAGCATCAAAACGCAATGATACCTAACAATCCCTGTATAGGTGAGTGAAAGTTTTTGAGTTTTCCATAGATTAGAAGAAGATTTTCATTTTTCTAGAAAAAGCGATGATGGATTATTCGAAATTGATGGGATACATGTCACCATCAAATAAAATGTACACAGAAACAAATCGAGTGATTGTGCAAGAAAAAGAGGAAAGAAATCTACAGGTAAATGGGGAAATGAAGGTTTTAAAAGAAATTTCGAGTTTTAGGATGAATTTGAAATGGCGAGGAGACGAAATGAAACAAATCGACAAGTGAAATTGAAACCGACAAAGGGTTCGTCTTTAAGAATCAAACAGATTTGTTTAACGGTTAAAGTTAGAAAGAAATCAGTAAGAATGGGGAATCTCGATTAAATTTGGTTTTAGCACCACCGAGAACCACAGCAAAAGTGATGAGTAAAGAAGAGGAAGAAGAAAAAGAAAAAGAAGAAGAAGAAGAAGAAGAAGAAGAAGAAATGGCTGTACAAAAACCACCAACACAACATCCACACAGGTTTGATTGAAGAGATAAACGCTCTTGTTTAAAATACTTTCTAAAAGTTGGAAGCTTTCGAAATCTACCGTAATCTTGTCTAATCATTCAACTTTTCAGAAAAGCTCCTAAAACCACACCCGCTTTGGAGCTGTTTGAGGAGATTTATGTGACAAAAGCCGATACTCAACTTGATCCAACGAATATCGATTGGATAAAAAATAAGCATAATGTAAGGAAAATATAGAAGAAAATCAAATAAAATGTTTAGCTCTGGAAACCAATCGTGCAAGAAAAAGAAGAAGAGAAACGAGAAAATGAAATGAATGATCGGGAAAAGGAAAGAGAAAAACAACGATTGAGAACACAACAAAGATTGGAACAGATGAGAGCGAATGAAAATAAGGTGAGGAGGAGGAGAAGGAGCAAGTATTCAGTCATAGGCTACTGTAAAGTCTCTCTTTTTGACTCTACAATATCTCATTTATTTTTTCCGAGCAGGTGGCAGCTCTAAAGCGATGTTTACCGTAACTAAACGTTCAGCTTATGAACCTTCTTTAGATGCTAACATTGATCGTTAATCTATCCGGGTTATGGTAACATTTATAGCAGAGACGGGTTATGGTAGTGAGACGCGATTTAGAGCGGTATTCTGTACTTTAGGCTAGTCGGTGCTCGGGAAAAATTACAAGTTACTGTACAAAGCTAAGAGACTAGAACTTACTCTAGTCTCTTGGCTAGAGTAAGCTCTAGTCTTACTCTAGCCAAGAGTAAGCTCTAGTCTTACTCTAGCCAAGAGTAAGCTCTAGTCTTACTCTAGCCAAGAGTAAGCTCTAGTCTTACTCTAGCCAAGAGTAAGCTCTAGTCTTACTCTGGCCAAGAGTAAGCTCTAGTCTTACTCTGGCCAAGAGTAAGCTCTAGTCTTACTCTAGCCAAGAGTAAGCTCTAGTCTTACTCTAGCCAAGAGTAAGCTCTAGTCTTACTCTAGCCAAGAGTAAGCTCTAGTCTTACTCTAGCCAAGAGTAAGCTCTAGTCTTACTCTAGCCAAGAGTAAGCTCTAGAGCTTACTCGATTTAAATAATCCATCTAGATACAGAATAAAAGTTCTAGAAGAAAGCTCAAAATGAGGAGATCGATCGGAAGAAAAAAGACGATGAGAGCGAGAATTCGATGGACACTTTTCTCAAGCAGAAATCAGGTTCAATTCTTGAGTGCTTAAAGCTTTTCTAAAAAATATTTAGACAAAGATAAACGAGTGAAAGAAAAAGGAGAACCAGTGAAAGGAAGTGATGATGAAGAGGTTGTTGTCAAGGATGCTGAGTCAGTAAAAAGATTTCATTTTAAATCTCGGAAACTTTCCAGAAAACTTCAAAAAACGATCGTTCGCCAGAAATCTCAACGATCCACCACAGCGGCGCCAATACTCAACCATCTATTCACGGTGAGTTTTTTCGTTTCCCGATTTAGTTCTTCGATTGGATGCCCGAAGAAATGTTGTCTAATGTCTAAAGCTCTAATTTTAGTAAAGATAAGAATTAGGAAAAGATTTCCTTCGATTTAAATGATAAAAATGAAAATTCAGAGCTCTGAAATGCCTCCATGGGTCTCATCAACTGCAACAACTCAACCGAAACCCACCGAATACATGACAATAGCTGCGCCCGTTAATGAAGGTGATATAAATCGATTTTTTATTATAGATATAAATATATTTCTGCAACGCTTAAACAAAGATTTATTGGAAGAAATTTCAGATAAATGCTCGATAAAGGACGCGAATGGAAAAGAGCTTTATGTGCACGTTGGATCGATTATAAGAGTTAGCTATTACCGTATTTTTTCGAATAGAAGACCGGGTAAAGAGTATCATCATGCTTAAAAGTGATTTTCAATGTCTAAAAAAAGATTAAGCTTTTATTGAAAGCCTTTTTGTATAAGCTTTTATTGAAAGCTTTCAGAGAAATCTCGATTGGGCTGGTCGGTGTTCATCGTGGTGTGAATGCGTGAATGTCGAGGAAATGATTTGTGAGCGATTACCGTGTCACGCGGATATCCCATGCGAGGCACCATTGACAAATATGGGTCTGAAAGAAGAGCCAAAATCAATAGATTTCGATTTGTAGATTTCGGTGAACGGCTTTATCTACAAGGACGAGGGGCATGCATGTGTGAGAGTGGAGTTTTTGTGAGTTTACACAAAGCTTTTTTTTTTGACTTTAAACTGGTTACCGTAAATACTGCAATAGTACCCCACCCCCATTAATGACGGTGCGGGAGTGTTGCGTGGTCTAGCTTTGAACGAGTTTTTCTCGACACTGGTTTATGCTACAATGCGCGCTTAGGTATCAAAAAATTGCCCTGAATTTCAGCTATTTTTTGATACCAAAGACACATTTTTTGAAAGTACGGGCGCTTTGAAAAAAATGAAATACTAAAAAACTTTTGCGACTACGCGACTGTACGAGAGGGGTGGGGTACTATTACAGTGTTTACGGTAAGTTATTAGATGTTACATTAATCCATAAACAACCCTAAACGTCCGAATGAACTAAAACAAAATTCTTAAACCAATTAAACCCGAATCCCATCCTATAAAACGTTTAAATTTATGGGAAAACTTGAGTGATTACGGGAGGGACACGCTTTAGAGCCAATCTCATAGATTTATTAACTATTCAAGTACTATTACAGTATTTACGGTATGTATTAAAGCTAGAAAAGCTATTTAAAGCTATTTACGGTATTTATTAAAGCTAGAAATCATTTTCAAAACTTCAATATAGGTATGCGATACTCCGGAACAATTGCCGGAACTTCAATCGGGACTTTATATTCTTGCAGGATATTCATTGGCCGATCTTGAGATGCTTCGGAAGGAAATACCGCAAGAGGTTTGTTTAAATCGAAGAAATTTCAATTCTCGTATATTTTTAAGCTTTTAAAAAAAATGACAATAACATTTTAGGTATTGAGTCGAGCTGGTCTCCTTTCAACAGACGTCGGTAAAGATATCGCATCACAATTACAATGGGCATTGGAAAGAAGATTGCCTGAGGTGAAATGATCAGTAGTTAATTAACAATTTCTTTTCAGGAAATGAAGTGTCGAATCGTTATGTTAGAAAAGTATTCGTATGATGGAAATGCTTTTTATCAAATCGAATATTTTGGGAATAATATTTTCCAAAATGATACAAGAAATATTTGGAGATCTGATGGAATGGAGAAGGTAAGGGAAATCATTAAGAAATCGTCTGAGTTCGAGTTCTCATTGGTAGATACAATAAAATGAATAGCGCCAATTGATTTCCTGACCGGGAAAACCCCAGGGTACAAATTTACAAGAGAATATCTTTTTATACCATCTATAAAGCAAAAGGGAAATCCCTGTTCTTTGTGCGCGCGCACAATCGTTCGCTTTCTGGCACACGCTCCAGATAGATAGGTTTACCTCTTCTAAACCAAAACCATTTTTCCACCTGCAATGACTTCTCGAATTCAGATGTGCTCTCCATACGTGCGTCAATTGGTTGAGGGATTTGCACTGAATGAAAGCCCGCGTTTCCAATTGATTCTTTCATCCGTCAGGCAGTTGAGATTGGTGGATTTGTTGGACGGTTTGCCGGCAATAAATTCATCATCATCTTCCCATATTTTCTTTCTTTCTTTAGTGACTCTTTTTGTGTCACAATTTCTATAATTTGAATGCAACTATCAATGCAACAAACTTCTCTAGTCTATTCAAAATTTTTATGGGTATCATCAGGTTATCCGCCTTCTTTTTTTCCAAAGAAAACCACCCGTCGATCAAGTTTGCGTTTTCTAAAAACGTGTCAAAAGTTTGACTCTAGTTTTACTCAATCTACCTCTATTTTGTCTGCTTCTATGAAAGTCTAAAGCATGGCCCAGCTACCGTAACCTAGATCTATATGATTTGATCTTTGGCTTGTCTTTGACTGGTTACAGTAATCTTTACGAACTATTTGGGTTACTGTAACATCCGGTTACAGATTACGGTAGACTGAGTGATGCTTTAAAGCCCCTACCCGAGTCTACATTCAAAAAAGCTTTCGAATACCTAAATTAGAAAAATTTAAGGCAGGATTACGGTAGTTTTTGGAAATTTAGAAAACGACACTTTTTAGAAAAGCCAATGCAATAGCCAATTAAACAAAATGACTGAAAAGACTGAATGCTCCTTGCCAATTCAAACCAAACACATTCCCCTTTCATTTTACAATTTCTTTTTCATTTTTTTCATTTTCTTTTTAATCCAAAATTCAAATCAATTTCACTTATATTATGTGAGAAACCGAGTGCGACGATTTTTCAAGTTTTCTAGTCATTTTCCCCTTTTTTTGTTGCCATAGATTATTGTGATTCTTTACTGCCATTTGTGCCTTTTTTTCCCTTTTGCATTTGGCCTAATCATAGATCATTTGTTGTTAACATTTGAGAGAAATAGAAAAGGAAAAAGTATATTCATTGAGTAATAAAGAGTAGAATTCTTAAAAATAAATACAGTGAAGAAGCTTTGATCGAGAAAGTTTTTAGAAGTTTTTAGTCGTTTCAACATTTCAGAGCAAAATCAGAGCCGGCTTTTTTTGTCCAATATCGATCTAATATAGCAAATTATGAGCCAAACTGCAAAATGTTTTCGATTTGCTGATTTTCGATCGGATTAACACTGGCTTGATATACTTGCTTCTAAAGAAAACTTTTTCAAGGAGGATTCGAAGTATGATCAGAATTTTGACTGTCACATTACCCACTGGGCCATCGAGAGACCTACTGTTACAGTATACTGTTCTTATAACAGCCACAGCGAGTTCTCAGATCCACTAGATCTAGGTTTATCATCGGATACAGGACTTATTCTATACATTAAATCGGATCTTATTTAAAAATCCATCTTGACTATTGTTAGGTTATTCCGGTCACTGGTTTCTTTAGCTTAACTTATTGTTAATAGCTTTTGTTTGCTTGCTTTGTTAATAGCTGTTAATGGCTTTGTTAATAGCTGTTAATAGCTTTTGGCTTTCAAATGAATTTGACTCAGCTGTTTAAACCCGTAAATTGCTAAGCTAAACAAATTGCTCTATGTTAATCTTTCCCTAGCAGGAGTTTCCTCAAAGTTCACCATTTCAAAGCTTGACAAGTCGAGAGGTATTCGGGGAAAGTCTCGATTGACTGAAAATGCGGAGATCTCTTCTAGATCCCTTTGTGAAGGAAAGAAGAATGACCGGTGAGTGAGGAGTGGTCTATTCGGGGGATAATTATCTCTTTTCTCTTCATCCAATCCATCTAAAACCATTCTCTTGTTACCAGAATCCTCTTCTCAATTGTCTCTTTTTCCTTTTTTTTCAATTCGATCGGTTTCTTCATCTCATGAAACCTTTTCTTCCTCTTATTCTTTTTTCAGGTTTTACCCCATTTGAATCTCCTTTTCAACTACATATTCTTCAATAACTAGCTCTACCGTACTCTATTCTTTATTTTAAAAGGAGAATTCTTGATTCGAAATAATCTGAAATGATTCTGAACTCCTAAATATTTTAATCATGTTTCCTTTTATCAATTTCCTCACTTTGATTTTATTTTACGAGATTGTTGCCGAGGAAAGTGGTCAGTTTTGGCTTTCAAATGAATTTGACTCAGCTCTTTAAACCCGTAAATTGCTAAACTAAACAAATTGCTCTACCGTATGCCAATCTGTCTCATGTTAGGTATTTGGGTTTCACTATCACTGAATTTCTTAAGATTAAGGCTCTAATGGTAATTGATACTAGCGCACATATTACCAACCCAAGCACTTTTCTCTAATCCGCTTTCCCTTTAAGATCTATGTTTCGGCAAGAACACGACCACTTTCCTTCGCTCAGAAGGTATGCAATTAGTCGAATTTCCCATTGAAACAATCGACAACTCGACCCTCAATCAATGCGCTGAGGCTTGTATTAAAAAAGCAAAGGTTTTTTTGAATCAGAAATGAATAAAAGCAATGAATTTCCCTAGAGTTCTCCATGCGCTTCATTCATCTATGATCCAATGAAACAGAAATGTTCACTTCATGAAGTAAACGGGCAACCATTTGGTGAGGGTAAAACATGATTCCTTCTCAATGCCAATTCCACAGGCGCCTCAATTCTTGCTCGAGCAACCCATGGCACCTCGACATCATTCTTTCAACACATTTGTGTTCAGAGTTTGTTTTAACTTTCAACTAAATTTCTTAGAGGACATAACATTTAAACTATCTTTATCTTTATCTTTCTTATATTTAGAAGAAGCTCTTTGTTCAACTCCATATGCTTTCGAGCGCTATCCGCAACAAGTTCTATTCGGTCATGCAATGGAGGTGATTGGAAAAGATTGGAAAAGAAAATTGTAGTGATTATTGTTGTTTCAGATATAATCTTTATTACAGAAATAATAGTTGATTCAGTGGTTTGATTGGGGAGAGTAGAGACACTCCACGGTACATACGGCAGCTCGTTCACATTGCTTTTATACGGAACTCAGGCGTTCGTCTCGTCTTGTACACAATGGAGTTGAACGGATAGCGACGCATATTAAATCTCGCATAATAGGCGTTCGTCCACATAGATGTCTAGCTGGCCATTTCCATATGTGGCTATCTCGATCACGAGATCGTCACCACAAAAATATTCTGTAAAATCTAGATTCAACTCATTTCTTGTTACATCTAGAGCTCGTATGATAAAAGAATTTCGAATAAATGAACTGAAATTCTTTTATCTTAAAAACAAATTGCATATAGGTTCAACAAACGGGCGGTCTCTCAGAATGTCTCTCGATTTGTCTCACATCCGATAGTCTTCTCAATGTGCCTTGTCGATCGGGTGAGTCAAATGGAAATCCATCTTTCAGAACTTAAAAGAATAAGTATTAAGTAGAAGCTTGAGGGTAATTTCACAAATTCTATAGAAATTTGCAGTGATGTACTACTACGAGACGGGTGAATGCATTATGAATCGAGAGACTCGCGGAGATCATCCAGATCTTTTCGTCTCCGCTCCACACGATGCAATTGTCGATTATTTTGAGAACAATTGTCACAATGGTTTGGACAATAACTTTAAAGGAAATGAGTAATTTTAGCTGAATGCCAAGACGGATCAACTGTGCATTGGATTCGATCCGAGGAATTTCAAATCTCTCCTCAAAAAGATGTGATCGTCGAGGCGGAGAGTCAAGAGGAATGTCGACAAATCTGCAACGTAATTGGATTTCAAGTTTTTGAGGAATTCTATTTTTTTCAGCAAAACCAAGTCGCTGGCGAGAAATTCCCGTGTCGGGGTTTCGTCTATTCATCCACGCAAAAAGAGTGTCATTTGTCGGCGGAAAGTGGCTTCAATCGAAGAGTGAAACAAGGGGATTTGAGTCCGATCAATGGTGGAGAATATTATGAGAAAAATTGTTTACAATGTGAGTGATTGGAAAGTGTTGTTATGGATGTTTTCAAGGCTAAATCAGGTCAAGTCCGAAGCTAGTCCTGACCAGAGATGTTTCCCTGACCAGAGAACCCTAGGGCAAACCATGCCAGGTCAGCTGGTAGTTTTCTCGGCCTTGTTTTGACTAATAAAGTTAAAATTTCTTTAGAAAACCTTGGAATATATTGCAGTTTTTTACATTTTACAAAAAAACTAAAAAACCAAGGCTGGGTGATGAACCTGGGAATCGAACCCGGCTCGTGTGAGCTGTAGACAACTGCGCTCCTGACTGCACCACGGCGACAATAGTCCTGAGCAAGATAAACTGGATGTTAGCCGGGTTTTTCGTCTGATTTGGAATAAAATTGGGAATTTTTCAGCCGATTTGCTATGCGGAGAAGCGGCTTTCGAACAAGTGGCGAATAAACGCTTGAACGGATCATCATTCGTTGAAAGATCACCATCGGTTCGACGATGTCTTGAACATTGTTTGAAGCAAGGCGACAAATGTGCATCGATTTCTTACGATTACGATAAGGTTTCTCATTTAACCATAATTCTTAATGAATCTTTCTAGGAAGAGTGCTGGTCGAGTCCCGACTCTCGTCTCACTCAACCCGATCAATATGACACTGTGGAGAATGTCGATTATTTTGATAAAGTTTGCGATAATGTCCCCAATCCAAAAGGGAAATCGAAACGGGGATATCACGGTAAAAAGCCATCTTTCAATCTTAGCACAAAAGTTCTAGGAATAGCGACAGATGTGCGGAATGACGAAGATCCACCAGTCACACCGACTCCACTCCCAGATTTGGATGATGATGGGAAAGATCAAATACCCACATCATTCCCAATTCTTTCACTTAATCTAAGTCGACATCGGACACGACTATTTGAGGCATCAACTTTCCCTAAACTTATTGAAACGAGTGAGGAAACGAATGAGGAAACGATTCATTATGACGATCATGTAAGGATTATTTGAATTATTTAAATAATAGTATATAGAAAATCAATAAAAACATCTATACGTCAACGATTTCATCTGAGGAGTTCACAAATACGATGAATGTACTTGACGATCTTGAGCCAAGTCGAGAATTTGTAGCGGCAGATGATCCGAATGCTGTGAAAACAAGTAACAACTCTAGCTTTTGAATCCGATAATAGACTATAGACGTAAAAGTTGAAGCCAGATGATAAATTATTGGATAATCTGTAAATTGATCGAACTTTGAGAACAATTTGCAGAGCTTCGAACCGAGTGTCGTCTCTCGGAGATCAGCGTCTCGCTTACATTCAATCGACCCACATCTGGCGCTATTTTCATAAAGGTTTGACAAAACTTTGTACTAAAGTATTTCTTCTGATTGGAAATCTGATTTTTGATCTATAAAGATCTTTACATTTACTTCAGAAAATTCCAGGATCACTTCTCAACTTGCCGTTTTGAATTCCGAGAAAACGACTATGCTGTTTTATCAATTCCCTATCCGAATCGAGATGATGAAAATCCGAAATGTCCTGGATTTGAATTGGTATTTATCCATCCAATCTATTATCAATCAATTATCAATCAATCCAACATTTTAATCCCCATTCTTAGGAGCCAGACATTTGGTCATTTGTGGTCGTTGTTCAAAAGAATCAAATGGAAGTTCCATCTTTGATGACAGCCGCCGACAAAACATTCAATGTCACCTGTGATTACTCCAATGTCGATTGGCATTCATCCGACGCGTACGTTCTTATCACTATCGTAGAACTAAAGTGTGTTTTCTCAAAAAGTGTCAACTTTGAAAGCTATTTTAATCTTGACTTAAATTCCATCCCGCAAACTCCTGATACCTCAATTGAATCACTTGCCTCTTAAACCAAGATTTTCTCATCAGTCACAATTCAGAGCAGCAACCACAGCCGCTTCCTCGAGTTCGGATCTTCCTGATGATCTCATTGATGTCAGCGGAGAGTTTGTCTGCTCAAAAAATCTTTTTCAATCAATTTCTATAGAGATTCAACTCTATACACATCAACACGAAGCACTCCATCCGAGAAAATCCGAATGTTGATCCTGAAAGACGGACAAACTGTTTCCGCTGTGCAATTGGGGGAACTTGTAGAATTGAAATGGGTGAACAGATTTTGAGAGGAATATCATTAAAAAAGATCTACAGGAAATCACTGATCGTCGTCAAGGAGTCGGGTATTTTGTGAGTGATTGTGTGGCAGAGAGGATGGGCGGCCTTCCACCATCACCACAACCATTGTCCATCATTCAACACGGGTTTGTGATTCCAGAGACAGACCAGCTCAAGATCGAGATTAAAAGCCGTAGCATTTAGATGAAAATTGATATACTAAAATATATTTTAAAGCTCTAGAATTGCATCTAAATTTAGCTGTCCTGATTCAAAAGTGGTGAATCGTTTGATGGAGGGGATTGTCGAGCAACTACCTGATGGATTTAGTGCAAAGATGAAGGTAAATACGGGGGAAAGAGAGGAAAGTGTTCTGGTAACTCATTAGCCTAACAAATTAACTCATTAGCTAACTCATTAGCCTAACAAATTTTACTTACTAATTTACACTTACATTTATATTACTAAATTTTACAGGTATTTCGTTTTGATGGATCAAGAAGGGTTCGTTTAAGATGCACGATTGATGTTTGTGTTGATGAATGTCCACCGGTAATTCGGAAATCTGGGAAAAATAAAATTGTTTGCCATTTCCAGGTTGAATGTGATGGTTTCGATTCGGAAATAAAAAGCTACGGGAAAAGAAAGAAAAGACAAACGATGGGTGAATTGTCGACGATGATGAGGAGGTTGAAACCGAATTTTCGATTGGATGACACGACGATGAAAACGACGACTACGGTAAAGAGGGTTGAGATGATTGCGTTCAGCTCGTTGCCGTGTTGTTGCTGAAAAATCGTATCAGTTATCAGTACTCGATAACTTGTTGAACTTTGTTAACTTTTGGTTAGTGAACATTTGATACGCCCCCTTCTCATTAGGAATCTAACTTTGAGCTTAAATATCTTGGTGTTGGGGTGTTCAATTTAAATATACTTGATATCATTGAACGCGCCAGGTCTTTCTCTGTCGATTGATACAAAAGCTAGTTAAATTGAACAGCCCAACACCAAGAAATTTGAGCTCAAAGTTGAATTGTTAATGGGAAAGGGGGTGGGGTTTTCAATTTTTTCTACAACCTTTAAATTCTTATTAATTATTAAATTCTATCTTATCCTGATTAGAGCCGATTAGGCGGGAAAAGCGAAAACAGTATATTTGTGTAAAATTATAACCTTACTCTTTTTAAAAAGTCAATTTTCAACACAATTCACAATACACAAAAAATGAGGATGTAAGTGTAAATTTGTTTAGCCTAATAAGTTGCCAAAACTCTTTCCCCCGTATTTACCTTCATCTTTGCACTGAATCCATCAGGTAGTTGCTCGACAATCCCCTCCATCAAACGATTCACCACTTTTGAATCAGGACAGCTAAATTTAGATGCAACTCTAGAGCTTTCAAATGTACTTTAGTATATCAATTTTCATCTAAAAGCTACGGCTTTTAATCCCGATCTTGAGCTGGTCTGTCTCTGGAATCACAAACCCGTGTTGAATGATGAACAATGTGATGGTTTCGATTCGGAAATAAAAAGCTTAAAGTGGAAAAAGCATCAAAAAAAGCAAAAATGTTCTTCACATTGACTCCAAATTCTCCAATTTTAATAGAAAATTTGAAAGATATTTTAGTATTTTAGAAAAATGTTAACTATAAGTCCGGGAGCGCGACCATAAATTTACTTTCCTTATCAAGATTTTGTTATTTAGTTCTAACATATTATATACTGCAATAGTACCCCAGCCCCATAATGACGGTGCGGAGTGTTGCGTAGTCTAGCTTTGAACGACTTTTTCTCGACACTAGTTTATGCTACAATGCGCGTTTAGGTATCAAAAAATAGCTGAAATTCAGGGCTATTTTTTGATACCAAAGACACATTTTTTGAAAGTACGGGCGCTTTGAAAAAAATGAAATACTAAAAAAACTTTTGCGACTACGCGACTGTACGAGGGGGTGTGGTACTATTACAGTATTTACGGTATGTATTTATGTAAGAGTTTTCCTGAGGAAATCACTGTAGATTTTCAAAGCTGCTCTATTTTCAGAGAGTGCCCAAATTCACGGAAATGATGATGGTCGAAGAAGAGAAACGAAAAACCACGAACACAATAACAGGGATCTTGACTGTGATCGATCCACCATTGTATGATGAAGATGGAAATCCCCAACAAGCACATTCACCTAATAATCAACCATGTAATTTACCAAGTGATTTCTCAAAAATCAGTATTTCCCAGTGTTTCTATCGGGATCTCATCAAGTGATTTGCGTGTTTCGCCCGATTTTCATCTCCGTTTCACTTCTTCTTTTCCTATTATTCATCATTCAAACACTCATCATTGGGAGATTTGTGTCTCGACACATTTTACAAAGAACAGGTAATATTGTCTTAATGAAAAATCTAGTCTTTGAATGAATGAATTGAAAATAATGACTTCAAAAATTGAAAATATTGAAAATCACAATAATTAGAGTGAGAAAGGAATGAACTTTTGAAGAAGCGAATAAAATAAAAGCGAATAAAATAAAAGCAAATAAAATAAAAGCAAATAAAGCGAATATAAATTATACGATAAATCATTAAATATGGAATCATTTTTATGTATAATATTTATTAAATAAATAAGTTTAAAGTTTAAATGCTTTTAAGCTCAACTATTGCTATTTTCGCCGCGATAAATCCCCTTTATCGGCTACGGAAAACGGCGATTTTCGGCGATTTTTTAGCTTTTAAGCTTTTAAGCTTGTTTTGTATATAATTTCAGAAGAATCTCTTTATGGAAGCTCAACCTCGTGTAATCGTTCCTCGCAAAGTGGTCTTTTGATTGGAGACACGGATTCGACACGGAGTATCTCACCGCTTGTTTTCCCGAAAACCCCGCAAATTCAACCACCGCCGAGACCTGGTATTAATTGGGAAAATTCCAATCCGAACCTGATTCCATCTCCATTTTCTCAGCCATCTCTTGGTCAATTGCTACAAGCAGAAAATCCCAATTTCTATTTCTAAACAAAGTTTCAGAAAAATTGGCCAAGAAACGGCTGAGAAAGAGTGCTAAATATTTTCTTCGCAAGCAATACGCTTTCGAAAAGATAGGGAATTGTGAAGCGAACGTAATCTCTAGATCTTTTACTCACAATTAGCAGAATGAAGACTTGGTAGCTTCACAAATGATTCACCTTTTAGAAAACGTTTCTACTGTAATCCATTTTTATTCTATGCTAACTTTAGCCGATAACCATGCCCAGTTTCAGCAAAGCGTCGACTCGATTGTCTCGATGAGCGTTTCCTGAATATCCCTTCTTCATCACCATTCCCCCCTCGTCCTCCACTTCCTTTACATACAGATATTCATGGTTACACTGTGCCAATTAGACCAAGGTTTTGAATTTATCGAATTCGATAAGAAAACTATTTTAGGCATTCCTGGGAACTCGACTCAAGTTTATAGAAGATTTGCAATAAAGATTTGAGATTTATTTGACTTTTTTTACACTGTCAGCAATCAAAACTGATTACAAGAGTGTACTAAATACAGAAAACAAAAAGATTAATGTTTTTAAATGAATCCAGAAAAGAATCCGGATTTCCCGATTGGCATCGTGTTTTTTTTTTGTGAGATTCAATAAGAAACAGGAAATGGAAAGATGGATCGGAAAAGAGAGATCGAACTTCTTTCAAAAGGATGAGATTTTCGGGATGGATATTATTGGAAAATAAAAGGAAAGAAGCGGAAACAGGTCCTCCATTCATTTACTCTCCTCTCCCCGCCACTCATTTCAGCCACATCATGCTCATCTCTGGCTTCTTCATTTTATAACCTTGTTTTCTCATTTAATAATACTGTTTTCAAAAGTAAAGTGTGTTCCTTTTGACTTTGAACTTTTTAAAAGAAATATTTTAGAAAATGAATTCTTTTCTATTTATGCTATCATTTCTGTTGATGCTTTCAATTGTTTGTGGAAGAGCCATTCTCGATGATGCAATTCATTCTGTAAGAAAACAGGATTCCAACTCGAATCGAGAAATCATTCCAACGGTGAGTTGACATCAATTTTTATGGGTTTTTTTGTTTTTTTTTCTTTTCTGCACAAGCCTTGGCTTTGAGATCTACTTCAAAGATTTTGTTCATCCTTTTCTCCTTCACAACAAGTTGATCCTTCACAACAAGTTCACAACACAGTGATGTCTTTACTAAAAAATGCCAACTTTTGAAAGCTACTGTAATCCCTAGTTTTATCTAATCTATTTTGATCTGATTCTATTAGGGTGGTGCAAAAGAAGCTGCCGATTTGACGGTAAATTCAAAAAAAGATGGCGTTCTATGGTGGCATGATCACAATGGAATATTTTCGCAAGATCTCGAGCAAATCGGCATGGATCGGCCTGAATAACGTCCCTCAGCTTGGCTTCGTTCACGACTTCTGGCCTCGAACCGTACTCGTAATCTTCCAAAGTCTCGTCTCCCTCTCGGAATCGTTGAAACCAAGTCTGACACTGCCTGAGAGACAAACTGCCATCTCCGAAAGCAGCACAGAGAGAACGATGCGATTCGGCAGCAGACTTTCCAATCTTGAAGTTAAACAGTAATACTGCTCGTAGCACAAACTTTTGCTTGACCATGATCTAAATAAAAAATATAAGCATTTTTAAATAAAATAAACAACAACCAAGAAATTCAAATGTCGAAATAAATAGCAAATAAATATGTGAAAAAAACATAAAAAACTAATGCCGTTAGCATCGCTCGTTTCTGATACCGTATTTCTTCGAATAGAAGACCGGGTAAAGAGTATGATCGTGTACTCCTGCGTAGCAGCCCTTTTTAAAATTTCTTTTCTGCATAAAAGCTTTCAATGAAGTGCTATAGGGCTGGAAAATGACTCAAAAATACCACATGAGCTAACAGATTTTTGAGCCATTTTCCAGCTCTATAGTACTTGATTGAAAGCTTTTATGTAAAAAAGAAATTTTAAAAAGGGCTGCTACGCAGGAGTACGCGATCATACTCTTTACCCGGTCTTCTATTCGAAGAAATACGGTAAATGACAGCTGATACCCATCGGCAGTTTCTTTTGCACCACCCTAATATGAGATATACCGAAAGAAAGAAATGAAAAGCAAAAAGCTTTGATCTGATTAGAGATAGCTTTTCAAAAGTTTAGTTTTAGAAAATTGATTTGAGAGATTCACTATTATGATAAAGGGTTAGATGTTAGATAAAAAGTTGGATTGATGTATTCAGAATGATCGTCTAAAACGATCAACAGCTGAGGAATTGGGAAAGAAAAGGAGACGTCGATTGAATCCACCACCAAATCTCCGTTTGCGATCACGAATGATGGCCGCGTTGAATAATCGAATTCACCGAAAAGAATCCACTCTCCAGAAATTGCCTTAATTCATTTATTTCTTTCACATTTTTTTATTTTCATTTTTGTGTTTAATAAACTTATTGAAAGGTTTATATAGCCCGAAAATGGAGATGATCAGAATGGAGAAGATCAAGATCAAGATCAAGAGAAAACGACAACAGAAATGATGACAACAAGTAGAGAAAAGATTCAATGAATGAGATTTGGGAAATGAGAAATCAAATAGGATTCGTTTTGCTGAAGAAGAGGAAACGAACGGGTCAAAATGGGGGAAATGAGGTGGTGATCGTCTCATCCACCACACAAATGCCCAGGAAACATTTCGAGGTTCATTGGAAATTCATTGGAAATTGAAAATTTGTAGATTTAAGATTTACATTAATCAATTGAATAAGAGAATTCGATCAGAAATTGAACTTTTTATTGTTTTTATTTTATTGCAGAGTCCCTTAGCTAGCTGTAAGCTGTCCAAAAATTGACGTGACTTTTGAAAGCTCAAGGTTTCAAGAAGAAACTACTCAAGTTTTCAAGAAGAAACTACTCAAGCTCAATGCAAACTACTCAAGATTTTATAGACTAAGAAGAATAATATGTTTAGGTCCCAAAAGCAAAGAACTATGGCCTTCAGACAGGTGTCCAAACGCATCTCATTGACTCAAATGTTTGTTCTCTTTGAATACTAAATTTGTTTTAAATACAGGCTTTCTAAAAAGTGATGAGTACTTAAATAATGATTGATTTAATCATTATTTAAGTACTCATCACTTTAACAGATTTGTTGATTTAACAGATTCATAGCTAAAACCGATTTATCTTTATAGAATGACTGACTATGAGTTTTTTTAAAGATATTAATTACCAGGGAAAGATAATAGACAACGTCGTCGCGGTGCCGATTCGGATTCGTTCACCGAAGAGAAAGATTGCTCACTTAACACCGCAAAAGTAAGCAATTCTGTTTTCTTCTATAGTTAGAATGATTACTACAGAAAAAGTTATTAAAAAACAATAGAAAAAGATAAAAATATCCATTACAAGTGTACAAGTACAATGTACTTTAGTGTACAAGTGACTGAGGTGAAAAACGAGGCCGACGAGCGAATCTCTGTCCATTTTCAAGCATACCCATTTTCTGTTTAACTCAAAGAAAAGGATAAAATTTTATTCACCGAATCTTTTTTTGACTTTTTTTACACGTACGAACAAAACTCTATACACCGGAAGAAAGAAAAAAAAGAAAGAAACAGAAAGAATCACCTTTTGACTGAATAAAAAGATTTGATAATAATAAACATGCGTATGATACAAATTGACTTTATCATTGGGGAAAGTTAGTGTAAAATAGAAAAATGGATACGGTATTGGTTGAATAGTTGAATAGAAAGAAACAGAAAGAATCACTTTTTGACTGAATAAAAAGATTTGATAATACCGTATTTCTTCGAATAGAAGACCGGGTAAAGAGTATCATCGCGTACTCCTACGTAGCAGCCCTTTTTAAAATTTCTTTTCTGCATAAAAGCTTTCAATCAAGTGCTATAGAGCTGGAAAGTGGCTCAAAAATCTGTTAACTCATGTGGCATTTTTGAGTCATTTTCCAGCCCTATAGCACTTCATTGAAAGCTTTTATGCAGAAAATAAATTTTAAAAAGGGCTGCTACGCAGGAGTACGCGATGATACTCTTTACCCGGTCTCCTATTCGAAGAAATACGGTAATAAACATGCGTATGATACAAATTGACTTTATCATTGGGAAAAGTTAGTGTAAAATAGAAAAATGGATACGGTAATTGGTTGAATAGTTTCTTTTGCACTAAAATTTTTGATGAGAAAGTCTAAAAACGAAAAAAAACTTGTGCAAGAACGAAGATCAACAAAATTTGGTTCACAAAACTTGAATCTAAGTGTTTGTTATGTGAAAACTTTCAAAAGTTTTACGTAGTAGGAAATAATTGATCGTAACTTTCTGGATCAAAACCGCCACGATCGAAAAATTGCAACATTCGCAGTTGCTCTCGTCCACGATGAGATGCCAACTGGAAAACGGGTTTTCATTGAATGTTTACCGTATTCTCTCTAATAGTAGTGCGCACTACTATTTTCACTTTTCTACTACTTTTTAACCCCCTCCTGGACCGCAATACTATTAGAGAGTGCACTACTATTAAAGAGTGCACTCTCTAATAGTATTAAAGAGTACTATTAAAGAGTGCACTATTATTAGAGAGAATACGGTATATATTTTTATTGACTTTAACATGCAAAATAGATTTGTTTTTTTGGAAATACTTTAAGCTAAAAACGATAAACACACCATTTCTAGAACACTCAATATTTTTTTAGAGGTCGTTTGGTTTCAGAAATGGCATATCCCGTGCGGATTCGTTTACATTTTTATATCAAGAAGTTTAAAGTATATCAAGAAGTTGTAAAATTTGAACAATACAAATAAATGTATTCAACTCTTATTTTTGTACGCAAGAATTGTATAAAAGCCTAACAGCTTTAAAAAAGCCTAACAGCTTTTTTTGTACTTACTGATAAAGTCCCACAAAACATCAACAGCTCGCCGATTCGTTGCGCCACATTTGGATTATTTTGCGAAATGTAGTGATGATGGAGACCCAGTAAAACCTGAAATTTATCGATTAACATTAGATTATTTGACTTGATTTTTAGTTAAAAGTTAGATATTTGTGAAAAAGCTCACCTCATCTCTCAATTTTTCGACCAAAATGCGTTCCTCCATTTCGAGAAAAGTCCCTTCTCGGGCTGAACAATGAATTAGAACTTTTCCTTGATATTCTCAATTACACAATAAACTGATCAACTTGATCGCAGCCACTTCAGTTGTTGATGGTTTAAGGCGATCAAGTGACGTCACGATCTCTTCTCTCAGCCAGCGGAATAACGGTTGAAGAAGACTGAAAAGGGAAGTTCATTTATTCAATAATTCTTGAAAAAAAAAACTATTCAGTTATTGTTTTGCAATGAAATAATATGTTGAAATTTGTAGTTGTTAAGAACTAGTTGTTAAGTTGTTCTAAACCCGAAATACCTGTGATGCGCTTGGATTGGCGGGGTGATGAGCACTCGGATCGGTTCAGGTATCGAATCAAAACTAAAAATAGCTTTGAAAGGGTTTTTATATATAGATAATTACTTTGTGAGGTAGCACGAGAGATCACCGTAGAACCTAAATAAAATCTTCAATTGAATAGTTGAATATTCAACTTTAAAGAAGGCATTTGCTTTAAACAAAGAAAATTCATTCTTATTCATTTCTTTATTTGGGGTAGGCTAGTTTCCGCAACTTTTTTTTGCGCAACAGGGTCATTTGCGCAACTGGGTCGTTTGCGCAACTCGGCATAACTTTCTTCTAAGTGGGCTAATCTTTATGATTTTGGTCTCATTTTGTAAATCTCAATAAGTGCAACAAAATGAGACCAAAATCATAAAGATTAGCCCACTTAGAAGAAAGTTATGCCGAGTTGCGCAAATGACCCAGTTGCGTAAAAAAAATTGCGGAAACTAGCCTACCCCCTTTATTTTTTAGACGAATCCAAAACTATTACTTTATTATTTTAGATACTAGAAACAAAAATATTACAATAAAAAGAAAAAAAACGTGAACTATTTTTATATATTATGTATATGTATATAATGGAGGTAAATTTTTTTTTTAATTTAGTACCAAACATTCTCCAAGAAAGGAATCCGTTGAGTGAGAAGACCGTGCTCGAGAATTGTGTGCTTCAGACAAAATTGAGAGATCAAACCTTTCTGAAAAGGTTATTTTTGAAGACATGGCTTTCTATAAAATGGGTTTGCCAACTTTCTTTAAAATGACTTTCTTGCCTCTAGTTTTATCCAATCTAGGAACAAGTACAGTAAAATGCAAATTTGGATTGCTATACATGGGCGGGAAACGATCAAAACGATCAAAACAGCTTTCATTTTGTCCCACCTTTGATTCGGGATTGAGTGTCGAGAGTGGGACGAGCAGACTGACCCATTCACGAATCAATATCAAATCCACTTTTAACGCATCACCGATTGAGGCATTCAACGAGAGACGAGATAACAACACTTCCAACTTAATTTTGAGAACATTGGTTTAAAGAAAAAGACTAATGGATTCAAAAGCTCACAACAGCTTTTGAGACACATTAGCGACGACGGTATTTTGTCGCGTACAGTCGTGTAGTCGTTACTGTTTTACTGATAACTTGGTGAACATTCAAAAATACTCATTCTATTACACTAATAATAATACTATTAATAAACTATTATAGTCATTTGATAGCCTTGAATCTCCTCTTGAAGACTAGTACAAAGTTATCAGAGCACTTTCCGCCAAATAAATAACAAAATCCTTAAAAACTTGACACCAAAAAAAATCGTGATTAGAACCGCACAGGTTTTTCAAGGAGTTGAGAAAGAAATCTAATCAAACTCACCGGCGGAATCGCATAGAAATCTTCGGGATTATCAGCTGGTGTGTGTCCATGTGCAAGTGATAGACGAGCTCTCATTACAATGTCTCCATCACGGACGGATTGAAGGAAACCCAAGGCGGCTTGAGCTCGTTGCGTCTGGAAGGAAAAAAAATCGGTTTTATGATAGTCTTGCTTTCTTTTCTACCCAATCAATTCCTTCTCCCTTGCCGAACTTGCATTTGATTAATAATTGGCTTTGATATTAATAATTGGCTTTTCCAAAATGTGCTTTGTGATCAGTGATCAGCTTTGTGCTTTGTGTAAACTAGTGGGATAAATCGAAATCAGAAAGTAACCGGTAAACTTTGATTTTTCTCTAACCTGTCCCGCATCGGGTGAATACGCATTTGTTGTCGATGGCCCAGACGAGCTACCGGGTGATGCGAGTGGTGAAATCTCTGTCGGACTTGCACTTCCACTCCGAGATCTCGGTGATCGTCGCCGTTTCCCGATCGCGTCTCTGCATGGATGTAAAGCTAGAAAAAATGATATTCCATTGTTTCTATTTTCTTCACCTTTTTCCGTCATCCCAATATCAAAACATCTTTGTAAACGGCAACTTCGGCAGATTCGTTTTTGATTGACTCCTGAAATCGGTTCAATCATAAGTCAAACAGTTTCCCCCCAACCTTTCTCCAATTTGCAACTCCCGTCATATTTACATTTTGGTTGATTTCGTTTCAGAACAATCTGAACTAAATAATATTAGGAAAATTTTCAAAAACAAACCCTCCGAAAGAATGTTTTACATCCAAGACAGCTCTGCACTCCGTAGTGATGTCCTGTATTTGTACCACGACCACAAACCAGACATGGCACAGTTCCCGATGTGCCTAAAAATTTAAATTAATATTGAAAGCCATGTAAACATACCGGGTTCATCAGAGAATTCCTCCTTTTCCACCTTGAAGTGTTGTCCATCGAACATTGTGTTTATTGTCGACATCATCGCAACATTTAGCTCTGAAATGGGTCGATAAAATAACTTTGATCAGTGATGTATTTATTAAAAAGAGATTAGAAAAGAAAGAGATAGTCAAAAAGTCGATACAGGGCGAGCGAGAGCAACAAACGGTGCCATTTCACGTTTTGGTCACATGGCAATCGTTTTTTTGTCGAAAACTGGGAAAAGATTAGGGAAAATGTGGAGAAAATGAGAAAAGGGAAAAGAAGAGATGGATGGAAAGAGAAGAAGGAAATGAACCCCGTGGAAAGAGCTAGGAAACACCTGGGATCTCTCTTTGGAAAGGAGTGGGGACAGGGACGGGAGCCGGGGACAGAGCCAGAGCACAGCCCACCCAAAGTCACCCCGTCATTCACCCCCCACCTCTTTTCACCCCCAATTTCTCAGCTTCTCAACTCTTTCTTTTCCCTTTTCCCCACTCTCCAAAAATCACTTGTTCCCTAAATTTTTTAAGACTGAAGAATAAGAGAAACGCTTTTTCTCCACTTTCCCCTTTTTGGTCTCATTATTTGTCGACAAAATTGGAGGTTGGGGAGGGGACTTCTTGGTTTTTGAAATAGACAACGAAAAAAAGGAAACAAGGTGATTATTGACGAATGCTTTGTAAGGAAGAAACACTCGAGGCTGGAAAACAAGAAAGAATAATAAAATGCTGAACTACAAGTTGTGAAATTGCGAATTACAAGTACAAGTTGAGTTTTTAAATATTTTGGCAAAGTAAAGAGTACAGTAAAATCCGTTATAACTCACAAGGTATATCACAAATTAGAATTTTGTAAAAATTTGCATTAAACTTGAATTCTGTGCATTAAATGCCTTATATACAACAGTTCAAATATTGGGTTGATGGAAAAGTCCTTTCCGATTTTTTGGGAAAGTACCTTAAATTTGTCCAATTTTGACGTTTTATAGCTCTATAGGTTTATAGCTTTATAGCTTTATAGCCCAAAAAATCGGAAAGAACTTTTCCATCAACCCAATACCTTGCTGGATGAATTTACGAGGGTTAGAACGAGGTTAAAAATTGGAAGACCAGCACCAAGTCAAGTGAAATACCAGTAACTATGAATTTTGACAAGGAAGGAAATGTTTTGTAAGACTTTGAAAAGAAATATGATTACGAATCCATATAAAAGAGATTGCGCAAATCTTTGAGAACAATGATCTTCTTTGTAGTAATTGGAAGCTTTTGTTGAAGATAATCCAAGAAAAAAAAGGAAAAAAGAAAATATTGAAAAGATCAGTAAGTTTGTTTGCCGGTGAAATGCTTCCACACCGCCTGGGAATTTGAAATTAGTTTCCACGAGAAAAGAAAGAGAAAAGAGAATAGAAATGAGGGAGGGAATGAGGACGAGTAAATAGGGAATGAAAAAAGGGGAAAAGTGGGAAGTGATAGAGATGTAGAAAAGGGAAACACGTGAAGGGGGGTTGCTTACAAGTGTTACCCACTTTCACTAGGGGAAACTTCAAAAATCAGTTGAGTTGGGAACGTGTGAATGCTGATTATGAGTGGAGAGTGATGTGGTAGAAAGCAGCGCGTGTAGAAGCTCTTACAAAGTTACCGGATTATCTTCTTTCACGCTTCAAGATTCAAGATCAAGAAGTTGAAAAACTACTGAATGAAAGGTAGCATTGAGACGTGTTTTATAATAGGCAAAGAAATAAATCCTTCAAGATAGGTAACTTATAACTTGATAATTAGTAAATAGGCTGAATCATCAACTCCATCAAGTCTTTATAAACAAAGCTATTTGTACTATTTGTACGTATTTGAAGCGGGGTAAAATGCAAAGTGTAAAAGCAGAGCAAAGCTATCATTAGTTCAAAAGAAAATAGCTATGCAAAATATTTAAATATATTGTATTATACTAGATAAATAACTGTGCACGAGCTTTAGCACATCCTTTAAATGTCCTTTAAATTCTATTTTGCGACACAGGCAGAGGAAGAGTTTATCAGATAAAATCTGTCAGATATGATACTGTACTGTGCCATCTTCATCTTCGTCTTGTTTCTAAAATTTATTTGCAAATATTTAGATATTTAGTTGACAAATCGTTCCACAACTTGTGTCTCTTTTTTCCACAAAAGTTAAGAGTTTTCAGGGATTTGAGTTTGTTTGAGAGAGACGGGGGAAGAGTTGATGTGATCATTCAGAGGGGACTCTTAATCCCCAAACTCAAGGCCATCTTTGGTGGATTCTCCCTCAATAGAACTCTTTGAGACTATTTGAGACTCTTTCACTTGAGAAATTTCAATATTTAGACTATTGCACAATAAGAGTTTTTCTTTAGTAGTGACCTGAACTTACTTCTTGTATTTGTCTTGCATCTCGTTTGCAATACCATCTTGGAATTTGATTGGTGTAGAATTTCAGTTGAACCCAGTTCAGTTTTGGATCGTGACTCCAAGCCGTTTAGAATACCGTAATTCATGTAGCTTATTTCTCTTGACTTCTGTGCTTTCTAAAACGTGTCAACTTTCGAAAGCTACCGTCTTTTAGAAGAACCATTTAGCTACCGACCGACCTTGCCTTTAGAAGCAGATTACGATAGTTATCGAGGAATTAACACGCTTTAGAAAATCATTTTCTCAAAAACTACCGTAGTTTCCGCTAGGCAAGGTTACGGTAGTTTTACGAAAGTTGTCCTGTTTTACAAAACGTAGTAGTTGAAATGAACACAACTTTGATGACAAAGAGGTCAAAATTTGATCGAAATTGGGTGCAAATTGAGACTAATCCATAAGGCCACAGTGAGTCTATTAATGATTTACAAATACCCGATCACCCCCACTCATCACCCTTACTTTTTTGTGTATTTGTAAGTGCGCGGGCTGGCCGATTGCCAGTCCATCCCCCCTCTCCCCATCTCTGTCTCTCCCCCTCAAACCCCAACAAAGGCCATCCTCCGCTCCTCTTTTTCAAAAAAATATTGCTCCCCTCCAATTGCCCAAATAAACAACGTTGTTTTTCGCATTCTGAAGGATTCTATTCGTTTTTTCTCCAAGGTTAGCTAAAAGAATAGTGTTTCAACTGCTCTCATACTCAAGATTGATCTTTGAATGTAAGTTAGATAATGAACTTTCCCGTTGATAGATCAAAATAAGTCTAGATCCAGTACTGATTCGTAGATTTGGGATATCTTAATCTTCTGGCCAAGCTTTTGCTTCTTAATCGAACTAGTACCAAAACGAAACCATTAAATTTTCTGACTTTCCTGTTTTTGAACCTTTCTTTTGCTGTTATTTTCTCATTTTGCGCTAAACACTATCGATAAGTGAGTCTATCAACAATGTGTGTGCGTATTGTCAAAGATTTGAGTGGCACCAATTGTGTGTGGGAATGGGTGTGCCGCAGATGACAGCTGACAGTCAATCCAATAAAAGAAGAAGCAGAGAAGGAGTCGAGATCGGGATGGTGTCCATCTCACAAGACACCAATAGATCCTTGTGGCTGCTGCTATGGAGGGTTTATCCACTCCCACTCTCCATTTCATTTCAAAACAGATTTCCCCTTTCTGTTCTCATTTTGCATAAACTAATTTTAGAAACAAGAATATTACCAGTTAAACTTGACCTTTTGGTTTAAAGTTTCGGTTTTGGCTTTAAATTTTTCGCCGCACAAAACGGCGACAAATTTAACCTACTCTCCCTCTCAGATATTAAATTTTGAGTATTTAACTTTTCGAAGTTAGGTGAGAAATTTCGAAAGGGGAAAGCCTAATCTATTCAACTAACAGAGAGAGATAATGTTTACTTTTAACCCATTCGCATCTTCGCAAATTTTTTTTTTCTTGTTAGTGTTTAAGTTTTGTGATTTCTGTATGCTATTTCGCACTATCATGGTACCGTAATCTGCATTCCGTATGATTTTCATTTATTCTCTCATTTATTCTCAAATCCCGATTCAAAAACTTTTCTCAGTGTCATTTTCGATCAACTTCCTTTCAAAAAAGGTATTGTCAATGAAAAACCGGTTTTCAAAAGGTTTCTCCTTCCAAACGCGCACAAAACTTAAAGCTGTAAACTCGGTGATCGGCTCATCGGATCAGCATTTTTTCAGTAAACCCTTCTATCTCCACAAGTCTCGCGTCGATTTTTGTCCGATTTGCATAACTTTTCAATTGAAATTTCCCTCTATTCGAGGCGCACACATTCAATCGACTTTCATTGTATTTTCAAAAAAGAGAGTCGCTCTTTTAAATACGGCTTTGCGCCATCAAAGTCCCCTTTTTTCACGGAAATACTAGAGAAAATGGCTCGATCACATTCAATGATAAATTTCCCAAGTTTTTTCGCAAGCCAAGTGAAATTTATGGATTTAAAACTTTTCACATCGTTTCCTTTTTTCAAATGATACGAAAAATAAACAAAAGCTTGGCTGTTTTCGTCCCGATCGTGTCGAATCTGGGTTTCATGCCCTTATTTTTCGCAGTTTTCCATTTTGTTTTCGTTTAACGGTGTGTTATTGAGTCATACAATTAATTTCAGCTCATCGAAATGCCCAATTGCCCGCGCTGCTCGAAGCCGGTTTATTTTGGTAAGTTTTTGAAAATTTTTGACGAATCGACCTTTTAGTAATGTTTACTTTTGTGGGATTTAGTGACTAATTTGTAAATTTAAGCCGAACGCGTGACGTCTCTCGGTCAAGATTGGCATCGACCATGTCTTCGTTGTGAAAACGATAACTGCAAGAAGACTCTCTCCGCTGGATCACACTCTGAGGTAGGTGTTCATTTTTATTGTTGCTATTATTTTGATGCTTACGTTCTGTTGTTAAGTTTGAAAGCTGGTAGTGAAAGTATTAGTTCTGCCAACATTTGGAATGAGTAACACTTTTTTTGCGGTATGCAATTTGCCAGTCATAACAATTATTTTAATTTTAGCATGAAGGACGACCATATTGCAACCGCTGCTATGGCGCTCTTTTTGGTCCTCGTGGTTATGGACATGGAGGAGTTGAGTCCCACACTTTTTTTTGGGCGGCACGACTGGAACTGCTGATGATCATGGACCCTTTCGTGGACCGGCCGGCACCGTCTAGGTAAGAGTCTTGGCACTGATGTTTTAGTTTGTGTTGAAAGTAGAGCTAGAAATTGAAATTTTCAAATACAAATTTTTAAGTTTATTCACTATTTCTAATTTTAGGTTTACCGGCCAAGAAAAGTTTGAGGCCGAGCAAAATCGCCGATACAAAATCGACACAACACATGTTATTCATTACACTTGATTCAGGCGGTTTATTGAATTTTTTTTCGTTCTTCCATTATTGTTTAATATAGTGTTTCCTGAAAATCGATACTCATGTTTAATAAAATAATAAAAAATCAACACAAAATGTATCACAGATTATTAAAAAAAATATCATGCTGTTTAACAAAAAAAGCTCGTAAAATATTATGCTCTGACAATGTAAACAATTAACATTTGAAATATCGCTGAATTGTTTCTTGTTTCATCTCTGTTTCCAATTTTTCCTTTGCAATGGCAATATCATTTTGTATTGCAGCAACCAGGGCTTCTGAAACTTCAAACTTTGTAAGCAATGTATCGGAAACGTACCTTTTGAGTCAAATTTGTGCATCTCGCGGATGAAACCGAGTACAAGTCCATCAATTGATTTTCCGTAAAATGGTTCTGGGAAAGTACAAAGCAAGTGAACCTCCTGAGAAGGGGGCACAATTAAAAGTTCAATATAGAATGATCACCATTGTCAATCTTTTGCCTTCATATTGCGGATTACGGCCGATACTCATTACCATATTTTCAACCTTAAAATTGAGATTGCAACAATCGCTCACAGAAGGTAACTGACCTGTCCACCAGCAATTCTCGCGTATCCATAGTAAACACCTTCTTGGATGGCCGATGGTAGAGCATCAACCACTGATTCGTCAACATTTGCTAAATTGGTTGTTAAAAGAAAATTTTATCTAATAAAACCTGTCGGACAACCAAGTTCCGTGCTTCCTCTACCAAAGCCGCTGACAACTTTCCCCGAGAAGTAGTAGGGTAATGCCTCCACGATTTTGTCCATGTGAGTTTGACGAATGGAGGCAAAGAGACCTATACGAGAGAAGTTTTTGAACGCACAGAGAAATTTCAATTTCCGTGTTTACAAAGAGTCTAAGAGAGTCAAGAAACGGAAGTTCATACTACCTTAACTTGTGTGGCTAACTTAGAATTTTTAAATTTTTGATGCGCTTTGATTCCGATTTACGTGTTCACAAATGCTCAATAAAAGGTTTTACTTTTTAATATAGAGTTTGGTGATACAAATAAAATGTATATGAAATCAATTAGATTCCCAATTATGGGTAAAGAATTTATTATCTTTCATAAATATACATGGTCAATTTTAAAACTTGCAAAATGAAATGCATACATTTTACTCATCATTGCTGATGAGGCACTTTAGTACGTTGATGGCGTTTATTGCTTCCAGCCGTAATTCATTTGGACACTAAATGAATGTTTTTTTTAATTGAGTTTGCACATTCTTGTATCTTTTCAGCTAGGACAATCTAGAAACAACCTGAAAGCAAGTAGATACTTTTTCCAGAAAAGGCAAAACGGTGTCGGCATCGTCAGCTTTGTACCCAATTGACGACCAAATTAAGGCGGAACTAATATTAAAAGGGTGAAATCGCCAAAACAAGGACTTTCTTACTTGGAAACTATGGCGAAAAGAAGGCGATACTTTTCAGATTGAGTGTATTGCGATTTTCCCAATTCATTTTGCGCCCATCTAAATTCAGGATTTTGATTGATCCTAAAATTAAAAACCTTGTAAGTTGTGGCCACGCATCGTTGCTCACCCGACGATAAACAAAAGATCCAGCTATCTGACAATAGCAAGTAAGAACCTAAAAGTAAAAATGTTATGAAAACATCGTTAACAGCACTCACCTTCACGGCTTCTGATCGAACAACAAGACTGACATCATTTAGTCGACTTTTCAAAGGGGACCAATTTTGATGAATCTAAAATTAACGTCAAATGTTTAAAAATAATGCAAACCATTGGAAGAAGAACATCTTCATATAAGCGTACAACGCGAAGGGAGGCAGAAAGCAAACGCAAACACTCTACTTTGACGGGAACATGTGGCGAAAAAAGGAAGTGTTGAGTTCTAAATTTATCAACTTTTAAGGCGTAAATAATTAAAATGCACTCTAAACTATTTTAGCCAAAAGAAACCTGCGCAAAATTTCTTCCGTCATTAAAATCGGTTCCGGTGCTTGTTCCTTTTCAGGAGCAACTGGATCGTTTAATGAAAGATGCTCAAGATTCCCGTCTTCATTTTCAAGATTCCTAAACCATTTAAATATTTGAACCCTGTTTTCTCCAACTTGTAATCATTTGGTTGGGAGTCGAGCTTTTCAGTGTCGATTTTCGGAAACCACTTTAGGATGGACTCCACAAAAACGGACATCGCACATAGAGTTGTTGTAACGGACGCAATCTAAAATGCGTGAAGACTTAACTGAATTTGGTTTTTGCATACCTCGTTTTGTTCATCTAGAACCGTAAGCATTTGGCGCAAAATTTTCTTTGTTGAATTGAAGACCGATGTACTGTCGGTACGTAGTATGAACGCCGTGAGCAACTTTGGGGCTGACATAATTTTCGACTTCCAGTGCCACATTCTAAACTTCAAATATGTAATTTCAAAAACATAAATTACTTGTGTATAATCAAAACATCCCGTTTTTCCAATAACGTTGACAAACTGACGCTTTGCACCTAAATTTATTGTTGTTTGCCTTTTAAACTTGTCGATCTGACCTGAGCTATGTATTGAAGTGCGAGATCAGACGAGGTAGAGATCACAAAGTTTGGAATGGTTGATCCAAGTAAAAGCATACAAAATACATCAACGAGGTACTAAAATTTTCAAAATAAACAAAAATTTTTTAAGTACATACCAAGTTTTGGATATTCACATCACTGATACAACCAATTAGTGTGCTAACAGCGCAATTCATCGAAGTTAAAAGAGCAACCGATGACGTGTTCGTAATGGTAGTATCTAAAAAGTATATTTTTAAAGTTTGCATGTTAAAACGAACCTGAGATTTTATGATCCATTTCTTTTACATCAATATTTATTCCATCGATGTACGTTTGGCAAACTTCGACACATTGCCGTAATCCCACAGCATCGGTAGTTTCAATTTTCTAAAAATGGTCCCTCTAACGGTAGTTTACTGATAGCAACCCCAATAAGAAATTTAATAAATTTGCCAACTTTACCTGCGTTTCGATGGCCATAAGACTGAGGATCAAACCAAAAGACGTCAGATTGTCCCTATCGCTTTCTTTTAAAAGGTCGGCAAACATCGAGAACACCTGAAAACTGTTAAGCAATGAAATGGGCAAGTAGTAGACTTCGTAAGGGTTATTCTTCAAGAGCGCGTGACAAACGGATTGAACCCAAAGCATTGTGATTTCATTTTTCAATGGTATTGCCAAGATAAAATCTAAAATAAATTTAGTTCATTAAATTTGCTAAAAACTCAACCTGTTAATGAAGTTGGGTTACTAGAAGTTATATTCAATCGCTCAATATCCACACGCACCACTCGAGCAACCGCCGTGATGAATTCAGCCATTGTCCCATCCAAATACAGAATTCGGAAATCAGGGAATAGCTTCACTAAGGACAAAACCTGATAACGTTTATTAAAGCAAAGCAAGCAATAAAATACCTGTGAAAGCAATGGCCTTGAGCAGATTGTTTTCTCGGGTAACTTTAACAGATCATTTTTGACCTGAAAATTATAATGTCATCATGTAACGAATAAGGCTCACTTCTGAAAAAAGGGTATGAATGCGAAGTGAATAGAAGTCTTGATTCTCCTCTTTAATTTTCAACAAAACCTGGTTGGCCATTTCTTTAACACTAAAAAGTAAAAATTGGCAAACTTTACGAATTACGATAAACATACCCATCATCTTCATCATTTGCCAAAAGTATAGAAGTATCAATAACAATTCTTTGAAACTCTTCTCCAAACATTTCCGCGTGAGCACTCAATTCTCGAAGAAAATCCAACAACTGCAGACGAACAACGGTCGAATCGTGAATAACAAGGTTAGCTGAGAATCTCCGAATCTAAAATATAATATAAAAACGCTACATTGGTCGTCCTAGAACCTTATTCAACCACATTAATTAGGCAAACCAACCATGCTATTGATTCTCGAAGTTGATTTAGCTCTCCAGTCTTCATTTCTTTCGATCAGAAGAGATTTTGCCTTGTTGATTTCACTATCAATTTGACCCTCAGACGTAAAATTCTTGTCGGTGGTTGTAGGAGCCAAAAATGCGCTCAATATGCAATCTTTGAATATCTGGACTTGTGATTGGTTGAACGTTAATAACAATATTATCACTCACCATAAGACAAACTGTCAAAATGGCCTGCACACTGTTGGGATCGCACAATACTTCGGATAATTTAGATAAAGTTCCTGGGAGAACCGATGTGAGAATGTGGACGGGTGCCTTTGAAAGCATTTGAGATAAAATCCGAACCGTCTTGACCCTAAATCCTTCTTTGAGAGAAGGACGAAAACAAAACTAAAATACCTCTTATTTGAGCGCAATGAATCAATCGTTAAATGTGTGAGCAATGTAGAGGTGAGCTTTCCAATTCCCGGCAAAAACGCGACATTGTATAGATCTAAAGTTCAAATTTTTTTTATATTCTCTCAAAGTTAAATATTCTGTCCATTTATTAGCCTAACTTTAATTAATAAAATTCTCAGACAACCTTCCGTTAATGCTGTTTCGGCGTGTGTTAACAACATTTCCAGTGCTTCCAATAACAAATCTCGATTCAATTCTTTTTGATCCAAAATGTAAAGCATCGAAGAAATTAATGGTCGAAGATGTTTCCATTGTAAAACATCAAGAAACTCCTAAAAAGAAATACGTATTTGAGACTGACTTTACTGAACCTGTGATTGATTTGTACCAAAAAGTGAAATAATGATTTGGGCATATCTATCATGAGTCTTAACCACATTGTTTGTTGCCACGGCTTGTTCAAAGATAACCTACAAATAATTTTTTAAAGGTTAAAAATGTTTTTCTTTTACCCGGAGAGCTGACGTAGTTGCTTGAAGACAAGCCTGTCGCTCCGTTAACTCATATTTTGTATCGGATAAACATTCTAAAAGAAACCAATGAAAATAAAGAATTTGTAAAGATACCATTTAATAGTTGTGATGCTGTGAGAAGCGCTGGGCGCGCATCATCACCTTTTTGCAAAGCTTGCAAGCATCGAATAAGCGTTGCATTTAAATTCGCAAACAACTCTCCACCCATAGTTCTCCAACTTCATATCATATACCGGCTGGTGGTACCTAAAAACCATTTTGTACCTTGTCGATACGTACTTTTCTCTATATGCTAATATTTTCACGTAAGCCAAAAATGCTCAAAAACCGTGCACAACTTGAATATGTATTTGTGATAAATGTAATTATAGAGCCAACTCCTTGCAAATAAAAGACAAACAGTTTTAAAATTTATCAGAGCATACGCTATTTGCAAAGTCATTTTCATTGGGAGGGAAAATATTCGCACAAGCTTAAGAATACAAATAATTCACATATTCTTTGATAAACTATTCACAAAAGATGATAACGACGGCACAATCTAATTAATCTAAAAAAATAGGGTTCATCCAAAACTTAAAGCTGTTCACTGGCAAGGAATGAAATTAGGCTAGAGAAAAAGATGATGAGATTGTTTATAAATTAATATGCTTTCACAAACTTTGGACAAATTAAACATGATGGAGCAAATGATAACGTGTAAGTGATTTGAAACTGAATAGTGAAATAACCCGTATACACCAAAGACACGACTAGTTTAGGAAATTTAGCTTTCGATAACTACAAAAGAAAAATATAAAATGAATAATCAAAAGGGAAACACAAAAATGGAACTTGCTCAAAATCTTCCGGCTAAGAGCCTACTTCCACCGATGGCCGAGTGATTGTTGTTGATGGGCTCGGGAAATAAATCGATGTAGTCAGCAGGACGCCCAATTTGTCCAACGAACCATTTCAAGATCTCTCCTCCTTTTGCAGTTATTGGAGCCGACTAAATTTCGATATAAATTTGAAGGAAAGAAATAATTACCTCGTGATAGACAATCAAATCAAAGAGGGAGTCGTGAACGATTTGATTTGTTCCCAAAAACTGATAGCCTTGTTCGATGCGTTCGATCAGAAAGTGTTTACACGAACCATTTCCAACAACATACGACACAGTGTATCTAAAACGAACAGAATGGTTTAGTAGTGTAATAAATTACTTACCCCCAAATGCGCTCGGAAACTCGAACAAGAAATGAGCCGGTTGGTTTCCCCACAAGTAATTGCTCTGAAGCATCTCTTGAAATGATTCCTAAAAGTAATATTAAATTAAATTTTGACTAAAACTTAATTCGATCTCAAAAAAGAAAAAAATTACCATGAAACCAAGGCGCCGGCAATCCCGTTTTTGGATCAAGTCCGGTGCCACGAGGAAGTTCATTCTTTTTAAACCAAGTGACTATTTCTTCTTTGTTTTTTGGTCGCGGCGGACGAGGTAAGTTTTTGCTAAAATTTACATCGATAAAATGCATCATTAAATAACAAAATACATTGCTTCTCGTAGACTGGTGGCTTTCGTGTCAGCCAAAGCAGGTAGAATGGAGGTCGATGTTCGCAGAAGTTGTCTGTGTTGCTCTCGGGCTTTTTGCGCAATCGATCTAATTGCAGCTTCGGCTTCTCGTGATTTTCTTTCTAAAACAAAACTATTGTTAAATTTGAAGCCTAAGAGCTTTTTATAGCTTAATAGCTAAAAATTTACCTTGTTCTTCCCATGCCAGTCGTTCACGCTCGGCCTCTGCTTCAGCTTCTTTCCGTAGCTGTTCATGTTTTTCTCGTATTGTCTAAAATGCATACCATGATAAAAGAAGTTATAAAAATCCTTACTTGGAAAATTTCGGATTCTCTTTTATTAACTTCATCGCTGGCTTCTTCTGGAGTTAACGCTTTCTGAGCTCTAAGCCGCACACCTAAAATACAAAGTTTGCTAATTCAACATTGAGCTACAATTACGCGGATCAAAAAACCTACTGCCATTCGTTCCATTTTGTTTCTCGTTTTTTACATTTTGTAGATCTAGTGTTTGTAGGGGCTAAAATTTATCTTTAGACTTGGCGCAAACCTAAAACGTACCTGAACATTTTGTGTCTGCGGAGATTTTGTGACTGATGGGAATTGTGCTGGCCTGACAGGTACAGGAGGCGGTGGACCTCGAGCATTTCGTACAGAAGCACCTAATCAAAATGGAAAGCTGTAGTAATGAAGAAATCAAAGTACCTTTGGCACCAATCACGGCCACTTGAGGTGTTGGTATGCTGAACGTCGTGACAATTGCCTTCTGTGGTGTTGCTGCTCCCTCGTTGGTGTGAGCCTCTTCTCGATATCCATTGTTATTCATTGAAGTCGTCGGTTTTCCGTTTACGGGTGATTTCTGTAATCCAATCCCGACCTTTTCCCAATTTCGAATCAAAGCACTCTACAGAAAAAAGAAAATCCATTGCTAGGTAGTCGAAAACTCACCAAAGGTGTGCCCTGGGGTTGCAATAAAAGAGGCGGTTTGTTGACCAGCTGATCTTCCCAACTCAGATCACTATCGTCGTAGACCGAGCCCTATCCAAAAATTTTATCCACTTCTAAAAGAAAACCAACCGTCAGTCCAACGCGCAAATTTCCAAGTTGTGCCTTCAACGCTTCTTCCATACTTTCGTCGACTTGATGCTCAAGTTCTTGGAGCGCACGCGTCCTAGCCTCTCGTCTTGCCTCCTAAATTACGTACTGTCATGAAATTATCATTGTTTTCTACTTCTTCAAGAATTTCTTCGATGCTCTTATCCTCGGGATGGTCACCCATTACCCACACCCAAACATCGCCGTCCACGCCGGATCGCCATCTAAAAAATGCCCGGTATTTTAACTAAGGCAAATAGGTACCAACCGCACTCCTTTCTTTTTTTGCTTCCGCAGGGGCAAGCCGTCTCGCTCCAATTGCTCCTCATATAATTGATATTTCCTCATTTGTTCTTGCCGCATCTAAAACAAGTTTATAAGGATAAAACAAAAATAGTCAACCTGAATGAACAGCATTTGCTTTTGTTCTTCATCGAGCGCCTCCAATATCTCTGGGTCGACATAGCCCTAAATAAAATTTGAAAATTTTCCAATCGCCTTGAAACTTACTTTTTCCAAAATGTCTTTCAATACAGACATCGGGCCTTCCGATTAATCTAAACATACGCTGTTGAGAGTCAACGTTTTGGAATTGAAAGGAGAACAAGAAATGGGGGCAATTTGTTCATCTGCGTACTAATGACAAAGCAGGAAAGAGTTTTCATGACAGATTTGCGCTGGATAAAAAAAAGTGGTTGGTGCTGATTTCGCTTTTACAAAGATTTCCAATTTTGATCAAATATTTTGAAATTGGTAAATTTTTGACAAAATAAATGCAAGCGACAAATACTTTCACAGTACAAAATTCAGTACTTTCAAAGTCTTAAAACAAAGATCTGATCATTAAAGCAATCAAAAAGGCAGTATTGAATAGAAGGGTGAGGGATAGGCAATCAATGGGTGGGCGCACAGGCAGAGATGTTTCAAGACTGCGTGGTCGTCTTAGCGTGAGTGTGCACTGCAGAGACACACATAGCGCCCCGACCGAAGAATGCAAGAAAAGGAAAGGGAAAGGAAAGAGGTGGCCGTTATTGACGATCACAGAGAGATTGCAAAAGAAAGGGAGGGTGTCCAAGACTCCAAATTCGGGCACAATCAAGCAAACACGAGGGGGAGAACACCCACCCACACTTGCAATGGGTATGGTGGACAAAGAGAGGTAAAGATGTGTTATTTGGAATGACTTGATCGAGGCTCACTTTATGCTTGAATTTTTAAAGATTTATGGTCTTCTTAAAACTTTCAAGATATTCAGTCAAAAGTTGAAAATGCAAAAAATGTGCAAAGTAATCAGTTCTTTCTTTTAAAACCCGAGATCACAAAAAAGAAACATTGATTAAATGCGACCAAATGTGAATTGATGCTTCGAACTAAATGATTGGGATCAAAACCTTACAACGATAGTTGAAAAGAATGGAGAAAGAGAAAAAGGGTGGTCAATGGATTGGGGAAGAGATTTGTTAAAAAGAGTATGAGAGAGACAGGTGACCCCTTTCAATTCAATTTCAATGAGAAAAGAATGGAAAAAGAAAGGAAAGCAATAGACAACCGATGATATTGCAGTTCATAAAAGAAACAGATTGATAACAAATCCATACTTTTTCATATTGTTATTAACAATATGAAAAAGTATGGAGAGATCCATTAAACGATCGGGTATTGGGCTCTAGGCTGTTTCTACAACGTGTCAACTTCCAAAAATTCTCGTAACCTTGTAACTTTTTACCCAATCCATAGAATTTTGATCTTTCGGCACCTTTTTTGAATATTCATGATGGGAATCAGACAAAAGTAGATTGGATTACGATAGATTGAGTAGAAACTAAAAGTAGATTACGATAGCTTTCGAGAACTGACACGGTTTAGAAATCTTCCTATTTAGAAGATTACGGTAACTTTTAAATGCTACCATATTTTAGAAAAGGCCTTAATCAAGAGGAACATCTATTTGTGATCAAAGTGTCAGAAAAAAACTGTCTATTTTTTGTATTACACACCGATAATCAATGAATCTCAAATTATCATGACAAAAAGAGGAAAATTGCTTTTTGGAGGGTTATGCGGGAGAAAAGGGAGAAAAGAAAGGGGGATGGGTGCATAAAGAAGCACCCCTCCCTTTCCAAAGACCAGTTTCAAACGGGCGCCCTTGTCATTTTGCCACACCACCACACCTAACCCCCATCTTTTTTTCTATAACTCTATGGTGATGATCATTTTTATGAGCAAGCCTATTATAATCCAATTATTATTGCCAATTTTGACATATTTCGGGAATTTCTATTCCTATAGCCATTGAAATATAATAGTTCGTGAAATCGATAACCGAATGAGTCGGCTTTCAGTGCAAAAAAAAGTAAACTTCTAGCGCCGGAACATGTCATTATTGCGATCTGTGTTGAGCCATACCGATTTTACGTTTCAAATAAACTTGTGAAAAATCGACTGAGCTTTGAAACTTTCAAAAAAAGCATACTAAACTCAAGATACCTAAGGTGTTAAGAGTTCAAAAATGACGTAAAACTAGTGAAGATCTAGCTCTTGTGAGCTGAACAAATTCGTTAAGACAGAAGGGACTAATGCGGTTTACTTCACTGGGTAAGATGTGGTGTTTTTGTGTGGAATGGCCAGCGGAATTGAAAGGACAAAAAGAAAAAAAAGGAGAAAAACTCTTTGAAGCCACAATGAAATCGGATCTCTTTTTGGATAGTGAGAGAAAATGTGCGAGGAGGGGGATGATGAAGGTGAATGGAGAAAGAAGGGAAGAGGGCGGAGGGGAACTGAATCCCTCTATAGGTATCGATGGTTTTGAGTCAGGGCTGACACAGCTTATGCGATTCGAAATGGTTAAAAGAATACTGAATTGGTACAAGAATTGAATCTGAAAATAACTAATCTGTAGAAGTTGACTTCTACAGATTAGTTGTCGCAAGAAACGAGGTATTCTTGAACAGTTAAAAAGTCTGTTTCTCTTGACCACTGTGTACTATGGAACCTTTCAAAAGCTACAGTAATCTTGTCTTGGCTTTTTATCTGCTTTTGGGTCTGATTTGCGTGAACTCACGAAGAATACAAATAATTCGATAAACGTAAAGGCAAAGTTACGGTATCTCTAAAGATGGGTAAAATTACCCGAACAAGAGTTCTTCGTTGTAACTTTGTAGCCAACCAACTTAACCTTATAATTTTCTCATTTATCCATTCCTTAACTTATTAGAAAATTACTGGAAAGAAAAATCCGTTGGCTGGCTTTTCTTTCGAACCACAAAGCATCGGGTACAATTGATCTTGGCGCGGTGCTTTATTTTCCCCTTTTTCAGTGCTAAAAAGGTTTCTGAAAAACTCGAGAAAAAAACATTAAGACTAGAAAAGTGTGACTACTTTTTTTTTAAGATAATTAAGAGTTTATAGAAAAAGAATTATAGAAGTTTTATGGAACGGTTAACGAATAACATTCAAACAAGTTTCTTGTCCGGGTAATTTTCCCCAACTCTGTAGAAATTTGACACGTTTTAGAAACTCATTATTTTAGAGAAACACGCCGCCTAACTGTCTTATAGCCTGTAAGCCAAAGTATTTTCTCTAGAGAAATGAAAATCAAAACTTTATTCAGAAGCAGAGTTACCACAATGACGTGTTTAGCCCTAATTTAAGCAACTCTAATACTGTACAAATGTTTAGCAAAGTAAATTCCCTTTCTGATCAGATCATCCGCTCAATGACCCTCCACAAAGGTTTTGTATTGATTGCCAAGTTTGCCTTTTTAAAGCAGAAAACACCGACCCTCATATCACCCATCTCATACCATTCTTTCTCATCCTCATCTCACAACAGTGGAACGGCTAATTTTTAATGAAGAAATTCTCTCTTTTTTTTTGCTTTTTCCCTTTTACAGATCGTTCCATCAGAGGCTTTTCCCTCGTTTCCCATTTCCCATTTTCTTTTCTCCTCCATCGCATTCACTTTGCGTTTTCCTCAGCCTCAAACGACCGGTATTTTCTCTGAGATTGACATTTTGCCACACATTCGTCTTTCTCTTTCATTGTCATTGTGCCTTCGATCAAACTCTTCTCCTTGACTAGAAAGCTTTTTTTAGAAATTACCAGTAAAGTTTTAGAAATGGTGGACGGGGCAACGGTGGCCACGGTCACATCAATCTCCGTGTCAACTATTATTGTGTGCATATGCCTAGTAAGTTGACAGTACTTTTGAAATATAGTTAGCTAAATATTTTTGTCGTTATCATTGGCTGAATATCCTATCTAAAGAAGTTTTTCCACCTTCAGGGTTTTGCCAACAGCATCATGACCGATATGAAAGATTTCTACGAGGAGAATCTTGATCTCATGGAAGAAATTAAAGTAAGTAGACTTCTTGAGTAACTTTTATCAATCTCTAGGAATCGTCGGACGATGCTTGGACGATTTTGATTAAAATGGAGGCTATCGGAAAATCGAGAAACCCTCGAGCTGCTCCCTTCCGTTCAATTGTTCATCGCTTTCGTAAAGATGTTCCCTCGCAATGTCGTGGGTTTGAAAAAATGAAAAGAGAACTGTTTTTTTAAAGAATGCCTTCATCCGACTCAATGCCCTCCTGGACCTCCCGGTCCACCCGGCATCGATGGAATCCACGGAGCACATGGAGAACCAGGACATAGAGGACCATCCGGAACACCGGGAATGTCTTTGGCCTATGATGCGCCCGGTGGATGTATTGAGTGCCCAGCCGGACCACCCGGTCCTTCGGGTCCAATTGGGCTAACTGGAATGCCCGGACCTAAAGGTAAAAGAAAATTGCTGCCTAATAAAACCTTCTTCAGGTCAACAAGGACCAAAGGGTAGTGTGGGTTTGTCGGGTCGAGTGGGACCACAAGGACCAGCAGGAGATGAAGGACAACCAGGGGGTGTGGGAATGCCCGGTCATGCAGGAAGTTATGGACAGCAAGGAGTACGGTATAGACAAGGACCAAGGGGAATTCCTGGACGTTGTGGTGAACAAGGACCGCCTGGACCCCCAGGACCCATTGGGAAAGCGGAAGAAGGTTTTTTATCAAGTGCTTTATATCAATGAGATTATCAGGTGCTGATGGAATGCCGGGAGCGGCTGGTTTGCCTGGAAAAGACGGCGAGAGAGGAATTGATGGAGATGATGGAGACGATGGAGGACAAGGACTCCCGGGTGTTGATGCTGCATATTGTGCATGTCCGCAACGGGACACTTACGTCAGACGGCCCGAGTATCGAATTATTGATTATACTCCGACAAAAGAGGAAGATCGAGAGGATCGGTTTGTATCATTCAATAGGTTTTTGGATCTAAGTTTTCTAAAGCTTGCCGACTTTCGAATAATCTTTGCTTTTGTTTTGTCTAGGCTAGCTGCTTTTTGGAAGAACATAGAACAAGCTATAGATAGATTAGCAAAGATTACGATAGATTACAAAATACGGCACTTCTTAGAGAATAGTTTATAATTGAAAGCTTTTAACTGACAATGAATATATTGAGTTTAGATTCATAGTCAATCAATGCATAAATCCCAATTTCAATTTCCAGAACCTATGGTCAACCAACGCATGTTTAAGGAGAAAATCTCAAAATTGACAAATAAAAACTGTAATCGATTTATTTCTCAAAAGTATACACGTCCTTTAAAATCTGTGATGAGATCACAAACAGACACACAGAAAAATAAAAAAAATGCTTTCAAAATTCTCCCATCATTTGCACGAATTCCTCGTAGTCGATCTCACCGTTTCCTAAAATTTCTCCAGTTTTTCGTATGACTTTAATCGACAAACCATTAGCATCAACATCTTTCAGAATGTCATCCACTTCCTCTTCGCTGAACATCATACCCATATGAATCTGATAAAGAATATAAGCATAAAGCTTTTGAAAAAGAATTTGAGCAAATCTTCTCTCAAAGAAAGGCAGATAGTTTAGACCAATTAAATCCGAGCTCTCTTGGTTAACTCAATAAAATGAATAGCGCCAATCGATGTATTTTTAATACAATTTCTACATCCTTTCAAACCATTATGCCACTTAAACCGCAGTCAAATTGAGAGAAAATTAGCCTACATATTGTCTAAATACTGTCAGGGTTAAAGCTTGATTAGTTTCTTATCGAATAGATCAGTCTTATTCCATCGAATCCAGCTCACATCCCCTCTTTACTTTGCATTTCACATACTATTTTGTTGACATCATCTACTCCCACTATCCACTGAGAAAAGTGGATCCCCGAATTGCAATTTGCAAGTGTAATTCCGCGATCGAATTTGATTAGGCGACAAGTTTTTTTTTCTTGAATTTATTAGGTTCTTTTTACGTGAAAATTGATTTAATGATTGAAAGGAAACATAAGAAAGGATTACCATGAAATATTTGAATTCACTTGATGTGATCACTCCATTTCCATCTTTATCGAAAACCCGGAAAGCTTCTCGAATCATTTCCGAGTCTGTTTCCTGAAGTTTTTAGTAGGAAAGCTATCGATTAGTTCCATTCAATTTATATCGTTTCTAAAGCGTATCAACTTTCGAAACTACTGTAATCTTATCTAGAGTGTGTTCCTCTCAAGAAATAGTGTGAAATGGGAAACGGGTACAGTTGAAATCAACTGAATATCTTGCAAATTGTAGAAAATATTCAGTTATTCAAGTTATTCAGTTGATTTCTACCGTAACCCGTTTCCTATTTCACACGATTTCTTGAGAGGAACACACTCAAATCTTATCGTATCTAGCTGATTTATCTTTTTCTATTTCTCTATTTCTCTATAAACCTCCTCAAAATCAACCCAAAAGTAGATGATTAGACAAAATTGGAGATAAAATTACTGTAGACTTAAGTTTTTAAGTTACGGAGAGATTACGGTAGTCTTTAAGACACATTTTAGAAAACACAATGATCAATGGATATGATCTGGTTAAAGAAGACTCGAGATTTCTGTAGCTTTCCTGTATCTATATCAGTGGTCAGTAGACATTCTCTTGTAAGCAAATTGTCTCCAAAAATTCCTTGAAATATGACCCAATTTTGTGGCTTATTTGTTCTAAAGGTCTCCTTTTTTTTGCAGTCAGAAGACCTCAGAAGAGAGCAGTCATTTTCCCCATCTTTTCCCGCTTCATTTTTGTCGTTGATGAGATATTCATTCCTCTCATTCCCCTCATTCCCCTTCCCATCCAAACGTGCAAATTAGGAGTGTCTTTTGTTTCAGAAAAAAACCCTCATTTCGTCACGATATCGATATTCGTGAACTTGTTTTTTTTTCTATTCTCAAACCTTCATAATCTTTTTCATCATCACACAGAATTCGGGGAATTCCACCTGTCCATTCCCATCAATGTCCACATCGTAGATAATCTCAGCCATTTGCTGAAAGTGAGAAATTTAAAGGCTTAACCCTTGATTTGATCTAAAATGACACACTTAACCATCCTTGGCTTAACTTGGTTTAAAGCTTTGAGTTAAAACTCAAATCACTACTTGACTAGTGAAATATATGTGTCGTAGCCGCTTACGAAATTCAGCCGCTAACGAATGATTCGTTAACGGCTAGCCGCTCACGAATCATTCGTTAACAGCTAGCCACTAACGAATCATTCGTAAACGGCTAGCGAAAAATTTCATTCGTTAGCGGCTAGCCGTTAACGAATCATTCGTTAGTGGCTGAATTTCGTAAGCGGCTACGACATATGGATCTTACCCTAAATTCCCTTTGAACAACCATTTCTTGACTAGGGTTCTTAAAATATTTTACATTCAAATCTGATCTCTGTTCTAATCTATTTTCAATTTCTTTTGGTTTAGTAAACGAAAGCGGAAGAGTTTTTTTTCTAAGTGACCTGTTCTGTGGGATTTTGTCCAAGTGCTCGCATTGCTGGTCCCAATTCTTCGATAGAAATCGTCCCATCACCATCCTAAATTGGATTTCAGTTACTCATAGTCAGTGAAAGTTTTCTCATCCTATTATGGAGGGATTTTCTTGCAAATCTTACTAGACATAAGTAGAATGTGGCTAATGTTTTTTTCTAAAAAAGTATTTTATAAATCCACCGTAATCAAACAATTGTTTATGACTCGCAAATACGAACAACTAACTATTAAACCAATCTATTTGCTTTATAAGTTGTATCCAGAATCTAATAATCCTTCCTTATAACCTGTCACAAATTATAACTCATTAAAAATTCATTGAATCGTCCACCTTATCAAATAAAAGAAAAGCATCTTTGAATTCGAGAATTTCCTGTTCGGTGAGCTGTGAGATAATCTAAAGAAATTGAAGGAATTAACAAAAAGGAATTGCATGAATGAATAGTTTTAGAAGATGAGGAAACACAGGAAATACTTTTTCTGACAAACCAATTCCGATTCTTTCATCAATTGAGCCACTGTTTTCGCTTTATCGTGTGGAGTGCCCATTGTTTCGGTTCCGGGAAGCTTTGAATCTGTCTAGGAAATCAAACGTTTTGAAATAAGGAAGAGATCAAGAAAATGATTTGAATTCATTTAATATCGAGACTCTTGAATTGCTGAACATAGAGATTTAAGTATTTGAAGAGATCCCGTTATCCAATGCATATCGATTGCTATTCTTTAACCTCATTGCTCAACTTTCGTTCTACCAGGAAAGCCCACTTTTATCCAAACTTCACTTTCAGGTAGTTCAACACGCAAAGACAAATGTGGAGATTGAGATTTCTTTTCGCATTTCTCGTTTTTATTGCCACACTCAGGGCTTGGACAATTGAAGGTAATGTTTGGGAAAGATTGGAAAAAGGTGAAGAAGTGAATGATTTATGATCATTTGATGATTGCAATAGTATCTTATTGTAGAGTGTTTAGTTGAAGAAGACGTTTTCTAAAACATGTCAACTTCTGAAGTCTTGTTTCTAACTTTATCCAATCTATTCTACGTTTGGTTTTTGTTTCACAAAGAGTATCAAAAGATATAAAGTAAAGTCCATAACTCAAAGACACAAAAAGTAGATTGATTAGATGTAGAGGCAAGTTTACGGTAGCTTTTAAAAGATAACAGATTACTGTAGCTTTTTGGAGACACGATGGAGACAGAAAGCGCATTCTTTGAGTGAACTCCAATTCAAGGATACTGTGGAATCAAAATGGAATCTTTGAAATATTTTGTAGAATCTACGTAGAAAAAAAATCAAGGATTTAAGTCTATAATATAAATGTGAAATAAAGCTTTTTAACGAGAAAGTAGAAATAGTCGGTGGTAAGTAGAAGACGATTGATCGGGAAGCCTTTGAGATGAAGGGGATTTGAAGGGCCCTTTCCCCTCTGATTTTCCCCTCTTTCTCAATCATTGTCACTCTATCAGACAGTCTTTTCCCCCATTTCTTCCCCTTTCCTCAAATTTTTCTCCACTTTTTTCAACAACAGTATGGTCCACTTGAGTCGATTCCTTTCCCCCAACATCTCTTTACCTACTGACCCATCCCATCATCCCCCTTTCGAAATGATACAGTTTTTCTTCACCAAAACTCATCTTTATCTCAAGAACACGTGAAAGTGTTATGAAAGGATTGTTTTTCGAAAATAGTTCATAAAACAAACTCATTTCAAAGAGTATTTCCAGGTCCATCAGATATTGTTTCGGGAGCGTCAGCAAGATCGGCTCATGAAGCGAATCTCTTGAGAAATCGATTGATCAAGGTTTAAAATGAGTTTTTCTATGTATCAATGTTAGGTTCTTCCACATAAAATAAGATACTGACTGTTATGCTAGTATTTCATCTGACTGTTATGCTAATATTTCAATGTGAATAGTTTCTATACTTTACAAAATTCTAAAAGCATACTTGGATCAGGAATCTTACAAAAGCTCTAGAGTAAGCCAGTCCAAGCAAGCTGGACCTGACTTGGAAAAGATCAATTTTAAATTGATTAATCTTTTTTCATTTCAGGCTATGTTTCATGTTGATCCGAATGGCCCGACTCAATGGATAAGAAAGTGGAGATCGACCAGTGATCAAATGTGACATTTGTTTCTTCGAATGAATAAATCTTTTTTTTGTCAAACATCTTCATACGTTTATCTAACGTTTATCTAACGTCAAAGTTTTAGTCCCAAAATTCTCAAGCCAAATCACTTTGACTAATTGAGATGATTCTAAAGCTTACATCCTGAAAAGTAAACTCCTGAAAAGTTTATTCAAAAGGGTAACCCAAATCAAGAGGGGTCAATTCGGAGGGAAATCAAAAGCATTTCAAAGGATAAAATTGAATTCGAGCGGATCTCTGAGGGGCAAAGAGCCATGAAATGGATGATCGAATCATTGAATGGCCGATCTTTCTCTCCTCTTCCCACACTCACCTCAAATCTTTTCTTTGTTGTTGTATAAATGTCACAAGTTCCTCGAAAATCCCCTTTTTTTATCATTTTCTCGGCTTTTTTCGAAAAGTTGACACCTTTTCCAAATTTGATCACGGCTTTGCAAGAGATTCTTTGTTGATAGGTTTAAAAAAGGATTCGAAACGTCAAAAGATTTGGCAACAAGATTTGAGATAGCTGTTCATACTTGAAATCAAATAGCACGTGCTTTAGTTTTACTTCAAACTTAGATAGAAACACATCTTTTCTGGTACACTCAACTCTCACTTTCTCATCCGACAAAACCTTTTGAGTGTGCTAAAGAGGATGTGTTTGCACTTTTACGCACAAAGAAGAAATCTTGAATTCTTAAAATTAACAATTCGGCTTTTTTGATCCTGGTTTGAGCCTGGCTGAAACTTTTTAAGAAAGTTTCAGCTTTGCAACCATACTACTCCCGGAACCGGAAGTCTTTCGTTTCCGGGAAGCTATCAGAATATCGGAATAAACCAGACAAATCGCTCCACCAACTAAGAACGGCCATGCACCACCAACCACCGAATCAAGAAAGAGCTCTCAGTCTCTCAATCCTTACAGTGTCCGGGCCGGGTGAGTTTTCCCGTGTTGAGTCAAATCAAGCCGCAGGCTCCACTCCCTGGTGGTGCGATTCCGTCAATTCCTTTAAGTTTCAGCTTTGCAACCATACTACCCCCGGAACCGGAAGTCTTTCGTTTCCGGGAAGCTCCCCGGCAAGGCGGTAAAACCACCACCGGATCGCTAGATGGTATCGTTTACGGTCAGAACTACGGCGGTATCTAATCGCCTTCGAACCTCTGACTTTCGTTCTTGATTAATGAAGACATTCTTGGCAAATGCTTTCGCTTTAGTTCGTCACGCTACGGTCCATGAATTTCACCTCTCGCGTAGCGGTACGCATGCCTTAAAAGTTTCAGTCTTAATCTTTCTTAAAAATTTCAAATTTTGTTTAAATTTTCAAACCCGTTCATCACGAAAGTTTGAAAGAGTTCAAAAAAACCCCTTCATTACGCAATATTATTGAACTTCTACTCGCAATATCATGAATATTATGAATGCAAACTTCCGACATCACCAGAATTTGTTGAAAAGGGGTAAAAGAATTGGAGTAATCAGTTATATTTTGTTTTGCAAAAAGTTAGAAGGGGTAACAAGTACACAAAGTTTCAAGGGAAAGTTGATGAATTGAAAGAAAAAAGGAAAAGAAAGAGGAAGTGGGGGGAATTACCCCAAGGGATTGGATTCGAATGGAATAGAAAGGAATCGGAGGAGAGACATTCAATCATCAACACTCTTCCTTAACAGAAAACACACTTCACCCAAACTTGTTACATGGTTTGTTTTTAGAGATTTTAAGGACTAGAGTTGGCACATGTCCAGAGAAAGGCTCACCCTAGTTGGCAAATCCCAAGAGAATTTTGCAAAATTCAAAAAGTTGATCAAAGCATAAAAGTTCGAACCCAACCTAAGATTATAGTTAATCCAAATATGGTCTAACAGTATTTTAGTTTAGAATCTAATAAGTTTCAGACTATGTGCCAACTAAGAATGTTTTCCAACAGGGCCTAGGGCCAAGCCAGGTCAAGGTCTGGCTTCCGGCAGGCTCAGAGACATTACGGGCTTGGTCTGCAATAAGCTATAAAGTCATGCAAGATCAGGACTTGATTTGTGTGTTCTCACTCCAAAAACTTTCATTTCATTCAACTTTTCTCCGTTCGAATCCACAAAATCTCATTTTGTAGACTTTTCAGAAAAGGAATTTGGCTTTGCTAGCAGAAACAGTTTACTAAAACTGCTTACGTTAATGAACAGAATGAAATTTTCGTTTAAAAATTCTACTTTTATACCCACAGAATACAGTAACCCAAAATACGACATGACCAAGCTATTCAGTTTACAAAATAGGAAACACAAAGTCTACAAAATCAACCAATAAATTTGACCCAATAAACCGATCCAATAAACTTGCCTTTGGAACAACTCTGTTTCAAACTCTTTCAATTTTTTAGCCTTTAAACCCTTTTGTTTCATAATACCACAAAAACATCAGCCTCGATGACGACTACTTGCTTATTTTTGCCTATACCTTTGAATCAATTGACTTTGAGTTGAGGCAGACTAGTGTAGTAGCGGAGCTTAATTTGTATTTAATATACCAGCTTAATTTGACACCAATTGATTATTCTTTTCGTAACTCATTCAATCACCTTTTGAGTCACCTATAGAAATTTGCATTATATGTAGTACCTAGTCTTCCAAGAAAACCATCAATCCCTTTTCAACTACTCAAGTCTATGCTTTTTCGTGGGAAACTCAAAAACTAAGCTAGGTCCATATTCGTGAATGCTTGACGTATCTAAAGATGTGTCCAAAAAAAGGAGGGAATTCTTCTCTCGAAACACAACAAGCCTCAAACAAAAAGATGTCACTCATTGAAGGAGGATTGACATTCGAAAAAAAGAGGAAAGGAGAAGGAAACCTTGAAGAGAGAGGTTGATGGGTTGAGGGGAAGGAATGGCGAATGTTGGCCCTTCAGCCCAAAAATGGAATGGGGTGTTGTAGCTCTTAAATCATTCATTGATCCTTTCTCTTCCCTCAAATATCCTCATTCCTTTCATTGACATCCTCATGGGAATCTTTAGATCATTTCCGTCTTTTCCTTCAATCATTTTTGTCCTTGGAATGGTTCAGAATGTTGATGTTGATGAATTTCGTGTCTTTTTTAAAATATTCGATGCATCCAAGCAACATTCTGGTTGTCTTTTCGAGACACTCATTCAAATTTGAGATTTCTAAATAAAATGACATAGCGCTGGGATTTTTTGGGCCTTCAAATAGAATCACTCAGTTTTTCAGATGTTGCAAGCATCTTAAAACTAATCAGAAAAGGTACTGAGGTGTCGTTCTTGAATTTTTAACTCTATTGGATACGACAACCTTTTCAGATATAGATTTTGGAAGTGATTTTTGAAGTACCCGGATGTAATCCTTTTCTCTAGTATCTCTTGAAGCTCTACGAAGAACAAAGTAGAAAAAGTGTTATACCAGAAAATGAAATCATCGACAATAAATTGAAAGTGGAAGAGTCTCTTTTTGAGAAGAATCAACAACTTGGATAATCTTTTCTTTTCTTTAACCCATTCTTTTATGCACCGTATCCTTTTCTTTTCAAATCTTTTCACAATTTCTTCTTCTTTTTTTCTGATCGAATTGTTGGAAGAGATCCCTTGGAACCCCGCCCCTTCCCCCTTGAACCTCGCCTTCTCTTCTCCCTTAAATCCTTCCCTCAAAATTCTCAAATCCGGATTTTGTCTGAAGACCTCAAACTTTTACACGAGTTTCTAATTGCTTGAGAATTTTAAGTTTTCCCATTTCTTGTCTCGTAGTTTTGATCTCCTTGATCTCCTTGATCAAAGGCATTTGAATTATCTCCGCATTTTTATGCCCGATTAAGTCTATTTCCATTTGTACCTGAGTACTGGTGACTCTCATTAATACATTAATAGTATAAACGCTAAAAATTTGCATATAAACACTTTACTCAAAGTCTAGAACAGGCTACAATAGTCTTCGCTTTACCCCAAATACGCTACTAAAGCTTATTTCGACACTCTAACGAATTTTAGCGTTTATACTAATTGTTTGTAGTGTTGGTAATATTCGATATTCGTTCAAGCACTCAATTCCCCAATTTCAGGATGAACTGGAGTGGGGTTTTTCTTTTCCTTTTCAGCGTACTCTTCACCATCGCGCGGAGTCAACAGGTAAGCATTTCAATCATCAGAACACAGCCTTTAATCCAAAATCTACTTACTAGTAAGTTAATAAGTTCATCATATTCAAATATCTCAACCAAAAGCTTGTTCAATATGTTCAATCATAAGTTACGAAGCCAAAACATATTTTGACTCTTCTGTCGTAGACATCCCATTGTCCCCCACTCGCAACATCTCCGTCTAAATTCTCCCAACAAATTGAATATATTATTTTTGGCTTGGCAAAAGAAGAGCAAGGAGCTTTAGTTGTTCAACTCCAAAAATCATTGATGATGAGCAAAGGGAATGAAATTGGGAAGAAAGGGGAAAGAATGGGAGAAGAAGTGCACATCCATTCACTCTGATTAGTTCACCAACAAATTTTTACCCTCACTAGCAATTCTCATTTCCGAGATTGAGCAACGGGAACACGATTGACTAAACAGAGAAGAAATAGAATCATCAATCATCTCTTTGGTGGATGAAATCATGTGGAAGCTATAGCTGCAATAGTTATTGCAATTGACCTGGAAAAGTTCAGCTTTGCTCTAATCCTACATAGATACCTTTGGATCCTATCTCTATATTATAATAGTTGCTCTTTAGCGACTATTCGGTTTACTGTAATATCCATTAATTGCGTTATGGGTTACGGTAGATGAGCCACGGTTTAAACTGCCTACCCGAGTGGATATTTGAAAAAGTCTGCAAGTAAGATAGGGTGAGGTTTTTGAAAACGATAAGCCTCGAGTTCTAAAATAGCATAAGTTTTCATATAGCTTCATTTTTGAAGCAATGAATCTAGCTGTAATTTATCTTATTGTAGCCAGAAATTAGGTTTAGCTAGTCAGAATTAGTCTCCATTACTGCGCTACTAAATTTTCAATTCTACGTGCCTTCGTACCATCATTGGCTCTCGTTTAACCTTTCAAAACATCCGTCTTTCTAAAGCTGTAGAGGAAAAAAGCCATTGAGAAACGGATATGTCGATGTTGAGAGGACGTTTCTCTTGAAAAGAAAAGGAATCATTGACATCGAAATGAGAATGAGAATTAGAAAGAAAATATTGAGAAAAGGGAAAAAGGCGAAATCTTTTTGGGGGAAAAATTTCCTCGATTTATTATCGATGAAGAGGTCATTATTTATTCACTCAAAAATCGCCCCAAATCTCTCCCAATATTTTCTCCAATATTTTTTCCAAATTGGAAGAGTTAGGCGGAAAGCTTTCGTCTTTTAAAATGTCAATCTTGATGGCAAAAATAGAAAACGGTCGTCATTTTTATGGATTGACGAGTAATGTCTGAGGGTAATACCAAACAAAACTTTGCACTAATCTCTCTTTTGAAAAGAAAAGAAAAAGAAATTTGAGATTAATCTCTTTTAAACAAAACTTTTGTCGAATTGACAGAAGTTTTGTTTCTTTGCAAAAATTTAGAAATTGGGGAAAGGAATGAACCAGGAAATTTTGAGGGAGAATTGATCTGGAAAATTCAGAAATTCATTCATTTTTTTGCAAAATTTAGACTTTGGGCGAGTTGTGCGAGAAGACGGCCGAGACGAGGGAATTGTGTAATTATTTGTTGAGACCGATTGATGAGATCACGGAAAACAATCAGCATGGACAGGTTGGGGAAGAAAATCGATTTGCAAATAGAATATGTAATTTCTAAAATGTCAATATATGATTTGTCAATCATCGAAAATTTTCGTAATCTCAACAAAACTACCGTTTACAGTAATCCCTTGACTTGTTCTAGCTCTGTTTGACAGTTCCATACCCAGCAATTGTCAAATCTTAAACCTACAAGCAAAAGAATTTTTCTATGTTTATCTTTTCAGCCAGAGAAGCGAAAGGCGTCATTTATTCGATTCGGAAAGCGATCGGCTCCTCAAGTAAAGCATTTTGCAAAAGATTGTTGCTTTTCAAGAGCCCAAGAAACGACAAAAGTAAATAGTATTTTATTCTAGAATCTCGAATCGATGAGCGAATTCGACGAGGGATATCCATCGTCATTCATCGCTAAACGGAAAGCCTCATTCATCCGCTTTGGACGGAAATGAAATTGATGGTGAGAGCGCTGATTTATGAAAAGAAAACTTGGACTGATCTTATGAGAAAGAGCACTTGCCTAACGCATATAAAGTAATCTAACTGCTACTCGTAAAGGAAAAATTTAAGATAACAAAGCAGACATACTGTAGAACTGGTTGATTACTGTAGCTTTCCAAAAAAAGGTGTCTTTTAGGAACGTATTGCTTGAGAGGAACAGTACTGTATTCAGCATTCAAATCCAAATCGTTTCAGTTGATCTCTCTCAACTATTCCCCTTATTTTTCTCCTCTCTCAAACTCAATTGCAGCACATCGATATGGGTTCTCACAAAGCAACTACAACAGCAACAGATTTTGTTAGATATAGAAGATCGAATGTTTTTGCTTATTTGTGTAAAACAAATTCTTTTTTCTATATAAAGTGTTACATCAAGTTCACAATAAATTCTCCTCATTCAAACGAAGAATAAAGAGTTGTTAAATATTGAATTGGTGACAAGATTTTCAAAAAAAAACTATAGGTTTTCCAAAAGGGTTTCCCAAAATACGCTATTTCCTTGAAAAATCGACACAAAATATACAAATGACGTCAATTCTTTTGGATATTTTCGATCCAAAAAGAATCGGGTTTCTTTCGAAATAAAATGAAAATTGGATGAAGACAATGGGTGAAGGGGATTAAGCGAGAATTCGTTTCCTTTACAAAAGTTTTCTTTTGCCTTTCAGAGTTACGGAAAAACCTTTTCATATGAATAGAAATGATCTCAAAAAAGGATGATAATAGTGATGAAAAGAAAATAGAGAACCCCATTCCACAGAAAGGTTATCGGTGAGGGAATCAACTCCAAACAACAACTTACATCATCACTAATCAACTTGCAGATCTTTGGAAAAAAAACAAGAGAAATTATTGACTGAATATCTTGTTCCGAAAGCAAAAGCGCTTTGATTTTGGCTGTTTTCACCGATCGATTGACTATTTTTAACTCAATGGCAATACTGCCTCCTGGTTCTGTAATAAAATCATTGTATTTTTTTCTCAATTTTTGAGAGTTCAAAAAGTTTACGTCGTTTTAGAGACACCGCCCTTTGAAATTCTTTTTCATGTTGTTTTCATGTTGTTTTCATTATTAGTATACACCAAGTTTTATTTTTTTCGTGTTTTTAGTTCTGGTCGCAGTGATGGCTTGCGTGATGACAGAGGAACGCGCAAACTTCGAGGCTGTTGGAAAGCGGGCGATCGCCGATCTATGGAAGTACCACAATCATCCGGAGAACTTCCAATCCAGCAAGTTTTCTGAAGGCGACATCAAGGTCTACACAATGAAAAGTGACAACCCCGACTGTCCCGAGGATATCGCCAAAGCTTCCATCTCTCTAGAAGTAAGAGTTTTAGACCTTTATGGATATTAAAACGTGGTCTACTAGGGAATGGCAGATTTTCGCTAGTTGTGGTTTTCATATTATTGTCAGTCATCTTTAGTTACTTATTCTAGTAAAGACTATGCGTCAGTTATGGTATTCAAAGTGGCCGTTCAAAGTTTGACTTATTGTTGATCTTGCCGTTTCAATGCTGCTCTAAAAAGTTTCTCAAACAGTAATACAAGCCTCCTGACCGTGTAAAACCCTAATTAATTGGAGTAAAGTTGATGCTTGCTTATCAAGTGTATACGTTGTCATTCTAGGGCACTACTCTCAACCACGCACTTGCTCTGGTTTTGCCATGGATGCCTTACAGACCGCAATGGGATGATCTTCTTGCAGTAAGAAAAATAGGTTTTTCCTAGCTTCATTTTTCTTTTAGCGAGCAAAGGTGCTCGGTGAGATTTCTCCTGCCATGAAGATCGTTCATCACGTGACTAAAAAGAAGACTCCATTGAGCGCTCGTGACTCGGTAGATGTGGTCTCCGTCGACGCTCGAAATAACGGATCAACTATCATCCTTGCTGCTCGCTCAGTTAAAATGGCCGACATGCCCGAACTCAAGGGTCACGTACGCACTTTTCAACATCTGGGAGGATTTGTGATTCAAGATTGTGGAGAAGGTAACTAATTAATTACTGTATGAATCGTTTTTTAGCTGAGTAAACATTAGTTGAATTGTGCATAACCCATTGTCATGTTTCTACTTTAGGAAAAATCGGCTTCGAGTTGTACTTCCACGGCGATTTGAAAGTCAGTGGGGGAATCCCTTTTGTGAAAAGCATTGTCGAGACGATCAAGCCCAAATTTATGGTGGATATGGCCAAGAGCTTGCGCAAAGCTATTCGTGGTGTACCCGTTCTCCCAAGTGACATGCAGGACACATTAATCTACACAAACCTCACTGTCGATACTGAATAGTCATTTATCTGTGATTTACCAATTTTAGTGTGTTTGCATTTTGACAATTTGCGGTTGTGGATTATCAGCCTTGTAAATTTATGGTAAATAAATGATTCTTAACAAGACTTTTAATATGCAAAAGAATTATAAACTGCTTCTCATTTTTTCCTTACCTATTCGGAGATTGGTCGTATTTAGCGATTACGTGTACAAGTTAAATCAGCCAAATTGGTCAATCTCTTCAATAGCCGGAACCCGAAACGAACTTTTGTGTCATTCATGTCATCTTGTCTGGAGAATGTTTGGGTAAGTTTTCACCCTAGTAGATTTTCATTATTAATTTAGCGTCAACAACAAATTTTAACGAATCGTGGGACACGTGTCCACTGAAATCTACCCGGGAAATATTCACGGGGAATTGGTAGTCGTGGGCAGTTGATTTTTTAAAATTATATACCATATGCTTCTTTTGCAATTGCTCTTTTCGATCATACGTGAGACGTAAGGAGTGGTGTCAATGGGCGAGCACTCAGTGTGGAAGGTAATGATTGATCTATACGTTGCATATACTCTGATTTTAGCACAAGGCTCTGAAGGGTTGCTTCAATTACCGCACAGTGCGAAATCGGTATATTTTAACAAATTTTCTCCTGGATTGATCTCGAATATTTTTAGACTATTGTTTATAATCGCTGCAATTTCTATGAGACTCAACAGGTAAGTAAATCTTTTTGTTGATAAATAACTTTTTTGCATAGCCACCACCTAATCAAATCGATTGCACAACTACGCGATGCACCTCAGACGAGAATCTCCACACAACCGTCGCCACTCAATCGGTCAAAGGCTGGAAAACTGGGTTGAACAACTGGAAAGAAATGTGTGACGCGACTCCAAAGGGGTTTTGTTGAAAAATTTAGTCGCAGCGCTTTTGGATAAGGTAGTTGTTCTTGTATAAATTTGCTTAAATTTTGCCTTAGAATGTCTGCACGGCACATTGAAACTCAGCAGCGGATCCACGTACCGCACTCCTTACTCAACCACTTGCAGATGTGCGGACGGCAGTGGGAAATAAATCCGAGGTGAGTGGGTAAACAGTTAACTTAATTTTTGTCAGTGGTAGTATAAACATGGTAGTATTATACTACTATTATACATGCCTAAATGAAATTTTGGTTAAATTAACATTAGAACTCGTATTTGAATATAAACATAACCTATCATGAATTCGATAAAAAGCTTTTCAATCATTTAAAGTCATTTTTATTCCGTCAACCACTTTTTCGGTAGGTATCTTTCTGTTTTCTTTCTATTTGTGCAAGTTTAGGCAATTGATGTGTATCAAAAGAAGAACAATCCAGCGGTGAGTTTTTGCGGAAAGCTTATCATTTTTTGCATTTTTAGGTTCCGTGTTCGACGCACTCAACGCACAATGTTGGTGAGCTGAAGAGTGACGAACGAAAGCTTTCAAAGGTTGAGGAGATTAAAAAAGAGGGTTGGCGGTTGATTCGCATTGATATTATTTGTTTTTGTAAGCCTGTCATCCAGAAAATCAATCTTTAATGGTTTTCTTATTTAGGGCACCTCTGACGGCACTTCATCGCAAGTCCTGAGAACGAACAAAGACAAAGTCACGCAACTGACCAACGAGAACAAGAAAGCTTCCGTCAAGAAAAGATTCGAAGTGCCAAAAAAAAGTTTGTTTTGAGATTAGTGGCTAAATTTGGGTGATTTTAGGTGAAGAAAGCCGAGGCCAAGGATCCGCAATATGATGTGAGTTTTGGTCACTTTACAGTTAAAAGTTCTTATTTTTTTTAGACCATGCATGGTTTGGGCAGCGACAATCTTTTTGCCAATGATGTTGGCGAGAAAAAGAAATCGTTGAGGCAACAAAATAAGGTAGATATATTCGGTTTATATTCCGTAGCAGTGAACCTGGCACATGTTTGACTTCATTGTTTCCTTACAGGTTCCGAAAGACGACGACGATGATGCCGATTATGTTTGCCTCGCCGAAATGAAAGATGACGACTTTTGAAAAATAGATTGATCTATATATTGCTTGAATGAAGATTAATATCGCGTTATGTTTTTTTTATTCGTACAAAATTGGTTTGCGAAAAATTAGACAAATCGATTGTCGTAGCTAATGTATCTAACGGCAAAACTAGAGCCAAATTTGAAGTTTCTCTGGTTGGAAACAGGGTTAAGCTATTCCTATGCATATGTTTGATGGAATTAAAGTGCGGAGGTGATACAAGAAAGCAGCAAGTGAAGAGATGGGAGGAGACATGTATTGACCCTTGTGATTATCATCGATTCACCTCCTCCCATTCTCATGTTTGTCTTCCCATCATTACATTCATGTCCAATTATCAATATCATTTCGTCTACCGTTTCTTACAAGAGCTTTACAAGCCTCATTTGCTGTTTTTCACATTCTCTTCATCACATCGGAGCTCAAAATATAGTGTGTTTCTCTAGTTGCGTTCTCGAAAGCTATCGTAATCTTGGTTCTAGTTTTTATCTAATATAATTTTTATCTATCTTATTAAAGAAGTCGATCAAAGGTAGATAGATTGGATAAAACGAAGACACGTCTACCGTACCTTTCATAAAAATGGTACTTTTTATAAAAAAGCATTATTTGAGAGAGTTGTTTCTTTACAGTAGACTTTCTGATACTTGGCTATACCCAGTAAAATACGGTATTTCTGTTATGAATGAATGGGTGGAAGTTTACGTAGAGGAGACCCTCGAATTGGGGGGGAAGAAGATCTCATTGCTTCTCAAGAGAATGGTTTGTCAACAAGAAAACGACAAGAAGAAGCAAAAGGTGGAGGAGATGGACAAGAAGAAGACATACTCTCGAAACATTGATTCTTCTCCCATTCTCTTTTCTTTGCTTTTCTCAATGCTCATTGAGTCAAGGGTCTTCTTTTGATTTGGGTCATTCATGCTTTTCGGTTTTTTTTATTTTGTACATGGAACTTTAAATAGTGAGCTTAAGGTTAATCTTTCTTAAACTGATTATCCAACTATAATTAAACCTTTCTTAAGCTGGCTATCCAACTCTAATTTTTCTACGGTTGCTGAAGAGTACGGTAGTTCTGTGATTTGAACTTAACTTGAACTGGTAGATCCACAAGAAGTCTTCTTATCGAAATGTATTTTTCAAGATAAAAAATAACTTTGACTTAAGCGTTTTTATCAAATCTCAACTTTCGAAAGTATACGGTACTCGATTTGGAAGCTTAGAAATCCTATGAGTAAGACTAGTTTATTCACTTCGACTAATTCCTTTAAACTTTCAAAACTACCATAATATTGCTTCTGTTTTTATTCGATTTATCTACTTTTTGCGATCTACTTCGTGATCTCTCGTAGGAGTAGATCAATTGGATAAAGCTAGAGATAAGGCTACGATAGGTTTTCAAAAGTTGAAGAGATAGTAATCAATATTTTCCAATATATGCTAAAAATCGCCTTTTTCGATGATTGTATTACAAAAGTTTTTAATTTTTACAACTTTCGAATGTCGGGGTGCATTTAATTCTAAACCCCATTTTACCATCAACCAGAAGAACCCTCTAATGGACATCCTGAATGAGATGAGGGTGTGAAACGGATTTTTCACCAATGAGACCTTAGAATCAGACTTTTTTTTTCCATAAATTTCCTCCTTTTTTCTGTGTATGGGTGTATCTGTTTGGTGAGTTTTTTTCTTGTCGAAATCACTTCGTTTTCTCTTCTCATTTTCTTTTTTCTTTACTGTATTTGCGCAGAGTTGCCATCATTCTGTTCTGTTCGTGAACAAGCTTTTCACACACATACAGAGAAAATGAGAATTGAATTTGAACAAAAAAAAGGGACTGAAGGAGATACTCTTGTTGCACAATCAGTGAGTCTCGGACAACCTTTCTTCAATCTATTTGTTTGCCTTTTCATTGATTGAGTGAGCAATTGTTGTAAATCATATCTCGAATTTAAAATTCCAGGACGCTCAACGATGAGCACCCAAATCGGGGCGATCAACACGCTGAATGAGTTCATCGCAAAGATATTTAAACAGCCGAAAGGAGATCTTGTAAGTTTGAATTTGGACTGATTCACGATTTTACAGTAGCCAGGATCTAGAGATAATTTTTCCAGGCCAGATATGGCGAAAAGCCAGAAAGAACACTGGCTTTAGTGCATACTTGGTTCACAAATTTCCTGGAATCAGCTAGAAAGTCAAGCTTTAACTTTAAATCTTAGCTTTAGCTTTAACTTTCATCTGGCCTGGAGTCAGTTTGTCCATCCCTGACTGCATCCATATTTTAGGCTGATCGTCTAAATACTCGTCTCACCGTTGCGATTCTTTCACTAGCCGCCGTTTTATTGTTATCGGGTCAATTTTTTGGTGATGCGATCACTTGTTGGTTACCGCATCAATTCACGAAAGATGTTTGAAATATGTAAAATTACGAATCTCAAAAATTCGCCTTTAGTGGATAGCTTTCGTGAATCAATATTGTTTCGTGCATGGAACCTATTTTGTGCCGTTGGATCAAGAATTGAGTCATGACGAGAACGAGAGGAGAAAACAACCGATCACATATTACCAATGGGTGAGTTACGCAATAGGATTGGCACTCGAGTGTACTTTGAGCTCTCAGAAAAGTAAAAACACCCTTTCTGGCACTAGAAAGGGTTTGTTACCATTTTCCTTAAAACACACTTGATTTTCCAGGTTCCCTATATTTTGGCGGGTCAAGCTTTTCTCTTTTACATGCCGCGATTCATTTGGAAATCGCTATGCGCTCGTTCGGGTGGGTTATCTTTAAAGTTTCCCTTCAAAAAATGCATTTTCTAAAAGCTATCAACTTTTGAAAGCTACCGTAATCTTGCCATTAACCCAATCTATAGCGTTTCTCATGAAGAAATTCAGGATACGATCTCGCTGGCTCAATCAGATATGTGGATGATTTTTGGACGGTTGTAAAAGCGGCTGATGGATCTTTTAGAGGTACCTAACCTATACAGGTGTCCGAAAAAAAAAAAGTTGCTCACCGGTTTGAGTCTGGAAAAATTTTCTCGTTGATTTTTCAAAGCGCATGGTGGTGTCAGAATTGGTTTTGCCTCGGGCGTCACACAACAAGATCAAGTTGATTTTTTTTTGACGATTTTGTGAATAGGGGTTCATGCATCGGCCGGGGCACTCAAAATCCAAGTATACATGAAAAGCACAATTTTCAATTCCTCTATTTCACCACAAATCTTTCAACTTTTTGTTTCTATAAATTTGTTTTGTTCTTTTAATTTTCTAAAAACAATTTCAGTTTGCATTTGTTGGATTGGCTGCTTTAAAAATCTTAAAAATATGGTTAATTTTTAAACGAGAAAACCCTCTTGTTGCTGCTTTTGTCTTGTTGCTGCTTGTTGCTGAAAACCCTCTTGTTGCTGCTTTCGCAGGACCGACTTTTTGGGGTCTCTTATTTGCAAGATCCTCATATCAAAACAAATTTATAGAAAGAAAAATTTGAAAGATTTGTGGTGAAATAGAGGAATTGAAAAGTGTGTTTTTCATGTATACGTGGATTTTGAGCTCCCCGGCCGATGCATGAACCCCTATTCACAAAATCATCAAAAAATGAACTTGATCTTGTTGTGTGACGCCCGAAGCAAAACCAATTCTGACACCACGATGCGCTTTGAAAAATCAACGAGAAAATTTTTCCAGACTCAAACCGGTGAGCACTTTTTTTTTCGGACACCTATATACTTATATTACGAATCAGAATATTGTAGCGAGATTTCAGATCGCCTAAGCCATTTCGAGGGTCGTCCAGCCGTTTACGTGTGGGATGCATTGAGACTTGCGCGCAAGAAAGGATCACATTTAATCCCGCTATACTATGCGATTGGAGCCGCACTTCAAGCAGCCAATGCCTGGATACAGGTAGAGAGAAATTGTCAAAATTAAAGCTATTCAAACATTGACAGAACTATCATTAGCTTCTTCTCGGAAATCTGGGTCTTTTCATTGTGAAAAGCTATCATATGCAAAAACCAGAGCCAATTCGATTCTCTTGGGACTTTTCTTGGGAAAAAGGGTTAAAATAAACTCCGCTAATGGGTTCTACGACCGTGAAAACCCCGGGGCATAAATTTTTAACATTAAATCACATTTGGGCATCATTTACAGAACAAAAGAAAACTGTGAAAAGTGACTGAAGAGGTGTTCTTTGTACGCGCGCACAATCGCTTGCCATCTAGCAAACCCCCTCGGTAAAGGGTTAAAAGATTTCGCAATGAAAAGACCCGAATTTCCGAGAAGAACCGAATGATTTGTTAAATTTATGCAATGTTTTCAGTTCTACTTGATCAATATGGTCATTTCGACGGAGAACACTTTCTGGGGTCCGAGCGTTTTGATGGACATTGTATCGGGGAATGATTGGCAGGTAGAGACAGACATGATAACACCAGTATCCTTTTTTCAGAACAAATCAAAAAGCATGTCTTGAGAGTGTTTGCTAAAATGTGTTCATTTTCGAAAACCGCCGTAGCCATAGATTTCATTCAGAGCACCGGTCATTTCCCCCGGATTACCCATTGTGATTTCAACCGAAGACGACCCGCTTCTGTACAGGTGATGAAACATTCTCCTTTTCGACTTTTGAAACGAATTTCAGTTGGACACAGTGTTGTGTGTTCTGTCGATGAATATCTACTACGAGAAAATCTTTCTCTTTTTATGGTTTTGGATACTTTTCGTTTCTGTGGTTTCGACGATTAATGCTTTTTATTGGATTTATATTTGTGCAGCGCCATACAGGGTAGAGAATTGAAAAAATCATTTCTAAATAAAACTAAAAAGATAATTTCAGGCTCAATCTACAATCAACAGTTATTTGGAAACCGATCCACAGTTGAAGTCGAGAGATTCAATTGTCGATTTTTACAAGTGAGCATATAAAGCAAAGAACGATTCAAAGAAGGATGTGAACAAATTGGACAAATGAAAACATCGAAAATAAGTTTAATAGGTTCATGAGATGTAAAAGAGGCACGGAAAAGCTTTTCTTGTGCATTGTGCATCTTGTGCATTGTGCATCTTGTACATCTTGTGCATCTTGTACATCTTGTGCATCTTGTACATCTTGTGCATCTTGTACATCTTGTGCATCTTGTACATCTTGTGCATCTTGTACATCTTGTGCATCTTGTACATCTTGTGCATCTTGTACATCTTGTACATCTTGTACATCTTGTACATCTTGTGCATCAAAAATTGCAAAATGTAAAGCAGCATTTGACGAATTTCAGTTACTTCAATATTTCTTTAGAGATCCGAATTAACGATCGATTTCTATACATAGTAATTCGGATTATAATTCGGACCAGGATCCATAAAATGCTCAAATTTCTCAAAATTCAGATGTTAAACTACTAGATTTTTTCCAAAAGCATTCAAATTTTCAGTCGTCTCGGCTCCGACGGACTTTTCGTTCTCCATCAAATGGCCGTCAATTTGGGCGATTTGCCCACAAGGTAAAACCAACAAACTAAAAAAAAGTTTTAAAGTAAACTATCTAGTCTAAAACCATTTCTAATATGAATAGAGTTTAAAACATTTCAAATCCTTTAGCTATTTGGCGATATCGATGCGAGCGATTTCTAACCGATACGAAGAGGAGGATAAAGAAAGGGGAAAGATGAAATGGGAGAAAACGCATCTCATTCAAACGAAAGCTTAATTTGAGTATTCTTTTGAGTTCTTTTAGAATATTGCCTTCAATTTTGAAAAGTACAGTACGATAATTTGTTACACAAAAAGACCTAAAGCATTTTTGTCCTTTTCAAAACATCTCATTTTTCCTTTTTGTGATTCTCAGATTTCATTTCGAGAAAGAGACAGCTTTTTTTGATTTGTTCAGAAAAAAAGGATACTGGTGTTATCAATAGAAATAACACAATACAGTGTTATCAATAGAGATAACACAATACAGTGTTATCAATAATATCAATATCAATTTTCTCAATCAAACACTATCAATAGTGTTTTTCTAAACTAAAATCTTTTCTAAAATCTGTAAACTTTCAAAAGCTACCGTAAGACCGTAATTTAATCTATCTTTCCTGAATCATTCAGGAAATATATAAAACTAGATAGACTGATCACAAATTACAGGGTGACCAAGAATTACCGCAACACACAAAAGGGCCTGGCTTATAACCAAATATGAAACCCATCTCGAAAAGTTAACTTAAATATCTTTATTCAAAATATAACAGTAACAAACTAACAATTAAATTCAAATTTGCCTCCATCGGTATTCAGACAGGCCTGCAAACGTTTGGGAAACGCGTTGACCGTGGCGAGCAAATAGGCATCATCGAGGGTATCCCATGCTTTGATCAGCGCCTTCTTCAAACTTTCGATATTTTATGTGGATTTGCACATGCCCTGGCTTCAAGAACACTCCAGATTGAGTAATCCAATGGGTTAAGATCGCGTGAGCTGGTTGGCCACTCAGAAAACGAGATGAAGTCCGGGAAGTCCGGGAATCGCTTGCACATCTTCCAGGGCGATCAGAAACTGTGCCCAGAGTTTCATAACGTTGAATGGTTCGAGAAACGAGGCTTCTGGGGACATTCAGGCGCTTTGAGATCTCCATCGGCATTCAGACAGGCCTGCAAACGTTTGGGAAACGCGTTGACTGTGGCGAGCAAATAGGCATCATCGAGGGTATCCCATGCTTTGATCAGCGCCTTCTTCAAACTTTCCATATTTTTATGTGGTTTTGTACATGAAAATAATATAAGAAAAATACACAAAAACCATAAAAACAGTGAGCAAAAAGTGAAATGGGGCTCATAACATAATACGATGTTGTTGCGGTAATTCTTGGTCACCCTGTATAGTAAAGCATTCAATAGTTTTAGTATAAGCAAGATTACGGTAGCTTTCGAAAACCATTCGAACTAGTCATCATCATTTTATCTTAAAATTCATGTAATTGAATGATTGACGATAAACGAAAATTGATCAGAAAAGGCTCTGTATGTACAACAAAAAAAAGGGGAGGAAATTCGGTATTTCGAGACGATTTCCGATCGTTTTTGGACAGGAAATTTCCCTCAGGAAATTAGTCAGAAATTCTCGCGGTTCATCTATGAATTATTAGAAAAGGTGATCAAAAAAACAGCAAAAAATCTACATTTGTATAAAATATCTTGAACCGAATCCATTCCATCATGGCTGAAAGTGGTCAATCATCGAATTCCACCAATTCCACCAATTCCACGGACTATTTGACGATCGAGGAGCTGGTGCTCGAGTTCACCCCATCGCAAACCGACATTTTGGTGGCCATCATCTATTTTGGGGTAAACGATTTGTTCTACAACGTGCCAAAACGACCATAACCGGTTATGGTAGTTTTGGCACGTTGTAGAACAAATATCGTCTTTCACAGTCTTTCAGTCTTTCACAGAATTCTTTCAGATCGCCATTTTCTCGACCATTTTAAACATTTATGCATGCGGGCTCGTATGGGGAAATGATCGGATTGCAAAAGCTGTCAAGGTTGAAAAATGCTAAATTTTTGCCAAAAAAATGCCAAAAAGACAAATTTTCAGATGTTTTTATTTGGAGATCACTTGTGCAGGGCGTTGAATTGCACACTCGTTCTCTATTTCGGCACTTGTATACTTAAGTTGGTTCTCTAGCACTTGTATACTTAAGTTGGTTCTCTAGTTGGTTCTGGTCTTAGCTCTTCTTACTTAAGTTCTTAAGTTGTAAACTGTTCTCTGGGCTCGAAACTGAAAACAAACTGTCTGGCACACTGAAATATTTATTTTCCTTACAGTAATAAGTTCCTGTCTGGAAAAGTTTCATAAATGAGTGTGCATTCTAGTTCTAAATACTAGAAAGGGTGTGCATTCACTTTTGAGCTTCTCATGAAATGGGATCTACAGTGGCCGATGCAGTACTTCAAAATATGCTAATTGATTCCGAAGATTCTCCGTTTAGCCGTTTTTGTCTACTCGATCCCTGGTGGTTAATCTGTCAGATTTTGGCCGCATTTCAAGGATGTCTTCACTATTCGGCATTCCTTTATGAGGTTCCTTTATAAATGCTCACAAAAGAAAAACAAATTCAAATTTCAGATCGTTTTATCAACGAATCGCTTTTACGCTGTCGCTTTCATGGGCATTTACTACAAAAAAGACCCTGCAACTACGGTATATACAGGTGATCAAAATAGGAATGAAAAAAAAATCATTTCTATAACTAAAACCAAATTCCAGATGATCATTGTACCCATTTTGCCTGTGACACTGATGACAATTGGCACATTTATCCGTATGGAAAAGATTTTGAGGCCTTAATATCTAATAAGTTTTCAGCGGGCAATTGTCGTTTCTTCAATCCTTTAGATTACGCTGTTTTGAATTATGGGGACTTTTTCACAACAATGGTATCTAAAAGCATCAAATTCCCATTCAAAATCTATAGATACCGACATTAAATTTCTTCGTTTTTTCTCTACTTTGCATATCGATTGGGCTCGATGTATTTACGCTGAGAATCCTTAGAATACGCTTGGTATTTGTTACAGAAATTATACTCGAAATGCTCATGATCTTTAAGGGACAAGCTTTCAAATCCCAACACGGAGGAAACTTCACTCGATCCGATCTACAACTGACAAAACAGGTGTCTTACATGAGAACTGCCAAAGTAGAACCAATTTAGATGGTTGCCACACATGGATCCGGATTGTTTTATCTGTTCATATCTTTCTTTCATCAATATGGGTAAGTGAACCATTACAAAGCGATCTATGCCAGAATTCAGACCGGCAAAATTAACCGTTCAACCGATTATTTCGTTCACTGCAAACATGGCAATTCCTTTGTGTTTTAGTTGTTGGATCGGGTATTGTTTACTATAAGATGAATCCTTATCATTACCACTATTAGGTTGTTAACGATTTTTTTCATGACCAAGAAAAATAAATCAACCCCACAAACGGAAACTCCGAATTTCTTCAAAGCACCATCCACGACAAAAACCGCCGTCCCCACCAAACGTATCACGTTAGTCAAAGCTTAATCTACAAGCAATTAAAGTGAATAAACGTTTATTTACTATTTTCCGTCCAAAACATTATAGACAGAAATCTACTTTTATAGACAATAAACCGGCGCTAAAGTACAAATCAAAACTAAAAAAGGCAAAAACCAGCCTAAATTCTTCAAAGCGTAAAATTTGGTTGCTTATTTTTCCTCTTCTCCGACAACAATCGTATCTCCTTTGAAAACGTATGGTGGCACATCAAGGTTACGAGGAGCGGGTCCCTTTCTAAAGTAAATGATTTAAAAGAATTTTTGTAAAATATACCTAATGCGTCCAGATGCATCGTAGTGACTGCCGTGGCAGGGGCAGTAGTAGCCAGAGTATTCACCAGCGCCAGCTAAATATTTTCTATAGTATTTTCAACTCGTGCATTCTATGCTATGCTATAATCGACTAAAATATCCCGTTCTTTTGATTTAAACCAACCAATAGGAGCGCATCCAAGATGTGTGCAGACACCAATAACCACCGACCATTCATCACGTTTCACTCGCACATCGTCGTGCTCAGGATCCCCTCAATTCAGAAACAACAACAGCCTAAAAGCGCAGACATTGGAGCTGATTATTATTAAATATCTTGCTGAATATCTTGTTCGACGTTTAAATATCAAATGCAGAACTATCAAGTTGTTTAAAAAAAGCAAATTCTAACCTTCTCACGATCAATTTCAGCCTTGGTTCTGTGCCGAACAAAAACTGGACGCGTGCGCCATTCGTAGGTTTTTGTTGTCCCTAAAATCAAAACATTTAGTTAACGTACTGAAAAAGAAAATAACCTTCGGGAATGTCATTCATGCTAATTTCGATCGCAGCCAAAGCACGAGTCGCCATTGACATACTCTAAAAGAAAATCATTTGCAATGAAAGAACAATTAAACAAATGGATACTTTAAAAACTTACTTTAGAATAAAGAAGTAGCTGAACTCCTTCTTTTGCACCCCATAGACCAAATGATCCAAATGCAACTAAACAGAGGATAAGTTCAGGAAATGATTATAATATTTATCAATAGCTAATTTCATGTCGAACAGGTTTTAAAATCTATGTAGACACTTACCGCCTTTAACAGCACGAGTGAAAGCCACTCTCTCGGGTTCCGTATCCCTGGAAGCTACTTTCGCGTCAAGAGTTGACTTACGACGACACTCATCAAAATTTGGATATGGAACATCATAAGTCGAAGCATGACGACGTGAGGTAACTAAAAGCAAACATATTATATCAAATGTTCAAAAGCTTTATGATGTTCGTCAACCACCAACCATTGACTCCCTTAACGGCGAGACCGCTAACAAAAAGTCCAGTGCGAGAGGCCTTCTCGGTCGCCAATTGAAGCGAGTCTATGGTCTTGTGGTCAATTGCCGCATCCTAAAAAGTATAAATTATTTATGATCGTTAATCAATTGAAATCACAGCTAGACTGAGCATTTTACCAACATTCATTTTCTATCTGCATCAACTTTGACCTAATAATCAAATCTACTCGTCAACAATGGATCAAATACTAGTCAATCAAATAAAAAAGTATACCGGGGAACCAAGGCTCGATGTGATAGAGAGCGGTGCAATTGCTTTTGACGATCGGCCAACCACCTGTAAAAAGAAAACGTATCAAATAACTAATATAATAAAACCATAAATAAATATAATAAACCAACCGTTTTGACCGACGCAGCTGATCTAGTCAACGAACCCATTGGTCGCGTTTACCCAAAAACCCCTAAGTAAGAATGTGAGAAATTTTATTAAAATTAAACAAATACGATATAAATAAATCAAACCACTCTAATCAAGGAAAAGGATAGTAAATATCAAAAACGCTGCAAGTGTGGCCCGTAAGAACTAGAGAAACAAAAAAGCGCAAACGCAAGCAATGATTGACGCACAATATCCATTTCCATCCTACATCGGAATACAAAGTACACTTGGGTGAAGGAGGAAAGACAAAAAAGCAGCTGTTCTTCACCCGAAAGCAAAGCATCTGGGGTTGTCTGCTGTGTGATATTGCAAAGAACAAAAGCATGCATTCTTTTGAAAAGACTTGGAAATTGGATAAAAGGTCTAACCGCCGTTGTTGTACTACGCTAGATGCTATTTTGAAACATTCAGCAACTGATCTAACTTTGACAAAGCCTCGTAAAAATGGTAAGCAACCTTGGGGAAATTTTTATGTAAAGATGGCAGCAAAAAAAGCAGAAAAATGCTGTAAAATACTATACTTCCAAAGTACCATCCCCCCAGTGTCCCTCTAAAAGTGTCCCCCTTGCCATTGGCAATCTACGGTATTTTGCTATTTTCTCGCTATCTACTGGATCAATTTTTATGATTTTCGTACCATTCGGTGCGTAATTTAATTATCCATTGAATAACACTAGTGGGTATACATTTCGAGTGTGTCCCCCCCCCGTGTCCCCCTTTTGCCCCCCTAAGTGTCCCCCTCAAAGTGTCTCCTTTTTGTCCCCCTAAAGTGTCCCCCCCCCTAGTATCCCCCTATTTTTTTTCATATCAAATCACAACTTTTTGCTCTCCAAATGTGCTTTAACTTTTTAAACTCAATGATCAATGAAAAATTTAAAAAGTTAAAGCACATTTGGAGAGCAAAAAGTTGTGATTTGATATGAAAAAAATAGGGGGATACTAGGGGGGGACACTTTAGGGGGACAAAGGGGACACTTTGAGGGGGACACTGGGGCGGGGGGGGCGGTATTCTGAAAGTATATAAAATACTTTAAGTAATAAATAAAATACTCAGGTAACTCAGCTGAATAGCATAAAGGTAATTTCAAGGCATATATGCAAATTTGAGGATTTTTTACTTTTGCTTTAAGTGCTGATTCTGAGCTTATAAGCGTTAAAACCAAAACCAGTATTAAAAATTTCAGATGGGCGGTAAGCGCAGAGGCGGTGGTGGGGGTGGACCGCCTGAACGCGTACGGACACATTTGTTATTTTCGAGGGAACACACGCAAAGCACCCAAAAGAGGAAACGAAGACCCCATAGTAGGTCACAGAAAAAGAAGCATTATAACAACAGCTTCCAGACAAATTGCAACACACAAATGTCCACAAAAAAGACGAAATGGTGCAAGCGGGAGCGGGTAAAACCTTGAAAAACACTCGATTTTGAGGGATTTAAGGTTTATTAGATCCAACCGAGTGGACCGGCAATCAACGAGTTCTACACTATGGACCAATGGCACAAAGGGATCCATATTTCTACTATTATCCAAAAGGATGGGATATTTTATATCCAGCCACTTTTGGATTTTTCCCCTATCGGACAACGTAAGTAAAAAAGTACAGTAAATAAACGTGAAATTTAGTCGATTTCGAGGTTCTCATTCCACGGTTTGTGTTGGCGCATTTGGTGTTTTTTTATTGTTCGGTGGAGCTTTTATGGTAAAGTTCGCTTGTGAAACAATTTCATAAACCACTGCAGGTATTTCTTGGTTATTTCTGGGTCTACACTTCTCCATTTTGGACCTGGGACGCTGATAAACGAAAAACCCCACCACCAATACAGGCAAGTACATTCAAAAGTCTAGCTCAAAGTGCTACAGATTGTGGGTCCTGTTTTTCTTATTCTTGGCGCTATTCTATGCTCACTTGCCTGTTGCCTCAGTCTGACAAACAGTGATGTAAGTTGAAACTCATGAAAGATTGCCAAATAACTATTTAGTTTTTCAAAACCTATTTGCATCATACCAAACAACATGAAGAGCCATCAAAATTGACGACAATCACTACCATTTATCGGGTTTTAATCATCTCCCTAAACCATAGTCAGGAATTCATAGGATCCCGAGCCCTATTTCGAGAAAGATCCCTATCAACCACTTCCACCGCCCGCCTATCCGGTTTTAGCCAATAAATATGCTCACTCGAACGTTGTTAAACCACATGATGAATTGAAACTCTATCCACCAGTGTACTGAATAGCTTCTGGAATTCAGAACTCAAAAATTGTTACAGTATTCCCGGTTGTTCGACTCTCTCTTTGCATGGCCGGAGTCCTTCACATTTACTCGTAGGAAGCCCATACAATACTTTACGAGTGTACGGTACTCAGAGTCAAAGGTAAGTGACTAATACACACCATGAAAGAAATCTAAACCATTTAGATATCAAGCCGGCAATGGTGCCGAAACTACTTCTGAACGTCGTCGTGTGGGAAGCATAGTCACGAATAAAAAGACGAATAGTGAACAAAAACGGTTTTTTATTGTTTTAAGTGTTTAAGACAAGTAGTTGTAGATCAAAAAGTGCGGGTCCGTTACCTCGAAGTGGTTCGAATCGCTCTACAAGATCACAACGACCACGTGAACGGGAAAATAGTCAAATTTAAAGTGGAGAATCGATACGGAGACACTAAGCGTGTTTAAATTTTTGGAGAATAAAGATTTTTCCAAGATACAAAATAGCTCACCTTGAATCGAAACTAACAAATGCTCGACCAAATCGTAAAGCAAAGACAGACAAACGTAAAAACGCAAAAAATAAAGATCAAAATTACACAAGTTAAAGATATTCAGTCGACTGACTGATTTTTTTCCATGAGAGTTATTCATTTCTATAAATTCCGTGCCACTAACGTTACTTTCGCCAATTATTAAACTTTTGCTATTGGCGTTGTAGATTTATCTCTACCTTGCCACAACGAGTCCACGGCTGTACAAAACACATAGATTTGAATGTTCCCATTGCTAGGTCGCCCTTTTCGGAAACCTTTACTCGATGCACCATTTTTTCTGTATTTAACCGACTTTTGTTATTGTTTTTTTTTTTTTGAAAAAACAGGCCTTATTCAATTTTTTATTTTTTCAGCTGTAAAACTATATCTCGCGTATCAACAATGGATGTGAAGCCAACTGATCCACAGGGACGAATGGATCTCAAGCCCAATCATACTCTCTATATCAACAATCTCAACGAGAAGGTCAAGAAAGAAGGTGAATTTTATTTTTAAATCGTATGAAATCTTTATAACGTAACTAAATTTTATGGCCGAGCAGTAAACAAAGCAAACAAACATTTTTTAGCGCGGTTGGTTACGCTTAAAAGTTTTTTTAGCTTAAATAAGCAAATTCCCAACTTGAAGCTACTAAAGCATTCCGAGTGTCACCTATCCAAATTAATGTATTAAAATTTAGAATTAAAAAAGGCTCTTCACGCTATCTTCACTCAATTTGGAGAAATCATCTCGATCTTGGCATTCAAAACTCTTCGAATGCGTGGACAGGCTCACATCATTTTCAAGGTGTGAAGTAGTACCCAATTGCTAAACGAAAACTTTAGGAGGTTTCTTCTGCCGCAAACGCTTTACGATCCATGCAAGGATTTCCGTTTTATGATAAACCAATGGTAGATTTTTGTTTATTGCTTTTAGCTATTGCTTAGTTCAGAGAATTCAATTTTCTCGCGACGATAGCGATGTTATTGCAAAGGTAAAAGGCACATTTGTTGAACGTGCCAAGAAGTATCAACAACGAGTGAAGAAAGTAAAGAAGGTTAGTTGTTGTTTTGGTGGTCAAAAAAATCCTGTTTATATTTTATCTTTTATAGGTTAATTTAACGCACTTTTGATTATATTCTGGCAAAAGATTTTAAAATTTTTCCAGGCAAAACAAAAGTTATGACTACCACGTACGATTGTGTGAACAAAGACAACTTTTAGGTTCCAACACGCAAGCCGGAGAATGACACTTCAGCTCCACCAAACAAAGTTTTTTTGAAACATTCCTTTTTTTTCATATTAGTTTAGATTCTGTTCTGTACAAATCTGCCCGATGAAACTACAACGGACGTTCTTGAGCTTCTCTTTAAGCCGTATCTTTAACTCATTTGAAACTGATCAGGCGGATTTTAGGTTCCCTGGATTGCGTGACATTCGAATGGTGCCAAATCGAACAGGAATCGCTTTTGTGGAGTTTGAATCGGAGGTGAATTGTGCAATAGTTCACTTAACTCTATTTAAATTTAGACTGAGGCCGGTGCCGCTCGTGCTGCTCTAGACAACTTCAAAGTTACGCCCAGTCTGCAGATGCGCGTCAGCTATGCTAAAAAGTAAAAGAAGTATTGTCAATGGTTGGTTTAATTGTTGTCATTTGATCCTCATTGTTTAATTTATTGGTTTTATCGAAATAAATTGGTTTTAAGATATTGACGATTTATCATTTGTAAAAAAACTTGACATATTTTGGTTATGACACAGACAATTGCGTAATTTTTAGGTTTTAAAAAAGAATTTAATGTGAGAAAAGCCCTATACTTTTATTTTTAAATTTTTTTATTTTTTGTTTTATTTATTTTTAAAAAGATGCAAATTGTAAGATGCTATATTTAGATGAATTCACAACTCAGTATTTTATCTTCAGTATGTCGGTCGGGACGCTTTGCAAATTACTTTGGGTTTCTTCAAATTCAGCATCAGTCTTCCATCACTTCTAAAAAATGCTGGAATTGTTCAAAGGTTAGATTTTTGCTAATTCGATGGTTTAAGCTTTGTTTTTCACCTTACGAATAATAATTTAGGAAACGCAATCAGCTTTCTTCTGTGATTCGTGCAATAAAATACAGCCAGTTGTAGCGAAAAATCTCTTCACCTACGTCAACTTGCCGAAGAAATTTGAAATAGACGAGGAATCGTTTAAGAAAAAGTAATAGAACTTTTTTGCAGTCTACATTAATTTTATTTGTCTTAGCTTTCACAAACTGCACCTGCATTTACATCCGGACAGATTTGCACATGCAACAGATGTGGTACGTTTACTGAAATATTTATGATTATATTTTTTCAAGGAACGATCAATGTCTGAAGAGCATTCCCGAATGTTGAACATCGCAATGAAAACTTTGGGCGAGAAGCTAGAAAGAGCAAAGTATCTACTCGAAACGGAAGGAAGCCTCAAAATTGGCGGTTGGTCGTGCTATGGGTATTTAAACAGCCTTGAAAGCGGTAGTACACTTAAGCTATTCCTTTGTTGAAACTAAATAAAGATGTAAGAATTGGTAACTATCGTTGTTCTCAATCGACAAATTGTCATTCTAGAAGACGAGAAGATGCACTTGGATCCCGAAGAATTGATGGAGGTTCTCGATTGGCAAGAAAGCATAAGTGAAATGGAGGAAGAATGTATGTTACAAGAAGAAAAAAGCAAAGTTACTAAAGAGGTTTGCATTTTGTTGAGTTTATATTAGGCTGTCCAGAAAGTCTTTTCGCTTCTTTTCGTACTTCCGTTGAAAATAACAAATTTACCAATTAACCTATGGTTTACTCTAAATAAAAAGTGTTTATTGTTCAATTTCCCATCTTTTTAGGTCAATTTGGGTTCACTTTGAAGCAAATTCGAGAGTGAAAACGGGTTTTTCGTAAAAATCTAGAAATACCTCTACGAAGAAATTGGTTGAATCAATTTCTTTGAAAATTTGACTATATACCTAGCTTTTTGTGCCCTATCTTTTGTCTACTGACACCAAGATAGGTTTCCTTGGATAAAGTGTCTAAACCGCATCATTGAGCTGTCGCCCTTTTTGCTACCCGACTTCACGCTCCCAAAAAAATCCAGACAGAAGACATTTTAAACCCGTTTTAATGTTATTTTGCAGAAAACTAATTGGCCTTTCTAATGAAACAAACCGTAGTTCAATTGATGCCATGTTGGTTTTAAATGGAAGTATGAAAAGGAATGAAAAGACTTTCTGGACAGCCTAATAGATAAATATCTTGGAACTAGTTTTAATTTTAATTTAGATAAATACGATTTTCACCGATTTGACCCAAAAGTTGGCTTCATCGAGTTGGGAGGACGCAAAGCGACTAATTATTCGTTTACAGTATTTATACCGAATAAAAGACACTATTAATCTAAAAATTGAGAAAACGTTTTCTAAGTATTGATTTTTTTAAAATTTGTACATAGATTGTGTATAGAATAGTCGTAGCTATTGTGTCATGTGAATAATGTGAACGTGTCATGCTCAGTAAATTCCCGAATTTAAGGTAATAAAGCCTTTCAGCTGTTGATTTCTACTTATTAAACCTCTTACAATTAGCGTTTTAGTGGGGGTTAGCAGTAACTCATTGGTAGCTATAGCATGCAACGACTACTGTTTGATGGGAAACGGAAAAGTATTCAAATACCGATGGAGAGAAAAAATTCAACAAATCTGAAATCTTCATTGAGTCATCTATTGTCTCGACACAGCTTTTTTTCCCGTAGACACTGACGTGTGGGTCTTGATTGTTCCAATGTAGAACCATTTTCTGTCAAAGCCTCAATCATTTCCGAATCCTTTTTGGAATTTAAACCTTTAAATTTTCGCCTTTTGCCGACTGACGAGACAAGTAAGCGGATGAAAGGGCAAATCGAGCCGTGCGGAAAAAAAAAGAAGAGGTGATGGAGATAAGGAGCGAGACTGACACTGGCTGCGCCCCTTCTCCTTTACCCCACTCACATTTCAGGCCCTTCTCCACTTTTTGCGGGAAATTTTCGTGGGAATGTGTCGTGCTCATCATCGCTTTTCTAGAAAGGTTTGATATTATTGAAAAAAAATAAAAGTGGTTGTCAAAACATCAAATTCTTTCTAGGATCCGTGCTCTTGTGCCAACGCCGATGAGATCTCGGTCTCACATTATGCACTCCGCTGGCAGGTACTCAAAATGATTAGTGATGAGCTAGTCAATCCATCAATTCATAGGTTCATTTCCCACTTCGAATGCTCATCGGGAATGTGACAATCACAGCCAAAGTTCTCAAAAACACTCAACAATTGGTGGGTTTTTAAAATCTGAAATGTTTCCCTTTCTTAATTTGACGAAGACATTGTATAAGTGCACGGACTTTAGACATATTTTTATTCTAAAGTGATACCACTCTAGTGAGTTCAAATTTATTACCATAAAATCTCAATACAACCCACGTGCCGCGTAGTCTATCCTCTTTTACAAAACCCAAATTTGTCTCCAACTACTTTTGGTAAAGAATATTAAATCTTATGGGCTATATTATGAAACTAGAACTGTACAAAGATTGCCCTACTTTCGCCCAACAAAGTTAAATTCAGTTGTTGGACGTTCGTGATCTCTCGATTCGCTCGGTGTCGGTGAACGGGAAAAACGCGGATTTTCGCATCGCTCCAAATGTGTACACTTTCTTCGGCTCAAAGATGAAGATCTATTTGCCGACCGATTGCACGAAAGAGGGACAAGAATTGTGAGTAAAAATTAGTTCCGATAATTTCCTTGATCTTTGAACGATTGCAGCACTGCAGGCTTAGATCTGATTGAACCCTGAAATTGGAAGGGGATTTAAAACTGTCACACGCAAGACACTTGCCTAATCTTTCACTTCTCTGTGAATTGAAAGATGGCCAACAAAATGGTGACAGACACTTCAATCGACTCTCTTTTCTCTTCTTTTTCTCGTCTTCCTTTCAAAATTCTTATCACAAATTCTCTTTTTGTATTTTGAGTTATCACGTGGGTTCTTTCTCTTTCGATTTCACCCAATCATAATCTCTGAGAAAAAAGGTTTCGTTGAAACTTGTGAAATCGCGGATTTTCTCATTGAAGCGGCGGTGGGGGTTGGGGAGAATTGACATAAGGGCAAAGTTTAGAGAAAAAGGAATTTAGAAAATTTTCTTGTGAAAGTAAGCGATACTTTACAAAGTTCTAAGTAAAGGAAGAGTTTTCGGAGAACTTGTCAATTTGTTTAGGGAGGTCATCATCGAGTACAGTACCTCACCCGATGCAACCGCTCTTCAATGGCTGAAAAAGGAACAAACACAGGACAAGAAAGCTCCATATTTGTTCTCACAATGTCAAGCGATTCACGCACGATCGATTATGCCATGTAAATTTTTTTTGGGCTTTAACATTTTACAAAAAGAAATGAATAGGCATGGACACACCGTCGATGAAATCGACGTATGATGCACAGGTGAGATGGAGAAAATTCCTGGAGATGGGAAAATTCCAAGCCGAACCTAATTCCGCCGTCGTTTTCTCAGCCATTTTTTGACCGATTTTTCTGAAATTTTCTTTACAAATAGAAATTTGGAGTCTCTGCTAGTAGACAGAATTTCAGAGCAATCGGTCAAAAAACGGCCAAGAGAACGAGGGTGGAATTTTAGGTTCGAGTTGGAATTTTCCCATATCTAATCTACAGTACTTTACTTAGAATAGAATATTTACTGCATTTACAATTTGTTTTTATTGTAGGTTACCGTGCCAACCGGTCTGACCTGTTTGATGTCAGCTATTGGAGAAGGATCAAAGGGTGACGATGAAGAGACGACTTTCTTCTTCAAGCAACCCGTTGCAATTCCATCATATCTCTTGGCTATTGTTGTCGGTATGGAGGAAAACTCTAACATTCATATAAATTGATATAGGTGTACTTGAGAAGAGAGACATTTCTGATCGATGCGCTGTTTGGGCCGAGCCATCGATGGTTGAAGCGGCTCACTGGGAGTTCAGCGAGGTGAGGGTTTTAGAGAACAAGTGTTTCTGTTGTGAGTTCAGTGTCATAGTTACTCAATAGTTAAATAAGGTCAATAGGTAGGTAATCTGGGTAACTGGTTTTACAAATCTTGTTTTTGTTTAGACCGAAGACATCTTGGCTTGTGCTGAGGAGATTGCTGGGAAATATATCTGGGGTCGATACGATATGGTTTGCCTTCCATCGACTTTTCCTTTCGGTGGTATGGAGAATCCGTGTCTCACATTCTTGACGCCAACTCTAATAGTAAGGATTTTTGTAAAGATAATCGGTATGATGATGATAATGAAAGTTTACGGCTTTAAAATTTCTTTAGAATTACCGTTGAATCTTTGAATTAAATCGAAAACTTTAAAGAAATCAATATTAAGGCTGGTGATCGATCGTTGGTATCGGTGATCGCTCACGAGATCGCTCATTCGTGGAGTGGGAATCTCGTCACGAACAGCAGTTGGGAACATTTTTGGTAGGAGGGAAAGATTTCCGAATATATTCATTCCATTAATTCAAGGTTAAACGAGGGTTTCACGATGTTCATCGAGAGGAAAATCTGCGGGCGTTTAGTTTCGGAAGAGTATCGACAATTTATGGCGTTCAACGGATGGACGAATAATCTCATTCCAGCGGTAAAGCATTTTTAATCATTTATTATCTTAAAATAACACGGCTTTGAAAAAGTTTGATTATTTAGGTGTACGAGCAATTCACGCCCACTCATCAATTCACCAAATTGATTCAAGATCACGAAAATGTGGATCCAGACGTCGCTTTCTCGTGTGTTCCTTATGAAAAAGGCTCAGCTCTACTCGTTTATCTTGAGCAAAAACTTGGAGGACCTGGTTTGTTAAAAGAAATCAACAAAATAATAAATGAATCTTCTTTAGAAGTTTTCGAGCCATATCTTCGTGATTATTTGAGTACTTTTGCTCACAAGGCAATCGATTCATTTCAATGGAAAGATCATCTATTCAAATATTTTCATGTAAGAAAAGAGTTTTGAAGGAGAATTTTGTGAGATTTAGGACAAGAAAGACATCCTGGATACGGTGAATTTCGATGCCTGGTTTTTCGCTGTTGGAATGCCGCCCGAAAAGCCGAGGTTTGTAATGGAACTCTGACAATTGTTTACAAGCTAAAGATACTCAATTTTTTTAAACTCAGATCCATCTTTCACAAGAAAATCTTTAGCTATGATGAGACGATGGTTCATGACTGTCAGCAGCTCTTCAATCAATGGATTGAGGCCGATGAGGAGAAGATAAAAGTGAGGAAAAGATAAGGCAAAAAATTATCCGATAATTTCCAGGAGATCTCCGCTAAACAATACAAAGAGATGCAACCACTTCAGCAAATCGAATTCCTCAGTCAACTGTGGCAGGTTGGATACGGGCATTTGAATCTTGTAGATCTTGTAGACAGTTGAAGAGTGAAAAAAAAAAGTATCGATTCTATTCAGAATTAAAGACGAAAGACAGACGAGTGTTGTATTGAATGCAAATATTTTTCTGTACTGTATTTATAGCGTTTTGATTTCAGCACGATCCTCCACTCGAACACTACAAGTTGGAGGCGCTCGATGCGTTGTATGAATTGAACAAGAGTCAAAATTGCGAGATCGTGCTCAAGTGGGTTTATTTGCGCATTGGGAAAACAATTTACAGATAATATATTCAGTTTTTGAGAAGTTAGTTTACACGATTTGTCCACGGTCCTTAGCCCTGGTAGCCACTGAAATGTCATTAGAAAAATTCATCATTTTTTCAAACCCTCGTCCATATTGATTGTATGGATAGCGATTGTTGTAATAGGTGGATGAGTAGGGATAATTCCGACCATAGAGTGATGAAGAAGAGAGGGGATATTGATTGCGATAGTAAGTCGATGACGAGTACGGGGTGTTGATTCGAGTGTCTCTTTTCTCTCGATCATCATCGTCCACTTCACCCATTGTGGACACTAAATTTTGTCTCTTTACTACCGTAACCTTGAAACCAGACTTTTAGAGACACTTTTGACTTTTAACACCTTTGAAGTAAAGTACTGTGTGATTGCTTAAACTCACCAGCCACAAATAAAATCGAAAAGAAAACGATGAAAGAAAAAGCGTTCATTGCAAAGAAGTTAATGAGAAGAAAGTTGATATAAAAGAATTTTTTTTCACGGATTTATATAACCCTTTTTTATTTTATTTATCATCTATAAAATATTCGATTTTCAAAGAATGTTTTCATTCGTTTTCCATTGTGAATGATTGTTTATTTAGACAAGACTGTCCGAAAAGCATTAGTACATTCAAATAGGCAATTGAAATGTCAAGAAATTTTATGGCATTCAATTGTTATCATTTCAGTTGGATTCGCGTTTGCATCAAAGCAAAATGGGAAAAAATCATCGAGAAAGCTTTGTGGTTCGTTGAAGTACAAGGACGACTCAAATATTGTAGACCGGTTTATAGGTGAGAAAATGTTTGCAAGTACTTTATAGATAAAAATAAATATAAATATTAGGATAGGGAATGTTCTTTGGGTGTTGCGCTCACGTGTTGCGTTTGAAACTTTAAAACTTTGAGATTAAATGATAAGACTAAACTAAAAGCCTTTATAGCTAAGAGTCAATGTATTAAGCAAAAATACCGTATTTCTAATAAACTCATTATCGAATAGAGTTAATATACCGTATTCTTAACATACCATTGAGTTCCATTCCTCTAAATAGAGCCCATGGTGGATGAAAATATAAAAGGGTACTTGTAACTCGAATGTCCGCCACTTTTTATTCAGCTCATATGCAAATTTTAGTTATTCAAATTAAGCTATAAGAGAAGAAATACGATATTTAGCCTTATAACAACCATACATACATAGCCATACATACATAGCTATACATACATAGCCATACATACATAGACATACGTACATAGCCATACATAGCCACATAGCCAATAGTCATACATAGCCATTTTTGTACATCGGTGGATGAAAATATAAAAGGGTACTTGCAACTCGAATGTCCGCCACTTGTTACTCAGCTCATATACAAATTTTAGTTATTCAAATTAAGCTATAAGAGAAGAAATACGATATTTAGCCTTATAACTAGAGTGTGTTCCTTACGAGTAATGCGTTTCTTAAAAGACAACTATTCGAGAAAACTATCGAAGTCAAACCGTTCGTTTACATTCGGTCCGATTTTGATATAATTGACTAAGCCTTTTCATCATCGAATACTACCAGGTTGATTAGATGTAAACTAACGGTTTGATTACGATAGTTTCTCAAATAGATACCTTTTAGAATACACTCTACTTATGACAATAGACTTTAACTATACGTAGAAAGTCAAAGAAATTACGTTCTTAAAAAGAGTCAACTTTTCAGAGCTTTGAATGGCTGGCCAGTTGCGGCTCGTCGTGCTCGTGAGACCTATCTGAAATGTCGTGGTGGAATGCATCCAATCACCGCTGAAATGATCGCAAAAGAACTTCATATGCGTCATTCAACGCACACTGTTTGCTTCTAGAATTTTTTAGTTTTCAATTTTCAATTTTCTTTCAAATTTTTTGTTGATCAATTTCCTATCTAAACAATATCTCCACAAAAATCATTTTTAAATTTGGAAAGTGTTAAGCATTTTTCTTGCTGTATATATAATAAAGCTTTATTGATATTTGCATGAAGAAATGAGTATTTTTGGCTAGGCATAAGAGATCTTATTATGGGCAAAGTACAGCAGAAAAGCACTCAATATATGGGACAGAAAGTTTGAAATGAAATTTGTGATAAACCCTTAAACAGGACATCCAGGTGATCCGGCTGTGCATTTGCATTCAGTGTCTTTCATGAAACGTCTCGTGATGTCATTTCCGCTTCGATCTTTCCCAGTAACACACAAGCAACCTAGAAAGTTGCTTGTTATATTTTTTACACTTTTGCAAGATTAGTGGATCCTTGACGTGGATCCTCTAGTGGATCCTTGACGTTATCTGTGCTACCCATATATTAAATGTATTATATCGTGTTGCTTTTTATCGGCTCTCTTCGTGTTATGTGTATGAATTCATGTGTTTTCATCTTAAATCTAGCGCACTTTATCTCAGATCCTGAATAAAGTATTATATATATTAGTTTCCTAGTCCCAACCCTGGTCCACGAAAATATCAAATACAGAGCTTTGATCCAGAGATTATCAAATCCATAGATCTTTTATTACAATGTTCCCCTTCTTCTACCTTTTGGTCGTGGATAACATCCTTCACGCAATCCCTTGAATTTTTCATTCAACTCGTTGACAACAGCTCGATAGTTGGCTTGGGCTTGCTCTCTCACTGGATCACGAACATTTTGCGATGGAGAATCGGAGTCCTAGAATGATAAAATAAAGGATAAACTTGAAAACTTATTGATAAACTTATCGAAAAGCTATAGAAACCGACTTTTTGTTGACGAACATTGACTTGGAATTGCGATTGTGTTCGGGTATCCTCGCGAGCCTCACGCTTTTCCTTGTTTCGCTGAAAAAATAGTGTTAATTGAAAGGCCTAGCAATAGGTTACCGGTTTAAATGATCTCTACTCTTTAGTTCTTTTATTAAACAGTATCTCAACGAACCGGGACGAGCTCCTTGCATTGTGCATCAGTTGAATACGATGCCACCACATCGGCTCCACTCGCGTCTTTCTCATTGCATTTACATCCACCCGATGGCTAAAATGAATGTAAGAATAAATATTTCAATGAAATTCTTTTGAAAACCTTTGGGAAGCAATTCTCCTTGAAGTCTCCGTATTTCTGTTTGATTTCTTCGTTGACGTCTTTCTTGTTTTCGGCTGTTTCCGCTGAAATTGAAATTTATTTATGTAAAATTTAAAAAACTAAAAACTAAAAACTAAAAACTAAAAATCTATCATTCCAAAGCCAACCCTCAATACTCTTTTTGCAATCAGCTTCATTGTGATATTCGATCACTTGTGGTGCATCACCGGTTCGACCCAAATTCACCTCACATTTGCATCCGCCAGATGGCTGAAAATGAAACTGATTCGATTTCTCAGAAATAGAATATTATTTTATCGAAAATAGAATAATATTTCTTTTTAAAAGCTTTATGCAGGAAATAAAAGAGTTCAAAAATTGTAATCATTTAGGAAAAAAAAGGAATTTTCCGACCTTTGGAAAACAGTTATCCTTGAATCCTCCGAATTTCTGTTGAATCTCTTTGTTGAGGGCTTTCTTGTTGTCAACGGTTTGTTCTAAATTCATTCCCCTTTACATTCCTCATTTTCCTCATACGTTCAACAGATTTCTTGCAATCCGTGTCACTGTAGAAATCTCGTTGCTCAACAGAATCGCCCCATTTGATATCACACGAACAACCGCCGCCTGACTGAAAAGATTCGAGCTGATGCATCAAGATTATGGACTAACTATAGCAAAATTTCATCTCGACTAGCTTTTTATCAAAATTTTTAAGAATATAGCTTTTAAAATCTTTGCGATAAACGATAAAACGAATCTTTTGCTAAACAATCTCATAAACAAACCTTGGCTCGACAATTATCTTTGAAAACATTGTTGACTTGCGAGAGAACAGCCGTGTCACGACGATTCACGGCTGCCTGTGAAAAATCGAATGAATGACAGCGATTGGATATCGGGTTTTATGATCAAACTGTTTATAAAGCACTAACAAATAAAGTTCGATTTAGACTACATTGCAAAGTTTGCAAAGGCTTGCAAAGTTTTATTCGAAATATTGAACCTATTGAAATGATAAAAGCTTACCTCAGTTAAAGCAATGAAAAGAAATACTCCGAAATATTTCGGAGATAACATGTTGATTGGTGTCTCGCAGTGAAATGGGGACTGATTGACCGCTCTGTTTAGCCCCAATACATAGGAAAGGAGACCCCCAGTCAGTCCAGCCAGTCCAGCCCCTTCCCCCACCCCCTTCTCTCTCATTTTCCCCATCTTTCACATCCGGGGGAAAATTATTGTGAAAATAGAGAGTGATGTTGAGAGAAACGCAATCATTTTCTCTATCAATTGACCCTTCTCAAGGTTTTTGTGGGGTGAAAAAGAGCTAATCCAAACAGTGAATGAGTCAACTTATATTCTTTATCTTAGATCAATGATCATCAATATTGGTCGGTGAGAAATCGTTGATGATTCATGGAGGAAAGGGCGAAGATTTCGAAGATTTCGACGAGTTCATCAACGCAAAACAACCTACTGTAAATACTGTAATTGAACCCCATGGGTTACTATTTTTCCCCTCGAGGGTGGGATTACAATTACAGTATTTACGGTAGGTATTTGTATTGAAATATTTGAAAAACCATACGCACCCACTTTTTCCACATTCACACAAACTTGCATAAATGCTTGGTGTTACTCATTAGCATTAAGGATATGTTTACTTGTATGTTATACTTAGCAACTGTGCTTTTCTATGGTATTTGGAGAGGGGAAAGGACAACAAAAACAACTTCCCTGGCAACCGTTGGAAATACTTTGAAATTTCTTTGTCAAAACAACTAATGGTGTTAAGAATTTGCTGCTATCAGTAATCTTCTTTTATCTTACGACTTTGGACGTACGAAGAACTTGAACGACATTTTCTAATGTCTCATGGTTTGGTTACCTCCGATCTCTTGAGCAAAGCACAACGCCGAGAAGATGGTGGACGATGTAAACACTGCAGCAAGGTATGTTATATCCTGTTTTCGTGCAAATTCACTTATTTAGCAATATGCGTTCAACATGCTTCAACACTTGGTCGCTGAACATCAAGTGAAGTTGTGTAAGTTTTCCCCACTACATTCGCATCCAAAGAGTTTCATAGGTTCTGCCGAAATCATGTATTCGTGTGACGTTTGCTCATTCAAATGCGCTTCCTATCAACTACTTGAAAATCATCTCAGCACAGTGCATCCAAAAAATGGTGGCATGGGGGAAAATGGCAAGTTGAAAATACTTCTTTCTAAAGACTTTTCTTTTTTAGATCGAGCTCGAACAAAATGTTTGCAGAGCAATGGTGCCGATGCGGACAAAGATGATGAAATCGTTACCCTTGACTGAATCTTTCTGTTTTTGACTTAAGCTGGTATTTAATTTTGTTGTGGAGTTACTTCAAATACTCTCATCTTTTTTGTCTATTTTGTCTATTTTTTGTCAGGTTGGCTTGCGAAGTTTTATTGAAACTATTAGAAAAATTTCAGTGGATGTGTCAGTGTCAACAAAATTGGCATTCTATTAATGTTCCTATCGCATTTTCCATTATCGATTCTCTTCAACGTTTCAACCAAGATAAAAAATAGTGAAAGTGATCTCTTGCTTTTGTTTGAAACGTTTAAAAGTCGTCGAATTGTTTAAACGACTCATCCAAATAGAGGAAATACAAAAAAGAATGAAAAAGAATGAAAAAGAAACGATTCTCTGTTTACAATTCCCGATTTCCCTTTCCATTTTTTGAGTCTAATCACTCGACACAGACAAACCAAATATTCACCAATTACAGAGAGTTGAAAACGTTTTGCGGGAGAATTTTAAGGGTTTAGAGAAGAATTTGAGATCACTATGGAAATGGGGGAAATGGATGGATGTGAATGTGGTGGAAGAAATAAAATTGTGGAGATCGTCTCCTAGAACCGAGACAATTTCCATGGAGAAATATTCTTTAATGGAAAATTTTGCTTTCCTTGAAAGCTTGGTTAAATTTTTAAATTCAGAATTTTAACTACTCAAAAGGTCTCTTTGCGGTAAGGTCTCAGTAGTCCAAAATCCAAACTTAATTTGTAGCTTTCTATTCCTAGGTAGCCTGTATTTCGTATTTTTTTTTTAGTACTATTCTTATTTAACTCAAAGAATGAATACCCAGATGAGCTCGACGGGCGCCCGTAATCGTCGACCCACTCTTTACGGTGATGCAGCATTGGCTGGGTTTGAGCGCCCTCCATCGGTCACTGAAGCAGCTCATGCAGGACATATGGAATCTGAGGTATTCGAAGAGTAACGATTCTCCTATGAATCCTTCCAGGAATTCGAGGGCGACTACTCGAAAAAGTTTGCTGGTGGAAAGAACACGAATCAAGCAAGTGGAGTGAAAGGGTCCATGGGGAAATTCATCAATGGAGTACAGGGTAACATTTTGAGGAGATTTGTTCATTATATTGCCAAGATGTAGAGGTCCAGTTGATCTAAAAAAAAGGTTGTTTAGGTGCGATCGATTCTCGTCGAGGAAAAGGCGTACATATGACAATCCGAGAAATGTTCGTTTTTCTCCTCTTTCTGCTCATCCTTTGCATAAGTGAGTACTGTAAAGGTTACGAAAGAATACTGTAAAGGAAAGATTACGGTGGAAGTGAATTGTTGCCTTATTGTTATTAATTAAAGTAAGTTGACTTTGGACAGAATACTTTTAACTTTGACATACTCTAATGTAGTTTGTAGTTTAAAAAGAAATTGGCTCTCAGTATCAGTATTTAAGATTATTTTGAATTGAATTCGTTTTTCTTTGAGTTGCCTTCGCCTCGACCTCATCATCGACCTATTATTTCACCTCTGCAATGCAATCATTGTTCGTGAATTCGCAGAATCAAGACGGACAAACGTTCGAAGATGTGACCAAAATGGATGATATTTGGGCTGTTTGTTGTTTAAAATCGCTTTTTTTGTCTCTCAAAATCGATGTAAACAAATAGAAATGCTCTCATGGAAAACAGATGTTTGAGGCGGCAATTTTTGCGTTTTGGTTTGGTTTGAGGCGGCAATTTTTGACGGTTAAAAATCTCGAAGAACATCTGTTTCTCATCAATTTTGCGAGTCGATTTTTGACCAAAAACCCGAAAATAGTCTGAAAATCGAAAATTTTCAGTACATGAACACTCAACTGGTGAACGGTTTGTATGCGACAAATGATTGTGAAACGATTGATGGAAATTCCACCTATGGGTTCATTTGTGGAGGAGAAGGTGTTTTTTTTTTTGGAAAGATAAACATAAAAAAGAACTATGAACTAATAAGTAGAGGAAACGTAACGATTACTAGAGTTGAATATACTACAGTATAGTTTTGCAAGTAGTTTTGCAAGTAGTTTTGCTTTTCCCCATAACTCCAGGGCTTTTTAAGTTCACTACTTTTCTTTGAAAAGTTCTTTCGAATCAATTTTTTAAAAATTTAGTATCGATCACTATTTTATTAGAGTATAAAAAAGCTAAAAAAACTAAAAACTGAAATAACCACAGTATCTACTTGTCTCTGAGCTCTAAATAAAAGTCTCCGAAACAGGCTTGAATGCTAAGATGTAACCGCAAAAACAGTCATTTTCTAAGAGACAACTTTTAAAGCACTTTAAAGATAGATTTAATTGCAAATTTCTTCCAAATCTTATTGAAAATCAATACAATTATTATTTTTGTAGAAGGAGTTGATGGGAATAGCACACAAATGGGAATGGTTTACTATGAGAATAAATTGTTGGGACGACCGAGGATTCGGATGTTGAAAGTAGAGATGAAAAGAAAGAATTGCTGAAAGATTGATTGATGTTAAGGTGACGAATAACTCGTGCACAGTTGTGGATCCATTCGTGAGAGAAATCAAGGAATGCTTTGCACCATATACGTATTTAATCAAGCAAAAACGAGCCTAAAGTTAAACATTTAGAGAATCGAAAGAAGATCACGAAGACATTGCGGTCACAAATGCGACTGGCTTTGATCAGCAAGATTATCAAGCGTTTGTCTATAATATGTAAAATAGAAAAATCAAGTTGTTAAGGGTTTTTTTTTAAAAAATACACTTCAGAATAGTTACCGTAATGTTCGTTTGCCAGAAAGGCTACCGTAAGACCAAGCTAAAGTCAAGATAAGCTTGGATAAGGTTCTTGGTTCCTTATCTTGGATAAAGGCCATCAAGGCTACTGATGGTTAGATTTAAAAACGGGTTACGGTAGGTTTTAAAAGAAAAATGAACCAGACATTCAGTTAATCACAAAATCGACTTGCGTCAACTGAACATCTAAATCAATTCAGCTTCTCATGGCAATCGGCGAAAGATCTGAGCACGGGGACGATCTACGGCCAGATGGGAACATACGGCGGAGGAGGATTTGTGGCATTGCTACCACTTAACAACATGACTGTTTGATGGAGATATCAATATCAGAATTGAGATCATTTCCAGGAGGCAAACACTCGAATCAATCACCTTCTCTACAATCGTTGGATCGAAAGGGGAACGAGGGCGATTCTCGTCGATTTCTCCCTTTACAATGCAAATATCAATCTGTTTTGCGTGTGCCGGTGTGTTTCATTGTAGAGGTGTTTTCTAAAGAGTGTCGAACAGTCGAAAAACTACCGTTGTTTTAGCTCTAAACTGTAATCTTTCTATTTTGGTTCGGGATCCTTTTTTGAGCCACAAAATCAGGACAAAGGTATAATAGAGAAAAAGCTACCGTAAGACCAAGCCAAAGTTAAGATAAGCTTAGATAAAGGCCATCAAGGCTAAGCCTGAGCCAAGATTACGGTAATTTTCGAAAAGTATGAACACTAGATACTGATAAATTTCCTTATACAGATTGCTGTTTGAGCTACCCGCTACTGGTGGTGTCATCCCAACAGCCAATTTCGAGACTCTCCGTTTGATCAGCTACGTGTCAACCTTTGATTATTTTGTTCTGGCATGTCAAGGAGTCTTCACAGCGTTCACCCTTTTTCTCGTCTTTGAGGTTTTCTGAAAGAAAGGCTTTAAAAAAGTGAATTGCTTCTAGGAGCTATTGGAGATTATGAAGTGGCGCTTGCGATACTTTGAGAGTTTCTGGAATATCATCGATATCATCGTGATATCGGTTAGATTATTTATGCAAAATAGGAATACTGTAAAAAATGCTACAACCTTTTATCCACTTACAGCTCTCAATTGTGACGATCATTCTCTTTCTGAATCGAATTCGGATCTCCGAGATGCGCGTGAACGAGCTGATGAATGGTTGGGGAAATCGATTTCCATTTATAAGTGATATTGAATCTGTGATTAAATAAGATTCAGATTATATTTATATAAAGCTAGTTACTGCCTAAATATCCCAATTTGAGGCAATCTCGAGGTGGCTAGTTTGGACGATGTGGTCACCGCGAACAACAATTACAGCAATTTCCTCGCCGTCCTTCTCTTCTTCTCGTGGATGAAAGTGAAAAAACATTTTGAAAAGATTCAAATTGTTTCCAGATCTTCAAATACATCAGCTTCAACAAGACAATGTCCCAACTATCAGCAACTCTCTCTCGATCGGCAAAGGGTAAGGGAATATGGATATCGTCAGGGTCAGGCCAGGGTCTTCTGCCTGAACTGGCCTCTGGCTTGACTTAGACTTTACTAGTAGTTGAACAATCATTGATGTCTTCCAATGAACAATAATATCGATATCTTGTATACAGGAAAACCCTTAATCCCCTTGATCTCTTGATTTTTCAGATATCGGTGGATTTGCTGTTATGTTTTTTATCTTTTTCTTTGCCTATGCCCAATTTGGATATCTTTGTTTTGGGACACAGGTTAGGTTCTGAAAAAGAAAAGATTGAAATTGATAGCTTTTGGATCATTGATCATTGAGAAATTGAGAAAATTTTGATCATTGATCATTGATTTCCAGATCCAAGACTATTCCACTTTCTACTCGGCCGTTTTCGCACTTTTGCGAACGATTTTGGGTGATTTCGGTTCGTAAAGCATTTATCAAATAATAAGAGTTACGTTGTGTTTAAAAAAAATGATAACATCTCCTTTCTGGCACACACAATTCTTTTATCAACCTATTAGATATGGATTCAAATTTGTAACGGTCTTAAACCGACATTTCCGACCCGATATCAGTCCTAGCATTTCATAATTTAGTATTTAGTTAATAAATAATGAAATATGCCAGAAAAGATGCGTTTTCACTTTGTACTATCGGCTGAAGTACACGAAATTGCCATCAGTTTCCCCTCTCTTCAGATTTCCACGCCCTCGAGAGAGCCAATCGTTACCTTGGACCAACCTTTTTCATCACTTATGTCTTCTTCGTTTTCTTCGTCCTTTTGGTAAAACATTCAAATTATTAAATGGGAATTGAATGATCTTTTTTCTTTTTCAAGAACATGTTCCTTGCTATCATCAATGATACCTATGTTGAAGTTAAACAAGAGCTCGAGAAACAGAAAAACGATTTCGAAATGGCTGAATTCTTCAAAGCGGTTTGTTGGAAATGTTGACTGATTTAATTGCGAATCAGAAATTCTATCGTGTTCTTCGTTTTTTGAAACTCTCGAAGAAAGGGGAGACACCCGATGTGTCCGATTATTCCAAATGGAGAGCTCAACTTGTTCGGTCAGTGAAATGAGGAAAAGAAAACTATTGTAGTTATTTCCAAACTTGTTTTAATGTCATTTTTCCGAGCTAGGGCTAGGCAAGGCCAGGCTTTTCCCTGTCTGATTTAGCTTGCAATTTCTCTGAATAGATTCTATAGTTGCTTTTAGTTATTGTGGATAAGATTTATAGCTTTTTCAGCCGTGGTTTCTCAGATGATGAGATCAACGATAAGTTCATCAAATTCAGCATTGACGAGGGATCGGTGAAAAATGCGGATGAAGTGGAGAAGTTTTCTCATTTAGATAACAATCAATTCAGAAAAGTCGAATCGAGAATGAATTGGAGGAGGAAAGAGAGAAAAGAAAGCTTCAATCCAAAGAAAGCTTAGAGAAATCGAATAATGGCTACACTGCGTATTGTTTACTTTTTATATAACTACTTTTTCAAAACTAAAAGGCGATCCCTCAAGTCAACACTATTAAATAGCTACCGTAAATACTGTAATAGTGCCCCACCCCCATAATGACGGTGTGGAGTGTTGCGTAGTCTAGCTTTGGACGCGTTTTTCTCGACACTGGTTTATGCTACAATGCGGGCTTAGGCATCAAAAAATAGCCCTGAATTTCAGCTATTTTTTGATACCAAAGACGCATTTTTTGAAAGTACGGGAGCTTTGAAAAAAATGAAATACGAAAAAACTTTTGCGACTACGCGACTGTACGAGGGGGATGGGGTACTATTACGGTATTTATGGTAAATAGCTAAGAGAAGGTGAAGCTGTAGATTCATTTTCCCCCATTAAACGATAATGAAGATCATTTCCAGATTGAACCGTCGAATCGATCACATCGAGAACTCAATTGGACGTATTTTGACTGATGTTTGTTATAAGAAAAAATCTAAATCAAGAAAATCTTTAAATTTTTTAAACTTAAAGGTGACCCTGATCTTGGAGAGATTCGAGGAGATCGAGGAGAGGAAAGTTCTCGCGAAAGAACAAGAGATACAACTATTGCATCAAGTGAACATTTTCGACTATATTAAATGAATATTTTGTCGTAAAATAGTATTACTATAATAATGGATTAAGATATGCAAATGCGATGTTGTTTAGAGTCGAATTCTTGGCTCTGATCAAACCGATCCCTATAAGAATGTCCCGTCTGATCCAATGGAAAGAATTCATCTTTGAGAATTGCACACACTCACAAGTCATTCCAATGTAGAATTGTTAAATAGAAAATATTTTTGTTGAAATGTTTTTGATATACAAAAATTGAAATATAAACGAATATGAAGAGTAAATGTTGATGTAAATCTTTTGTTGATAGAAAATGTTGATGTAAATCATATCGGTGTTCTTCTTCTGTTCTGGTTATTGTATGCGGTGTGAAATTATATTTTTATGGATTCTCTATTCGCGATTCTCTTACAGGTTAAATGAGATAACAAGCTGGGTTATAACAGCACAATTTTGACTACATGTGTCCCTTTTGACTGGTATTTTTCCTATTTTAAAACATCTCACGTTTCGAAAAACTCTTTCTGCTTTTATCGAATCGAACAAACAAATCGAACAAAAGTTCAACTTTTGCTTTTAATTTGGTTTGATGCAGTGAGAGATCACAATAGATATCAAAGAATGTATAAAGAGTAGATAGATTAAATAAAAACTGCGGCCGAGACTATGATATTCTATGAAAGTTGACATATTTTCGGAAACGAAGAGGGGGGGGTTGGGGGGGGGGGGTTAGTCAAGAGGTATGGGCCTCTTGACTAATCTTGACCATCCTCGTGCTTCATGGAGTTGCATCTGACAACTAGGCTTCTTTAACAGATCTTGATACTACGTTTTGAGTCTGACATCAGTACAAGGTAGTGAGCCATGACAGTGAGTGAATAGATCTGATATTAAATCTACCAATGAAAGACTCAACGATCTCTCAAGTACTTTTGTAGCTTTCACATTTCATTCAACTTGCTCTCATTCTTTGATCGTTCTCTGAATTGTTTCCACCATTTTCTTTTCTTTTTACACTATTGCGGTGCAAAGTGACTCAAAGAAAAAGAAAAGAAAAGAGAATCCATCGATCTCCCATCTCTCATCCACAGATGTCAATCTCTTTTTGCAGAGGTCAAAAACGGAGGTCAAATTCAAGGATTCTCTTGAATATAATAAACATTCTAAATCCATTATTCTCTTTTTCATTACATCATTCGATTGCATCATTAATTTGAATCAAAACAAGGACAAGTTTTCTTGTTTCCTTTTGTTCCGCTTCTCTCTCATTTTCTCTCCTCCAAAAGCATGTATCGTCTTTAAACTTTTCCTATATAAACCATGAGAACACTGTCAGACATAATAACAACATCAACAAGATATTTTATCAAATTCGTTCTTTAACAGAGTTTTGTTTAGATGTACTTAACATATTTTGGAAGTTCGTCTTTCAGAAAATTTGTTTTTCCACAAACTTGAACTTTTGTGTTTTCGATAAGCAAAATTTTCTAAAAATCTTACAATTAGAACAAAAGAAGTCTTAAAAATTTAGATGCTATTTAGATACCTTCCGTAGAAAATAGTTTCAGACGTTGACAATTTAATCTTCACTCAAGAGGAGGGATAAGCGTACAGTACCAAAGCTTTCTATACTAATTTTATTCTCAAATTTTGGATCAAACTCTTTTAACATTTTTGATTTCAATTTCAATCAGTTTAATCTCACTGTAGACTTGAGAAATATTCAAAAAAACAAAAGCTAGTCTCTGCAGAAAGATTAATAATTTTCTTCTTGTAGAATTTCTGGTGAGAGACGAGAAGAAAGGGAAACCCGTTCCACCAAAATTACCATTTTTTGTGGGGGTAATGGAATTCAAAAACTGGTGGTCTCGAACACAAGCTGGAATATAGGGTAAAGAAAGGAAAATGGGATAAAAGAGATCTTAAGGGAAAGGGGGTGACCGGTCTTGTGTCTAGAGGAGGGGGAGAGGAGGGAGAGGAGGGGAGGGGAGCACCCCTCCCCCTCCTCAAGACCAGAGCGACAGCGTGGAACTTTTGCCACCCCTTTCTTCCCCATTTCTCTCCTTTCTTCCTCATCCACTCTCCGTTCCTTTCTTTCCTTCATTTCCCTTTCTCAATTGATCTCTTTTCAATAAAATTAACCTCTTTTCTTTTAACAGCTAAAAATGGGAAGCTGAATTTTTAAGATTTTGTATAAAATTTATTTGTTTTATGTTTAATTTGGTAACTCTTTCTATTCCAGATGTTTAGAGAACCGTGTAAACCATTTGAAATTCATTCAAGCATAAAATTAGCTTTCAGTTACTTATTTTTGTGTACAAATTCTCTTGGTTCACCCCACGAAAACAATGCGAACTCTCCATTTATTGAGTTATCTTTTGGCAATAGCATGGGCTGATCTATTCACGGCAACTGCCGATTTACAGCACATGTTGGGTGAGTGTCACTTTAATCAAACCTGCTTCATATTAGCAAGTATTAACTTTCAAAAGCTATCGTAATCTTGGATTTTGTCTATAACCAATCTATCTATGAATCTAGCAATTTTTTCTGTAATTCGATAAACTTCGCGAATCTTTACAAAAATCTACCAAAAACTGATAGATTAGATAGAGCTAGAGCCAAGATTACGGTAGTTTTCAAAAGGTGACACATTTTAGAAAATGAATCCTTTTGAAAGTTTAGGTGCCGAGAAAAACATCGTACCGGTGATCAACGATTACATTGAGGCCGAACAGGAAAGATTGGAACAATTGAAAAAGTATGGATTAAAGATAAAATGATCTTGAAATAGCAATGATTTCAGATTCGCTGAAGAGTACAACACAAGGAATGCAGAGGCACAAGAAGTGGGCACGGAATTTGTGACGAATCCGATCAATGCTTTTCTTCTCATCAAAAGATTGACATCTGAATGGAGACAGGTGAAGAATATTAGATTTTGAGTGAAAGATGAGATCCCAGGTGGAGGAGATGATGCGGAATAATCATGCACATCGATTCATCAAAAATATTACGGTGAGACGAGAGGAAAATGAGGTGAGAATTGAAAAGGGGCAAAGGGGATGGGGAGGGGTGTACTTTGTGCTTGAAAATATGATAGAAAAAATCCTTTCTGGTGCAGGCAAGCTTTTGTTTTCAAGTGTTTCCAAAAGGGAAGTCATGTTAGATTCAATTATGACGCCAGCTGGCTTAGATACTTTTTGTAGCCAGGTCAATAGAAAAATTAGGAGAGGATTGGCTGCTAGCTTAGCTGAAAATCGGTTTTGGAAAACGCTTATTATTGTGAAATCTGATGAAAAGTTTCTAGGTAAAATTCCCGGGTGAGGAAGATCTGTCGGGAGCCGCGATTGCTCTGCTTCGACTTCAAGTAAGCACAAAAATCGATCAAATACAATATACAAAAAATATGCTAAGTAAAAAGATCAAGATCACTCTCTTTTTCAGGATGTTTACAAATTGGACACACACGATCTAGCGAATGGAATGATTCGAGGAGAAAAAGTCGGACACAAACTGAATGCACATGATGTTTTCGAGGTTTTTTTTCGTCTAAGATATAAGATTTAAAACATTAAATTATAAAGAAAAGTTTTAATTTAAATATTTAAATTAAATCTTTAATTTAAATATTTAATGAATTAAAATATGTTTTCCAGGTTGGCCGAGCTGCCTACAATGCAAAAGATTACTATCACTGTTTGATGTGGATGCAAGAAGCGCTGAATAGGGTAATTGAATCATGGATATCAAATGAGAAAGAATTTGTTTCAGTTGGAAAACGAGAATCCACAAACAATTGAGGAGTCGGAGATTTTGGAATACCTCGCCTATTCACTGTATCAACAGGGAAATGTGAGAAGAGCGCTGACATTGACAAAGAAATTGGCCCGAATCGCGCCAGGTCATCCAAGAGCTAGAGGTGGGGAAAGCTGAAAACTTCACGATAAGGTTGAACTTTTAAATGATCTGTTGTTAAAAGATGTCAACTTTTGACAGCTATCGTAATCTTGTCTAAACTTATGAGACAACTTTCAGGAAACATCAAATGGTATGAGGATCGTCTTGATGGAAAAGAATTACAAGGAGATTTACCACCAGTTGTCAATAAGAGGTGCTAAAGAAAATATACAACAGTAGATTTGATTTAAATAGCAAGAAGTTCATAGTTACTGGCAAAGTTGAGTTTTAAAGAAGGTAGAGAAAAGAGATTTGTGATGGATTTGATGTCAAGTAGAAAAGAAAATAGCTGAACTGAATCAAAGCTATTTTATCACTAGCAATTCAATACTAGTTATATCTAAACTTTAATCGTCAATTTTCAGAGTTGAATGGGATGGAATCCCGGAAAGAGACGCATATGAATCGCTGTGTCGCGGAGAGGAAAAAAAGCCGACACCTGAAGAACAACGAAAACTTTATTGCTATTATAAAGTAAAGCAATCATTTCTTTCATTTTTATCTTCTTTCTAGAATGATCGTCCCTTCTTAAAGATTGCTCCAATCAAAGTTGAAATCATTCGACACAATCCACTTGCCGTTTTGTTTAAACAAGTTGTCAGTGATCGGGAGATCGCTGTCATTCAAGATTTGGCAAGACCAAAAGTAAGAGATTTGCTGGATTTTGATGAGATCAAGATTGATTTAGTTGAAACGAGCAACGGTGCAAAATGCGGTGACAGGAGAGCTTGAACATGCATCGTATCGAATCTCAAAGAGGTCAATAAAAAGATATTGAGGGTTATGATAGCTTTTCCTGGAGGAAAAGAGTTTACCTAATCTAAATTCTCTTTCTAAAACGTGTCAGAACTATCGTAATCTTGATGTTTTTCAGTGCTTGGCTAAAAGAGATGGAGAGTGAAGTGGTTGCAAGAGTGAATCGACGAATTGGTGATATGACAAATCTGAATCAAGAAACTTCTGAAGATTTACAGGTCATTTCAAAATTCAATGAAGAAAACTGTCTTAATCTTATCAAAAATTAATTGAAAAACTTTTCAGATAGCTAATTATGGCCTTGGCGGTCACTATGATCCACATTACGATTTTGCGAGGGTAAATTTTTAAATAACTTTTGATAATGGACTCTTGAGAAATCTTATCTTTATTCTAAAAAGGGGATTTCAGAAAGAGGAGACAAATGCCTTCAAAACTCTCGGAACTGGCAATCGAATTGCTACAGTATTATTTTATGTAAGTTTTCAATACCGTAGGATATCAAAAGCTAAGAAAGAGAGCTTCAGCTAAAAAGACGAAATGTTTGAAAGCAGACTGACAACTGAAGCCAATTTTCAGATGTCTCAGCCGGATCTCGGTGGAGCCACAGTTTTCAACAAACTTGGAATTGCCTTTTTCCCATCAGTTCACGACGCACTCTTCTGGTAAAAATTACAAAAGGATTTATTGTCAACAGGTTTTTAGGTATAATTTGAAACGAAATGGTGATGGAGATATGCGTACCCGTCATGCTGCTTGTCCTGTGTTGCTTGGAGTGAAATGGGTAAGCAAGCTAAATTTATCGATAAAGATTCGATTCTATTTTGGAAGAGTTTTGTGGCGAAATCTTAACCACATAACAGATAAGGAAAAAGGGGAATTCTTTCGAAATACGTCCAATTTAATGAGGAGTTCAATAGTACACATGTACTCTTTTGGATATAGGAAATGAGTGGAAAATACTGTAAAGATAGACATTACTGGTACTGTAATTTCTGTAAAAGAAATACAGTATTACGGTAGTGAAACGAAAAAACAAAAAACAATCTTGTCAGGTGTCGAACAAATGGATCCACGAGCGCGGCCAAGAATTCACTCGTCCCTGTGGATTGGATGAAGATGTTTATGAACGTTTCGTTGGAGATCTTTCACCCATGCATCGACCAATCTAGATCAGCTTTGATAATAAACTTTGTTTCATGATTTTTCTTTTTTCAAATGCTTCCTTGTTGTTTTTCTTTTCGGGAGATGATATTTAAATTATGAAAAGTGTTGGTTCAAACTTTTTTCTGTTTTCGGGTCTCACAAAACTTGTCGCTTCTTTTTGAATTCGTGCCTTCTAATGTATGAAATATTATTATCTTGTTTTTTTTGTTAATGCCAAATAAAATATTGAAGAAGAAGGAATTCGACTATAGCTTTCAAACTTCGAACTTCGACTCAAATTTTTCTTCTATTGGCGGTGATTGGTGTGGCGGTGGCTGTGCAATGCTACGTTGGACAACAGACTTTATCCAATAGAAATAACGGCTTCTCACAAGGAGTCCAAGGAAACACTTTTGGAATGTCTGTTCGTAAGTTTTAAAGAGTTTAGCAGAAGTTAACTTTTGAGGAATCAGCTAAGTACAGTCCAAGTAACAGCTCCCTTGTAAGTCATCGTCTTTTACACTTGGCTAGGTGATAAAGTGATAGATATTTCGTAGATTTTGAGGAATTTCTAGATACAATTACCATTGCACAGTAATCTCGATGTAACCAATTTGCACTAATTCTAATTCCAGGCGATTGTGGCCCAAATGTGCGCATGTGCTTTAAATCGTACGTGAGACGAAACAATAATGGAGACGATTCACATACGGAGACTCGTGACTGTGGAGATCCAAACTCGGGACGATGCTTCCAGGTTGGCACATTACGAAAAACCTACCATAAATCCTCTAATAAAACCCCATCCCCTCGTACAGTCGTGTAGTCTAACTTCTTTTTAGAAAACCATTCTTTTCTCAGCCCCTAGATTTTTCCCAACTATACTTTTGGTATCAAAAAATACTAGATTTCAGGGGCTATCATTTGACACCATAAAACGCACTGTAGCTTAAAGCAACGCGGAGAATGGGACGTTTAAAGTTGGACTACGCGACTGTACGTCTGTCATTATGGGGGCGTAGATTACCAGCTGCAAAACCCGCCTAGCTGCGGGTTTTAGGGCATTGGCGTGTGAGGCGGGTCTCTGTCTCTGTGGCGCAGTCAGGAGCGCGCTTGTCTACGGCTCACGTGGCCCGGGTTCGACCCCCGTGATGCCACTAAATTTGGGTTTTCTCAATTTTTTATTTTAAATAGCGCAACTAAAATAAATTTTAAGGTTTTCTAAAGAACTTTTAGCTTTATTGGTCAAAACACGGCCGAGAAAATGCCCGTACAGACAGACAGACACTGCTCTTTATATAGTAGATTTACGATATGCCCTATTTTTGAGTAGGAAAAGCTGATGAGTACGATACTATAGAAACTATAGAAACTATAGATACTACATATACGGATACTATAGAAAAGCTATAACATTTTCCCTGAGTTTTTGCCTAACTTGACCCTTCTAGAACTTTAAACTTTTTTTAGCCCACTTTTTAGAACACAGGTTGCACGGGTGATTGGCAGAGTCAGCAATGTTGTTGCGCTGGGGATCTATGCAATTCATAGAACAAGTCTGAGGTGAGATTGCGTCCATGCTTTCACTTTTTTTTCGATTCAGTTTTGGCGTTAGCTTTTTTGGTTTCTGTAAAGTGCTTGGACGCAATTCTCTCAATAGTTGTGCAGAGCCGAATTTGCTTTATGTGTTTGCAAACCCACAAGCTTTAGCGCACGCAATCGATTTTTGCTGCTCATGAATGGTGGCCAAGGGGCTAGCACGCTTGGTTAATGTTCCAAAGGTTAGGGTTCGGTTCCGGCTAAAAAAAGCTTGGTCTTTTTTTGATCTTAATTGCTTCAAAGATTGGAGTTCAAAAAGTTTGAGCTTTTTTGAAACTTCTTAACTCTTGAATTTCTAGGATACGGGCTGCTCGGGACCAGGCTCGAACAAAGTATGCTGTTGTGCGGGAGATCTCTGCAATTCCTCTCCAAAAACCGCAGCCGCCTTCACTCTCATCTCGATTTTCGTCGCTCGAATTTTCTGTTTCTAACCTCATTGTGATTTCCCATGTAAATATATTGCCAACTACTTTTTATATGTTTACAGAGATCATCAAGACATCAAGACAAGCGAGTTGTCAACAGAAATCGGCTTCTCTCAAAAGAGAGCCAAATTACATCTTTATCACTTATTTTTGATGCCAAATTCTTTAGCTTTTCGATTTTTCTCCGGGAAATCATGTGCTCGAGAAACACAGGGTTTTTCTGTATACATAAACTCTCAAATGATGCTGAATCTCTACGTTTAGACTCTCTAGACTATTTGATCAACCGAAAGCTTTATTTCTTCAAGAGATCATAACTCGTGAATCATTAAGAATTGAAAAAGTTTAAGGTTAAAAATCTTAAATAGCTTTATCCGGGGTAAATAGTTGATGTTTTCGATCGGCGAGCTTCGTCGGTTTCTTCTCGATCGGCGATTCGTTCGCCTTGTTTCTCTTCGATCTTGTGGCGGTCGATGGAGCGACGTCGGGATGCTCTGAATACAAAAATTTGCATTCAAGTATCAATTTGCGTATCTAGCTATGTAGATTTATAAGTCATTTTCTCGCCGTCTCACTTTGTTTCCGCTCGATTTCTTTTCGCCGAGCCTTTCTCCTTTTCAATTCCCCTTCGCCGATAATCGTTTGCTCTAAAAGGTGCGAATTTTTACCGTAATCTCGAAAAATTTGGTCACGGCAAACAACGACACGATTATCCAATCATTTAAGGTTTTATTAAACAATCTAAACAATGGAATTTGGATCTATTTTAGGATTTGATCAAACGGCAAGATGAAGAGATTTCAGTGCTGAAGACTGATTACAAAAGAACCCGCGAAGAGCTTGAAGGATTAAAAGCTCAACAGGTTTGTTACTTGACACATAAACAAAGTTTTTGTAATTCTTGATTGCACTGGTTTTTTGACTACGTATTGATTTTAGGCGTCTGCTTCTGCGCTCAAACAAGAACTGGAGGATGCTAGAGCGCAGCTAGAAATCGCCAATCAGAAAACTACAAATAACGAGCAACTTGAACATCAAATCACCCATCTGAGAAAGTAAACTTTTAGATAAGTTACTGGTGGCATATTGCTTCACTTTTAGTATCAATCAACAATGGGTAGCAGAAGTAGAGAAGTACAAGCAATGGGCTCAGCAATGGCAATCTTTCCAAGTTTCGCAGGTGCATTTAATGGTTTTTTATTGTTTATTTGTTTCTTTCTAGATGCCAAATGGTGGAATTGATGCTGGCCTACAACAACTGCAGGCTCAAATTACCGAATTGGAACAACAACTCGGTTATGGATGGCAAGCTTATGAGGCGCAAAGTCAACAAGTATTTTTTTTTCTTGAGTGGTGATTTAAGACAAATAGAAAGTCATTATTGTCATTACAAAAACATTTAGATTCAACAACAAATTACTTCTACACAAGGCTGGAAACAGAGAACAGAGGTAAGCAAAATCTTGAAAATGTGTGAACAATGTTCATTTAGGAACTGGAACAGGCTTACAACCAATTACGTGCAGAAATGGAACAATTGAAGGTATTAATGTATTCCCATTCGATTCTAGGTGTAATTTTTAGACTAACTTTGCAAATGGTCCTCATAATCCAGTTGTTAACGGGCACACTACTGATGCAAAGGTTGATAAATTTTATATTAAAGTGCATTCTTTTCGTTTTAGACTGAAGATGAACTTCGGCGAATAAAAGACGAACAAGAGGATTTACTCGTCCTTTTAGCCGATCAGCATAATAAGCTTTCATCATACAGGTAGATTTTTTATTTTGGGTATATTGCTAGAAACAAAGCGGCCACTTTTTAAAATACTCGACCAAACACGTTTCTTTTTAGGAAACGCCTGAAAGCGCTGGGACAAGTGGTTTCTGAAGACGAAGACGAAGAATAGTCAGAAATCTATAAGATTTTCTATAACTTTTAAAACGTAGCTATACTGCCATCGCAATTCCTGTAATATCAATCAATTAACTTATTGGCATGGGCCGCCTTTTTAATAGTTTCTATTATTTATCCTTTCTAGTGCATGTCGTTTTTAGGATAATTTCTCTTTCTGTTTATATATGTTAAAACTGTGATAAACATCTGGGCAACTTCTCGCCCATTTCTAGTGACTATCTTTCTTGGATTGTGTTCATTCACGATATGGGTTTTAATAAAAGTGAGTTTCGGTTGTGAAAAGCAAATATGTTTGGAACATATGTTCAAAAGGATAATCTTGTTCCCTGGGTATCTTTGGGATCTGGAGGACGACAAGAATTTCTTCGAGAAGGGGGAATCGGACCGGCCACTGGTATCATGGCGATCACGCGTTTGTCGCCCCAGATAACATTTCTGGAAATTTAACCTTTTCTTTGGTACTTCTAAATCTGATGGCACATTTTTCTCTTTTCTCCATATTAAACTCACTTTTGAAAGGTAAAAAAGAAGACCACATTGGCTCCATTCCATAAAGGCCAAAGGAAATTCTCAAGAAAGAGATTAGTGTATGTTTCAGGCACCTAAATACCGAATATTGAGCTTTATTCGATCGTATCTCACTAAATCATAGATCCACGTCCACTCAACGGAGACGAATATTGTGTAAAGACAGAAACAAAACGTCTAAATTTGCATATAGGCCCTATGTCCTATTGTGGTTGAGACTCCTTACCTGTAAAGCCCATCGAATATCATTTTGACGATTGATTTTCTTCTGAATAGGAATATTTACTGATGAGATCACTGACAACTCACATTTTTCATCAAAAACGTGAAAATGGCAATGTACATGAAGAGGCAAATCACTGTCAACGCGGGTGTTCCGTAATTATCGAAATCATTGAAGAGATCGGTCAATGGGAGACCGTCCGCGTAAACCCAACTAGAAACACGTTTAATCTGATTTCAATTTTTGAAATTCATTTCGAAATTGAAAAACATACCCGAATTCGGTCAAGTATTGAGCATTCCATCCGATAAGATGCACAAAGAGAACGATCACAAAAATAGACAAATTTCCGGCTAATACAACCTGAAAATTGATGATTGATCATTGATTGATTCACTGAATCATTGCAAAGCTCACAATAAATGCTCGATTCGTTGTGACAATTTGGCTGATCGTTGGGAAAAGAATGACAATGAAACGATATAGTGTTACAGTGAACATCGACGTCATCATAATGTACCAACCGGCTGCGAGAATTGCGCCCGCTATCTGCAAAGGGAGTGATTTGATTAGGTTAGAAAGTTTAGGCTTCTTCTAGGATTTCTTGTTCCAATTGTTTTTGAAATTCATCATTATATTTTGCCAATAATTCTGGGTTTCCTTTGAGTTGCTTGATGAGGCTATGCAAGTATTGCATTGCAAGCTTGAAATTATCTTCAATTTCAATTAGGTTTTTTCTCTACCCAAGGAAATTTTACATGAATTTTTCCATTGACGAGTTGGACCTCTTCTTTAAATTTTGTCATAACTTCTTGTTGCTCCTTTTCTGAAGCTGCCGCTTCTGGGGAATCAGTGATTTCCATTCTTTCTAGATCCCAAAAATTTTCCTCTGTTATGTTGCCGATAGCTGTGGAAATGTTGGTAATGTTCTTGACTTTTTTGTTTAAGTACAAATCTAGCTCTCCGCAATCTAGCCTCATCAAGCAACTCAAAGGAAACCCAGAATTATTGGCAAAATATAATGATGAATTTCAAAAACAATTGGAGCAAGAAATCCTAGAAGAAGCACCAACGAAAATTGAAGGCCCAATAAGCTTTTATATACCACATCAAGCGGTAATAAAAGAAGTTTCGAGGACCACTAAATTAAGAATTGTTTTGAATGCAAGTGCGAGCATGAAAGGGCAGAAATCACTGAACCAAATCATGCATCAAGGCCCGTCATTGATCCCAAACATGATCGGAATCTTGATAAGATTGAGAACATTTCCAATATTGCTTACAGCCGATGTAGAGAAAGCATATCATCAAGTTCACCTACAAAGTTCCGAAAAAGATGCAGTTCGCATATTGTGGTTGAAAGATTACAAACAACCCGTCTCCTTCCAAAATTTGAAAGTCTTAAGATATACAAGGACACCATTCGGTGTTAAAGCCAGTGCTTTCCCACTCACAATGTCGATACTACACATGTTAGAACAAAATTATCCTGAACTGAAGGATGAAGTTGCCGAAAATATGTACGTCGACAATCTTTTGTCGGCGCACATAGCGAGCAAGAAGCTATTCAAAAATATAAGACATACAAGGATGTCTTTAGGAAAATGAAGATGAACATTCGAGAATTCACTAGCAACAACAAAATTGTGCTAAACTTGATTGAAAAGGAAGATAAAATTGTGGAAAGCTCACTAAAACCGCTAGGAATGACTTGGGACAGCGACAAAGATACTTTATCGCAAACCACCCAAATTAAGGCGGAGCGACCGTTAACCAAAAGGAAAATAATTCAAGCTATTGCAACGAATTAAGATCCATTGGGAATCGCTACCCCATTGCTGATTGAGGCTAAAAGTTTTTATCAAAGCTTGTGGTCGATCAAAGACTTAAAATGGGATCACCAACTACCCGAAAAACAGAGTGAGCAATGGGAAGAGATTGAAAGCAAGTTCGGTAAAGAAACAAGCATCACAACCCCAAGGTTCATCCTTAGGACACAAAAAAGAGACTACACACGAATAGTGATATTCGCTGATGCATCGGTAAAAGCTTACGCAATTGTCGCGTACCTGCAAACAAAAATTGAAGAAAGATTTGAGTCATCGATAATCTTTGCAAAGAATCGGTTGAACCCTACTAAAGTCATTCCCACAATCCCAAAGATGGAATTGTTAGCCCTAGAATGCGCTCATAAGCAGGCTCAATACCTATTGAACGAAATAAAATTAAAGATTGATGAAATCATTATTTGCGGAGATTCAGAAGTGGCACTGAAATGGGTCACTCAAGAAAAAACAAGGGATAAGGCAGGAAAATTTGTGCAGAGCCGTACAAACAAAATTGCTCAGATTCAAGAAGAATTAAAGGCATCAAAAATCTCAGTAAAGTTGTTTCATGTCCCTGAAAAGTTAAACCCAGCCGACTACGGCACAAAAGGAATTACATTACGTTGACCCAATTCGCTGAGACGCCAGCATCTGAAAATTTATTTATTGACAAAACCGCACATTCAAAAAAGATCATCACAAAAAATTAAAGTACCAGATCAGATAATATCTCAAGGAATAAATAACACATGAGAAAAAAGAGTAAGACAAAATTTGTTGGTTTGTTTTAAAGAAGAACCCGTGACAACTTTTGCATTTGACTGGCGACCAAATCCCCATCTCGAATGACCACTTTAAACAAGCGATTCTTTGTGTCCGGGTGGTGCATGTGGATGACTCCTTGCACAGCGTCGATTCGACAAGGCACTTGTCCAGCGGCAACAAGGCGGTGCAACTCTTTGTCCAGAAATTCCACTGACACACCGAAATCCTTGGCCATCATGTCCAAACGAACTGTCTTGTAGGGAGTCAAAAATTGGAGATAAGCCTTGAGGCGCATTCCACGGCTGTAGTAGTTGTAATGGGGGAAGAAGTATCTGTCGAACTTCAACCTCTCCGACTCCAAAGTTGCCAAATTGTGGAAGAACTTCTCGTAGTGACAATCGTAGTACGAGTTGAGGTAGTCGCGCATCATGACGAGCTGTCCCTTTTCTCCGCCACCGGTCAGCTGCTCCTGCACCTCGTTGCTTTTGATGACTTTTGAGCGCAAATCGGGACGCTCCAGTGCCAGCACACATGTGGTAATCGTGTAGAAGACCAATTGTTCATAGCTCAGCAACTCGTAGCTTCCAAAAGTCGGCACAGCTTCGAGAAACAAAGCCGCGGCACCGGAGAAGTCTCGAATCGACATCTTGTAGAGGGCTTCGTACGATCGCAAACGATTCTTACGTTCCCAATCACCGCCCTGTTCCATCAGCTCCTTGGCCCTGGTGACATAGTTGTTCATCAGTTGATGCTCCAGAAAGAACAGTCCAACACGAATCATATTGAACACCAAACCGATCTTGTACCCAACGCCAACGGTCTTCTCGAAAGTGCTCGTGAAAGCTTTCAGGGCGTTTTCCTTGTCTCCGATTTGACAGAAATACTCGTACTTCTTTAGCCAAGCCTGTCGCACCTCACTTTCACCCATGTTCTTCTCGGCTTTCTCGGCAATCTCCGCATCAAAGGCCTCGATTTTCTCTTGATTCTTCGCCGTCATGGAATCGTATAGAGCCTTGTCGAATGGCAGTTTCACCTCCTCGGCCAACAACTTGTAGAATGGGGCCATGTCGTTGGCTTTAATCTCGATCATCAATTGCTCGAGGTTGGTGGCCTTGAGAGTTGGATCCAATTCAGGGTGATTGACGAGGAAGCGCAGTTGAGCGATCTCCAGGTTGGGCGATTTTGAAATCACCTAAAATCATTCAAATATTATTCAAAGATTTTCAAATTTTACCTCCTTATCGTAATTTCCATCGTCAACCTTCTTTGGCGCTTTCTTGTCGTCGCTTGGCATTTTGTCAGAATACTAAAAGGTGACATTAGATTCTGAGGCATTTGAAGTTTTAATTAATTGAAACGCAAAAAATATCCGATCGCCAGGAACGAACTAAAAAACGGATTAAAAAGTTAAGCAAAACGTTTATTCATTCATACAACAAGAAAAAGAAAGTACAAACAAAATAACAAATACCCGTAAAAATACACTAATCTACAACAGGAGTAAACCTCAAGCTATCAATATTTCATCGCCACCGATTACGAGTGCGTTGTTTTGTACTCCTCATATCTAAATACAAAAACAGTGAACCTTGTGTAATTTAAAACCAACTTTTGTTTCTGCATAGCGTAATCGGTCATGTTCTGTTGTTGTTGCACGCTTTTCAATCGTTGTCGAACGCCTTCTTGTCGTCGATTCCGTTGATTCTGCTCGTCCCATAGCACAAAACCTAAATAATGACATCTTACGACTCGTTGACATCAACGACAGTTTTATCTCAATTAAAGCTCACCTATCGTTACCGTTGTGAGCACACACGAGGCGACGAATACGCGGAATCCGTAGAGCTTCTTTGCGCCAGCCACCATAACATGGAATCTGAAAAAGCACGTCCCCTCAATAAAGAGACCCTAAAACCAAGCGTTTAAAGCTTCCAAACCAAAAACTCACCGCGAAAAAGTCTTTCAAATCCGTCACAAAGCCAGCTGGGTTTCCAAAAGCATCCAGGTAAAAGCCGACGTTCATCACTTTCTTTTGAAGTTCCAAAAAAATACCAAAATAGAATTTCTTTAGCAACTCGAACAAGAATGACGAGGTCTCAAAGTAGTGTAGTTGACGGAATGGCGGTAGACTGATGCCTGCGTTTTCAAAAGACACCAACTAAAAGAAAATATTGAGATATATCCATTTCAAACTCACCATAATATTGAACTGTTGCTTGAGAAGTCGGAGATCTTTTGGCAGTCCACTTTTCGGAATTGTTGCAACTAAAACAAATAATAATTTATCGTTACATATACAAGTTTACGCTTACCAGAAAGAGCAATTTGACCCATATCTAACTCCAACCTTCCAAAGTAACACTTTCTTGATGCTAACGGATTTGGGCGATCCAATTCGGTATTTGGTGGCATTTCGAGGGCACTCGGCTAAAATTGAAATGTGCTTTTGAGCGCTAATTTTAAACGTTACCTGTATTCTTTGACTCGCATCAGTCGCTTGCACAAATTGGATAAATTTCCAAAGAAGTAGCTCGTCCAGTTGAACCGAGAGGTCGCAAAGTTTCAATCGGAAACACTAAAGACTCTTCAACTTTTGTTTTTGTTATAAAACCTACATCAAAGGCGTCATAGTGTTTCATCGGAGTACAGTTCATTTCGATTTTCAATGCCGGTCGAGCCGTGGTCGGTACACCAGCTGGAAGATTCTCAGGACGAATGTAGTTCTAAAGAAGTGCATAAGGATTAATTAAGGCAGTATCTACCTCATCATCAGCCATTGCCGCTTGACAATAGATGAATTGCCAGCGGTCCGCATTTAGAAGTTGATTGTCAGCCTAAATGTTTAAATTGCAACCATACATGCTAACTAGTCCTGTTAACAATTGAACAGTTTTAGGTTTCACAAAAACTTTAGACTACGACGCAGCCTAATTATCTATATGCTAAATGCTTTACCTGTATGACTCCCACGCTGCCGGTCATCTGAAACGTCTCGCCAATCTTGCTCGCATTGATCACAATATCTCCAAAACGGGCGTACACAAGCTCTTCTTGCAGCGAGTTCACAATTGAGATCCCGATTCCACTTCGCATCGTGATAGCAATCTAAACAAACATATCAAGACTAGCAAACAATTAGTGTTGATTGAAAAGATTTTCGTGGCTATTTCTAGATGTTTCACTTGTTTCCGGATACAATTGTTGTGGCGAATGGCCACTCAAAAAGCTGCCTAATATAGGTAGCACAAAGTTATTCAAGAAAATTGTGCATTCTATTGTGCACCATCAATTATTTTTGCTTCTTCAACCCATTAGTTGAATATCTTATGTTTAAAGCCTATATAACCAAACATTATTTCTCGCACGACGTCGAATTCCAATTGACGTCGCCGACGTTTCAAGGGCGTCTAAAGGAGCACCGCGTCGTCGTCTCTTTTTCATTCAAAAAAAAATCTTTTCATTTTTTTCCATTCGCCTCTTCTCATATCCCCAACAAAATGTTTTGTTGTATATCGCCGCAAGGGGTTGCAACAAACTTTTGGTTGGGCGGCTTTGTGAGATGCAGCACTAGCTGGTCTCACAGTCGCATCGGATTCGTCTCTCTGGTCGCAAAACGGGCTATTAGCACCACGCTACTATGCCCGAAATTTTGCCTGAAAAGGGCAATTTTACGCTTTGCCAAGAATCAAGCCACCACCAAAGAGAAACGAGCCCTTGCGGTCAGCCTAAGCGCATCGAAACCTTACCTCGTTTGTTCTTTTTTCTCTTTCACAAAACACAAACACATCAACAATAAGAGAAAGAAAGAACAAACGAGGTAAGGTTTCGATGCGCTTAGGCTGACCGCAAGGGCTCGTTTCTCTTTGGTGGTGGCTTGATTCTTGGCAAAGCGTAAAATTGCCCTTTTCAGGCAAAATTTCGTGCAATAGCCCGTTAGCCAGTTTTGCTGATAGCCCGTTTTGCTACCAGAGAAACGAATCCCATGCGACTGTGAGACCTCGCTAGCGACATCATCATCAAAATCGCGAGGACCATGCCCAGTCGTTCAAAGCTTGTGACGGTGTAGGAGATCCTCGGAACCGGTCAATCGGACGGCTACACCATTGATGGACAACACCCATGCGACGAATAGTTTTCATTTTTTATTGTGATGGCTTCGTTGATAGCTTTTCTTTTTTATTGATCTGCCATTATGTTTTTCCTTGCTTTTCGCCCACACTCTCATCCTTTAGTTGTGACTTAATGACACCTCAACTGCGTTTCTCGAAGGATTTCGATTCTTTCGCGGTGGAACCGAATCATTTGGACGTGATCTATGGCGGAAAGGCTTTTCGTCTTGCTTACCCGATCAACGAAAAAAGGAAGTTCGCAGTCGAAAATTTGGGCAACTCCAAGCTCTTATTGCCGGAAATGTTGCTTGAGGTCTGTCTTTTTTGTTTCAATAATAAATTCCTATATTTATTTCTCATATAATATAATAATATCATATAGTGATATAATATCATACTAGAGGAACTATTCTTAGGCGGCAAACCTTTGCCCAGATCTAGGTTAAATAACAATATTCATGATAGACTTTTAGTGCTACGATCGAGATATTTCGTATGGAATACTTGTGAATGTCCAGGCCGGATTCGAAGATGTGCTGATGTTGGGTCGATTTGTCGAGAAGCTTTCAAGTGTTGCCGGCTATCAACAGGTTCAGTGTTAAAATTTTCTGCGGGTGAAAGTTCTTGACTTGTACTTATTTAATTCGTTAGGTTGAGATTTTAAGTGTGGATTTTTACGAGGCTACGAGAATTTCAGAATTCAATTTTAGGTACGCGTTGACGAAGGCAATTTTTCGGCAATGATGTCAGGGGGTTTGGAACACGAAGATGACACTGGCGAAGAGGACTTTGACGAGTATGACACCGACGAAGAAGACGTTGACGAGTAGGAGCCCAACATGGATCAAAACCTGTTATTTCAGATTATTCATATGTAAAAATTAGCTCCAGTGAACGGTTATTAGTTTCAAGTATTTTCTTGTGCGCTCTTTATCTGACAGTGTTTTGGTCTTTACTTTACGACTATTTGATATTCTTCAGATTTAATAATTTCGGTTGTTTTAGATCCAAGGAGTTTGGTTCGAAATCGGAAGCGAAGGTCAGTTTATGGATCTCCTTTTTTGTCAGTAGCTGATTGAAATCAAATATTAAGCCTATAAAGTGCACGTCACAGTGACGTTAAGTGATAAGTGCTCATTTTTTGATGTTGGCTGATTTTTCATTTCTTCCTTTAGATGAATGTGCAACGTCCTCGTCCAATCTTGATGTTTGTCGAAGAACGAGGCAGAAGCGGCAACCCTATCGCCAACCCTATCGAGTTCTACTTCCCTACTGGTCGCAATTCCCACATACTTCGAGATCACCGACCCTCGAGACAACGTCTGCTATCGATTTGCTCACACTCAGCCAGTGAATAATCGCACGTATGAATCGTTTCCGCGAGACTTCGGTACATCAGGAGGTAGAAGACACAAGTATCTCTTGCATAATGTGATGATGCAGGTCAGGTTTCTCTTTGATTGTAGTTTTTCTATAGAATCGATGAGATCTTAGGTTTGAAATTACAGCTTATAATTCTTGTACTTTAGAGTCCACCAAACCCGATCAACACCCACCGTCATTTTAAGCAGCATCAGAGTGGACAGTTGCCTCTCACCGTGTTTGTGGATCTCGCCGAGGTCGATGTGTTCGTGGATTTGGGCGCTTTTTCGGATGATGTTTTCCGTGGTGGCATTCGACAGAGCAACTATACGCCAATTTAACCAGGTTTTTTTCAGGTTTCATCATTTGCTTGTGGTTTAGGTAAAAAGCTAGAGTGTGATCTGTTAGAATCAAAGTAACTCGTCGCTGATGACCTAGCATTATAGCCTTTAAAATTTACGAAAAATGCTCTAAGATATTAACGAAGCAACTAAGAATGAGCAAGTTTTTTCGAATCGTAGCCGATAACATTCCATAGAGATTTTGATAACTCTTATTTTTCAAAATTTTAGTTTCGGCACGGTCATGGTTGCAGTCACATCATTCATCATCATTCAAAAAGACGATCTCAAAAGTTGGCTTGTGATACATTGACGTGCTTTCTGTTTCTTGTTTGTTTACCAAATTCATTCTTGTTGAATAAAAGTTTATTTGTTATCTAGACCGTCGGAAAAGCAGCAATGGGCTATGAATTTTTTTCAAAACTTCACATAGAGACTATTCGAATTGCGTGTTATGACCTTTAAGGAGTTAAGCGGAAGAAGTAAGCGGCATTGACCCGAACTTAGACAAGTGTTGGCCGAATAGGTGAAGGTTTGTATCGCTTAATTAAGAATAAATGTTTGGATTTTTAGGTTGTGAACAAGGGGAATTATTCTACAAACGGCTGCTCAAAGACACCACATTTAATTGCGTCAAGATCTTTAGAGGTAACATTTGATTATGCCATGTAAAAAAACTATTATACTTGTTTTCACCTGTAATTAATCATTTTTTCAGGAACCTTCTCCAGCTCAAATCGTGAATACGGATGAGGTTTCAAGGATTGGCTATTAGGTGAAGGCGGTTTTGCAAAGGTGCATCGAGCTCGCAATGACGAAGGATTGACAGTAGCTTTGAAGGTAAAGCGTTTAAAACTTTTGCTCTACAATTATATTTAGTACGAGGTTCCATCGTGTGCCTGGGAAGCCTACATTTCGCAAGGTAAAGTTTGATGAACTAGTGGAGTTCCTATTAATAAATTTAGCCGTCCACAATCGCGTTTCCACGGAGATCAGCCTCGCCATCATGAAGATCGACGACATGTACATCTTCCGGAACGCATCTCTGATTGTCAACGAGTACTTGTCGATGGGCAACATGCTGCAATGCATTAACAACGTGACCGGCGAGGTATCCTACAGTGTTGTACTCGATCTCTTCAACTCGCACGAATTTTGGAAGAAGTTCACGCCGCCGGAATTATCCATGGAGATGTAAAGCCAGACAATGTGATGTTCATTGGAAAGTGAGTCGTGGTTAAATTAAACAGTTACTTTGTTGTTTCAGATTGCCCGAAGGATTGTCTCTACGCGCCGACGTGTTGCTTTCTGCAAGGCCCATCATACGTCTCATCGATTGGGGTCGAGCAATTGATCTCTCTTCTCTGCCAGGTGGAACTTCCTTCAGTGGTCGCGCCGGAACACAATGCTTCGATTGTCCTGAAATGCTGGTAAGTGTGAAGTTTTGTTTTTTTCAATTTTGGATACTTTAGAATGATCGTCCTTGGACTTATCAGACGGATCACTTCTCTTTCGCTGCATCTCTCCATGTAGGAATCTTCAAGACGTACGGAAAGGTCGTCGAGGATTCGAATGGTTTCATGTTTGAGAAACCACTTCCTAGGTACTACTAATGATTTAATATTTTAATATTTACAGTGTTTTATTTCAGGCGCCGTCCAAAAGCTCCGTACATTCGTGGTGTCATGTCTCAAATGCTCAGCATTCCATCGTGCGAAGCCATTTCTTCTTGAGACAACGTTATCGAGAAGCTTTCAAGTAAGTTACTTTTGTGTCTATCCAGTCAACTACTTTCTCTTTAGGTTGAATTTCCGCTCGACGCAATGGGCTGAGGAAGCAAAACGCTACAACATGGCCATTGCCAATTTTAAACCTGGATGCTAAGGATTGGATTTTTTTATTTCTTTTGCGTTCTTGATTCAATAAATAATTCAAAGTTCATTTCTTGTTTGAAAGTTTATAGTGGCTGAAGCCAGTTTATGCTTTTACCTTTGCTAATTTAATAGTTTTGCAACGGTCCGGCAAATAAACTTTGTCTTCGCTGCTTCCATTCAATTCTCCAAGCCTCCAAATTCATTCTCATTGCAAAGAAAAACACGAAATTTATCGTGTAAAGATACCGTATTTCTTCTAATAGTAGCCCCACTTAACTGATGAAGCCCCGCCCACTCACCTGAGAGACAAAAAGTTGCACAAAATTACGGGTTTTTAACTAAAAGTTTAGAAACTCTGTTAGAATGTTCGCATTCCATAGGCACATTTATAGAAATAAAAGGAATTCGATTTGCTTTACTCGTTGCTGAGAAAATTCAAAAAACTTTGAAAAAATTTACGCATCATTTATTTTCTATTATTTTCCTAAGGATTGTCTCTATGCGCATTGGTTTCAGCAGCGAAATTTTCGCCAATCGTATGATTCTTTACACCTGGTTTCAATCGAATTTATAGCTTTTTTATTTTAGTCTCGATAGTCATGAGTGACGCAGAGCTCGAGGCTTCTGAAGCGAAGCGAAGCGAAGCGTACTTTGTAGACCGCGAGCTCGTCATTGACTTGGAACAAAAACAGGCCATCAACGTCACGGTGGGAGACAGGTGAGAGAATGAAACTTCACCTAACTATGGCTTATCCCTACGCCAAAAAAGCAAATGATTCTACTTTCAGAATGGAAGATGAACGAGTGGTCATCAATGAGGATCATCTTTTACATCCATCGGCAAAACTTCGCGTGCCAATTCTCGCTGCCGAAATCGCGAACAAATGGGACAAGGAGATCGACGACAATCTGAAGTGCTACGTCATTGAGGATATGAAGACACTGTTCCATTTTTTCAACAACCTCGACGACGGGCTTGAACTTGGAATTTTGATACAACAAGTCCTGAGGGGCGAAGTTACTCCGTCCAGCATTGTACTGGGAATGGAACATTATGCTGCTCTTTCAACGGATGCCTGTAACGCATACGCAGAACTTCTCATCAAGAAACCAAAGGTGATAGGCAATGGCTATTGGAGCTTTATGTATGAGAAAGCCATGGACGAAAAAAGAACAAAAAGCGAAGCGCTGCGTCTAACGGGAAATCTATCAAAAGGGACGTGGAGAAAAGAGAAACGAACGCAGGATACAAAGGATCAACTAGCGGCACTACTTAGTAACAAGCAAATTGTTATTGTTGCAGATGATGCGGCTACGAAAGCAATTGAGTTGGTTCAGAGCTCAGGTTTCAGCACCTATGTGTTAAAAACAGCTGAGGGTTGTGAACCTGTCCTCAAAAGGCTACGTGAACTGAACTCACTAATTTCGAAAGTCAATATGATCGAGCTGTTGTTCATCGTGATCAACCCAGGCGTTTCCGAGTCATCTCAAGGAATTGCCTCAGACCAGCTATTCAAAGAGTTGGCTAACCTAGCAAGAAAGCTAACTCCAACAGCAACAATGGTAGTAGCACCCGGAATTCCAATATGCCTGGTTACCCACCAACAACTTGACTCTATGAAACAGATGTTTTCAAGGATTGAAAAAATGGGATTACGCAATCTGAGTACACTGACTAGAAATGTAAATGATCAAAGAGGAAACGGACTTCCTTGGTCACTACAGGGACTTTTCCGCAAGAGTTACGGTGCGAAAATCAATAACAACGATCTAATCGCTTTGGGCAAATTTTACCTAGAGACCTTGAACTCTACGCAAAAGTTCTGCAAAGAAGGAAAGATCAACAGAAAGAGGGGACATAACCTGGTCGTTGTCGAGGACCCAGCGATGACCCCACCGTATCGAGGTGATCGTTCGCCCACTCCTGAACTCTCGGCATTGATTTTTCACGAAGATCCATCTATTCACATCGATCTACATCAGAAGCCGCGCCTAAAAATTAAACCAGCAGAAGTCGATACAAACACTCTAAGCGTGAACCCAAAAACAAAGAACGATCGGAGCATTGTACTCGACAAAGAAAAGGTTCAACAAATGGACCAGCTCAAATTCAAACTCGCTACAGGCTCATCAAAGCTGAAATCGCGCATCGCATGTGGGGCATCAAACAAAGAGGAAAAAACAAAGAAATCGAAAGAAGTCAAGGATCCGAAGAAACCCGAAAAGCGAAAGAAAGAGAAATGTCCATGGGAGGACTACCATCATGGACGAGATCGGGAGGAGCGACGATCAAGCAGTGATCACGCAGGGTCATCTACACGCAAATAAGCCATCAAACAAAACTTTATATTGTTTTTCTATTATTTTTTTTCTATTATTGTTCTTGTGTTTTTATGAGATAAATTTGATTTATTTAGGTTTACATGATCAATTTTGTATTTCTCTTTGAAATGAGGACGAAATCTATTTCCCAATTGGAAGCCGAGTGGAGAATCCGGAACTTTTCGACAAACCTGGGTCAAGAATATGACAAAGGACAAGGATGCAGAGATTGTGAAGACGAAAGGAGACGACTATACGAATGTGTAGTGGGATTTGTTGCTTTACCATCTAAATTTCTTTTAGGTCACTTTCAAGCCGGAGTTGGCTAAATTCAAGATGCCGGAGCTGGATGATGATATCATCGGATTGATTTCACGACGTGCTTTTGATGTAGCTGGCGCATCTTGTGGCATAAAAAGTGTTACCGGTGTGTTTTCCTTGTTGGAATGTAATTTAAAATGAAGTTCTAGGTTAGTGGTTTCAAACAATACATCGAGCAGTATACCAAGGATATCACCGATAACACGGGCGAAGCAAACAAAGTCTGCTATGAGCAAGTGAACGATCGCTGGGAGGTGAAAATTTTTCGGATTTTCCTAATCAATTTGGTCTTTAGGTTGGCCTGTGTGTCAGCGAGAGAGGCTTTCAACAAGTCTCATTTACCAACTCGATTGCTACGACAAAGGTTTGGATTTTACGATTTTGGGGAAACGTTGAGTCTTTAGGGTGATCGTCATGTGGATTATGTTGCCTCAGCATTTTTTCTCGTCTCTTCTCTTTTCGATTGCTACCAACTCGAACCCGAACCGGAAATTGCATATGGAAGTCAATCACCGGGACTTTCTTTCACCACGAAGATCACGCGAGTTACGTTTTGCAAGGTAAGGTTTAATGAACTAGTGGGCTTCCTATTTATAAATTTAGCCGTCCAGAAAAATATTCAGTGTTTTATTTTAGGCGCCGGCCAGAAACACCCCACATTCGTGAGGTGATGTCTCAAATACTCAACATTCCATCGTGCAAAGCCGTTCCTTCATGGGACAACGTTGTCGAGAAGCTGACTACATCTTTCAAGTAAGTTACTTTTGTGTCTATCCAGTCAACTACTTTCTCTTTAGGTTGAATTTCCGCTCGACGCAATGGGCTGAGGAAGCAAAACGCTACAACATGGCCATTGCCAATTTTAAACCTGGATGCTAAGGATTGGATTTTTTTATTTCTTTTGCGTTCTTGATTCAATAAATAATTCAAAGTTCATTTCTTGTTTGAAAGTTTATAGTGGCTGAAGCCAGTTTATGCTTTATCATTGGTAATTGAGACGTATGAGTTCCTTCTATGGACACTTTAGCACCGGCGGCGCTTCTTAGCCAAAGACTAATTTGATTTTTTGTCAGCTTGCTCTGAGTCAAAGTTGTAGAAATGCATGCTATTCTTGCGCTAGTCTTTAGACACTTTTGTATGTGATTGATGTAAAAATAAGATCTCTGAGTCTACAAAATATGCGTTGAGCTTGGTTTTGGTATTCAGCAGCGAGATTTTCGTTAAGCACATAATTCTTTGCAGCTGCTTTCAATGGAGTTTTTATGCTAGATCGGGTCGTCTATTTTGGTCTCGATAGTTTCCTTGTAGCATTATCATACTTGTAGTTTTCCATTTATGAGAGAGAAAACTTTCCAAAAAACGGTAGCAAAATGATACAGAAATACTTATTTATCACGTTTTAAGTTTATATCTCTTATTTGAGATTTTCAATCATTTTGTTCATCTGCTCTTTCTAGATCATGGTGATGTTAAAGATCACTGAAGATGCGAACACTCCATTGCGTATTAACGTTGCAGCCCGATCAATGCGTGTTATTCAAAATGGTCACATCTTTCGTTTCAAAATGCAGCCCGGGGGAGGATATTATTATTTCAATCGTCGAAATAGGGAAAGCGTCATAAGCAACCCAGCCGGTAGGAGCACCTACATTTTTTCCGATATCATTTTGGAGGTTGGTGCTTTTTTAATTCATATTTTTCATACTTTTCTAATGATGCTTTTAATTATCTGTGCTGATCGTTAGGTTTTTAGAGCCCGCCTCAGTCCGTCCTTCAAGCACAACAGCTTTTTGTGGCTGATCAGGGTCGAGGTGTGGAGTTGACGGTGGTCGATCTGTTTCTTGATCTCACGGTACTAAACACATTGAACCGTTTTGGAACTGCTTTGGGTACAAGCAACTTCTTAAGGCGCTGGTACGTTATACTTTCAAATTTGAGATTGTTAAAAATCCTAAAGGAAACTCGGGCAAACAAGAAGAGTATTTATTTTAAAGTATGGATCTGATCCTGTTTTGTAGCAAAAAATTGTTGATTGAAGTGATTGACTGGTAAAAACAAGGATAAAGTATTAGTATAACAAGTATTTGATCCTGCTTTAATCAATCGTTTTTCGATTGGAAAAAGCCGGATTAGTGAAATTTTTGATGTTTTTCTATGGATAAAATAAGTACAAAATCATCAATCACATCTCGACTAGACCTCTTATCATATTCTTTTAGAGTTCAAGGTCTCTCGTCTGATTGATTCTCATCTGATCAAAACGACTAACAAATTGAAGTGTTGTTGATTGCAAATTACCGTAAAAACTCTAATAGAACGGCCCCCCATTCTCTCTACTTTAGCTTGATCCCAAAACGCAGAGAAACAAATTTCTGGACGCCGAGATATGAGAGCTTGTTTTAAGAGTAAACTTAGACTACACGACGCTCCTATAGGGGGCCGTTCTATTAGAGTTTTTACGGTAATCATGGTTTTTTCGTTTCTGTGCTTTTGTTTGTTTTCGTTCGAATAGTTAATATATAGTGGTGAAAAAAGTGTTTACTAACTGTGTTTGACTTACTTTTTTCCAATATTTTTTCCACCACTGTATGTAGTATTTTCATATGTCGTTAAAATAAACGATTTGGCGTTTCGATATCCTTTGAACTATAAGTTTTATGATCGAAAAACCTTATTTGAGCATGACTTTTAAAAATCTGTATATCAAGAATGAATGAATCTCATTGAAAACGGTTCCGATTATAATGGCATTACTTATTAAAGTTTAGCTGCAATGCCATCACAAGTGCCCGCTGCTGCAGCGGCACCAATTGTGCTCGGGTCGGATATGAATCAATGACAAATTGAACGCGCCAAAAAGATTGGAGGCTCAACTGGCAGCCACTCCCTATGGTGATGGGCCGTTGTTGAAATGGATGGCTGCTGCGAAAGAAACAACCGATGATCAAACGAACTCAGCAAAGTAAGTTGAGGAGAGTGGGTTGTATTCCTGAACAAAATACAAAAAAAAATTTTTGCATTTAGCCTACAACGTCAATTGAAATTCCTGAAATCATTGGCTGGCTCACCGGTGCTTTCTAGCAATGGCTCTCTTGTGTGGCCATCGGCCATCGGCCAAGACCCGGATCTTCTCTTGGAAAATCTCCAATTGTTCAGAAGGTAAATCAAACTATTAAACCATTTCCATATTAAATATATACCATATTAAATCATTCGTTTAGGATCTCTCTTATGCGGCTGCTTCTCGAGCCAAATCAGAAAAAAAGGCCAAAAACATCAAGCACAACGGCGATCTCGCTAGCGACATCATCATCAAAATCGCGAGGACCATGCCCAGTCGTTCAAAGCTGTTATCTAAACTTAATCTGATGAAGTCAACTAGATCGGATTCAATGGTGATAAAAGATAAAAGATTGTTGACTTCAGTGAATCCCAAAATTTGAGTTCACTTTGAAGATCCTTCCTTCGACTACGGTATCATTTTCAAAGCTCTCAAATCAGAGCCGCTTGGGACTATTTCATGACTTAACCTCTCCCTTCTCCCTTGCACCATGTGGAGCGTAAAGGGGGAGGCTCCCCCCTTCTCCCTTCCTTCACTCCCCCCCCCCCCTTCAGCAATCGATATTTCCTACGGTGTGTCGATCTCTTCACTCTCTTTTCTCTCTCTTTTTGCTGGTCCTACAACGAAACTCGTCGTTTCTCTGAACTCCCTCCTGTCTTCAATCGGTCTTGTTTTTTATTTCTGTTTACTCGACCCATCCGTCTAGCCCCATCGTCACTAAGCTTTTGTCTTATCACCCCGAAATCATCCCTGATCCAGATTTCCTTATACCATCCATTTAGCTATAACTTTTTTTCATTTTCATGGAATCTTGAAGTTTCAAATGCATCTAGCTGTTGACCTTTTGTTAGCAAGTCCGATTTTCCTGCTTTCAATTGGGTTCGATTTTAAATTAAAGACATTTCTCCAAAGTCTTTGACATGAAAAGAAAAGTTCTAAATGACTTCTAACTTGGTTCTAAATGATTCCAAGAGTTGGTGCTGGCGAACACCGGATATGAACTATGAGCTTCTACTAGAACTGGATATGAGGAAGGAAAGGGGGGGAGGTGCGACGTCGCATCGCGTCCACATGGCGATCTTCCCGAGAGAATTTCTCTTTCTCCGTCTGCGTTTCTCGGTGTCTAGGGGTGCGGAAGCGGTGTTGTGTGTGCTCTTCTGTGTGCACAAATCTCTCTCTAGATCTTTCCTTCCTCTCTTCCCTCTTCCCCCATTTCCCCCCTTTTCACCCGTCCCGCCCATTTCTGAACGCTCGCGGCGTCGCCCCGTTATCGCGCGCGATATCGCCTGACGATAAATGTAAATCCATGAAATTATTGCGCTTTATCGATTAGTTAAAGCAGCTCTAATGGAGCTTCTTAAGATTTTGTCCGCATTCCTTTCAAATTCGACCTAAAATTGTCACCCATTTCGATTTACCGAGCGTAATCGTTTGAAATTTTAGTTATTTTAAATTTTTCTTGTTTTTGTAAAAGTTAAACGCGACTCCAAACTGCACGTTTGCCAATGGCAGTTTATATAAACGTCTTTGATTGAATATCTTTTAAGCAGATAACTTTTACCTACAAACAAAAGATGTTCAAGCAAGATAATGCAACTACCAAACATGCACAGCTTTGCAAAAATTGCACTTTTTTTTTCTTTTCTACCTTATCCATTTTCAAATTCCATTGTGTTTTTTTCAGCAATGGTGTCCTCGCACGATGATCGACCCGAAACAGAAGCCGGGGAAAACGAGAAACACGAAAATGGAAACATCGAATTGGTAAATTTCTTTTCTTGTAGCTACAATAACTTTTTATTTTTAGAAAAAAGCCAGCATTGACGGGGACAATAACGAAGAAATGACTGTTGATGAAGAAGGAAAAGAAAATGGAGAAGAAAATGGCGATGGAGATGGAGATGGAGAAGGAGAAGAAAATGGCGATGGAGATAGAAATGAAGATGAAGATGGAGATGGAGAAGGAGATGAAGATGGAGAAGGAGAGGCGAGCACATCAAATGATGACTTCAAACAAGAAGGAGCTGCGAGCGGTACTTTTTGTCTTTTAAGAAGCCTGACAAATCAAATGTATATCTTTTCAAAATCATATTTTTAGCAAAAGAGAACGATTTGCAAAAAGGAAATGGTGTCAAGAGGAAAGCCTCCGATGACGACGAAGTATCAATTTATGCACTTTGTCATCAAACAACACATTTTTAGGTGATCGCTTTGGATGAAGACGACAACGTGGAAGCGCCACCACAAGCAAAACAGGCGAAAACCGATTTGAACGGAAAACAACAGGCTAGTCCGGTTCCTGATGATCCAACTACTCACAAGGTTTTTGCAAATATTAACTTTTTATCGTTCCCTTTTAGAGCGAAGAGTTGGTGAATTCGAACAAGACGCAAGACAACGACGCCAAAGGCAAAAAGAGCCAGAACTCACAAACAGTGAAGCCCTTTTGAACCGAATTGAAGAATATGTTGGCGAGGTAGAGTTTTAAAAATAAAAATTTATTTGGATGTTCTGTCAAGCTTGTTTCTGTATCAATCTTTGTTTTAGGCCATTGAAGGTGGCAACAATGTTCAACGTAAAGTCTTGGATGCCTTGCTTGGTGCCATAAACGTTCAAGTTTGTCCTAATCTATCAGCTTGTTCAAATTTCTGTTTCCGGTCCAACGTGAACCATTGAGCGTTCGTAAACTTATCTTGGACAAACAACTTGTTCTTCCAAATACGATCTCATTCCCACCAAGTCAGGTATGTTTGAGCAGCAAAAAAGTTTTATATGAAGATTTTTAGGTTGTTGATCTTGTCATCGAACATGATCCCGATTTTCCACTATCGAAAGTATTGACAAGGATGTTTGGAGAAGAGCGACCTAAGCATTCCGACACCGAGAAGAAAGAGAGGGCATATTTGAAGGTAAAAGCTTAACGATTTGGAAATTCACAGTGGAGGACATTAAGCTTTCGAGAAGTATCAATATAGTGACTTTTTAGCAAAATTACGCGGCGCCGCACATGACTCGTTTGTTGACGGAAATTGGTCAAGAGCTTGTTCAAGAAGCCACTTATTGTGATATCGTCCATGCGAAGAATCTTCCAGAAGCCCCCAAAAACATGGAAACTTACAAACAAGTAACTTTTATTTTTAATTAATTGCTGATTAATTAATAGACTCAACGTTCAAATGCAACTTTTTAGGTGGCTAATCAATTGAAGCCTGTTTGGGAACAACTTCGGAAGAAAAATGAGCCCTTTAAACAAAAAATAATAACTTGCCAGGTAATGTGGTTTTTGTCGTTAACTCCTAATGTAAAATTTAGGCTTGCAATTTCAAAACGGAATCTCGATTGGTTATGACTTCTCACCGCTCTGAGTTGCACTATGATGGGAGAAAGTTTCAATGTGGTTTCTGCGGAGAAAATGATACAAATGAAAACCGCATGATGAAACATTACTTGTAAGAAAATTTAGCAAACTTTGTTACTTTCTGTTTTTACAGGAAAAATCACGAAGTTGTGGCAACAAAGCCAGATCCTCCCCTGAGACATCCGTGCTACATTTGTGACGAAGACTTCCAATACAAAGGGCAACGTGATCAACACATGCGAGCGGTTAGTTTTAGCGCAGATGACATCAACTGTGTAAAATCTAACTCAAAATACAATTTTGTATCAAGGTTTAAATTGGAAACTTGCATAGAACTATTATACAGCCTTTATTCAATAATGTTTAGGTTTGTAAACGAGATTTCGCAAAACTACGCTTTGTGATGGCACCAAAGAATAAAGAAGATGTGTCGGCGATTAACACATGGTTGTGGGAGAAGCCACCCGTTGACCCAACAATTCTCGCTCAACAACAACAAAATCAACGTGAACAGGTTTTATATTCTTTCTCGTTTTTCAAAATCGATCTTCTTTTTAGCAAACAAAGCAACGACTTCAGCAACAACAAGCTGCTGGCCAACTCCTTGCTGCACAACGCGAACAACAGAAGAAACAACAAGCTATGCAGGTAATTGTTTGGCGGCTTTGTTGTACACACTTCTACAAAACCTTAGGTTATTTGAATTTAATATTTCACTTTTAGATTTTGCAGCAGCAACAGTTGCTTCAAGCGCAAAAGCGTCTTTTGGCTACGGTATTTTATAAATTTTTGGCTGACATTATGATTTCTTTAGCAGCCAAATATTCGCTCATCTGGTTTGGGAACCAATCCAGGGCAAAGCCTCATAGCAGGTAGTTTTTTTAGATTGTTTTGACTTCGAGGTTTTCTTAAAGGGTTTCGTACAAGTCTAGCAAGAAATCTAGCAATGCAACGACATCTGGCTCAAGTTGCGCAACAACAAACTCAACAAAACAGGGGTTCGTCTTCGAGATTGAACGATGCTGCAGCGCTATTCCAGGTTAGAAATTTATTCCATATTTTCATACAAAGTTTATTTAGCGTAACCTAGCACAAAAGGCTACAGCAACCCCTTCTCCTAAGTCAGCCCAGCCATCACAAACTAAATCTGCAATGAGCTCGGTAAGACATTAGGTGTTTATTGTACAATTAAAAATGCGCTTGAATATTTATTCAAATTTCACGGATTTAGTCAGTCTCAACTCCATCGACACATGCTACACTAAACCGAAATCCCATACCAAATGGGGCTGGGTTGGCGACAACAAGTCAATATGCATGTGAAATCTGTGATCAAAACGTCCAAGTAAGCACTTTTTGTAAAAACTTGTTAGCACTGTTTTAGGATCGCGACCGTTATTTGACACATTTGCAAGTTTTTCACAAGCAGATGAAAGGGAAAACGGTGAATGACATGCAACAGGGTGCACCATTAGCATGTAGCCGCTGTAAAGAAAGGTTAGTTTGTTTTTGATTGTTTCATTTTGATTTTTTTATAGGTTTTGGACGTACGAAGGACTTGAAAGACATCTTGTAATGTCTCATGGTTTGGTTACCTCCGATCTCTTGAGCAAAGCACAACGCCGAGAAGATGGTGGACGATGTAAACACTGCAGCAAGGTATGTTATATCCTGTTTTCGTGCAAATTCACTTATTTAGCAATATGCGTTCAACATGCTTCAACACTTGGTCGCTGAACATCAAGTGAAGTTGTGTAAGTTTTCCCCACTACATTCGCATCCAAAGAGTTTTATAGGTTCTGCCGAAATCATGTATTCGTGTGACGTTTGCTCATTCAAATGCGCTTCCTATCAACTACTTGAAACTCATCTCAGCACAGTGCATCCAAAAAATGGTGGCATGGGGGAAAATGGCAAGTTGAAAATAATCCCTTCTAAAGACTTCTCTTTTTTTAGATCGAGCTCGAACAAAATGTTTGCAGAGCAATGGTGCCGATGCGGACAAAGATGATGAAATCGTTACCCTTGACTGAGTCTTTCTGTTTTTGACTGAAGTTGGTATTTAATTTTGTTGTGGACTTACTTCAAATGGTCTCATCTTTTTTGTCTATTCACCCTAAAAAGTATTGTAATGGTGTTGAAAGTAAGTTATTGATATTTTTTCAATTCAATGATTGTGCGCAATCTATCGTACGGTGTTTTATCTGTTCTCAGTATAACGATAAATGGTTTTCAGTGAGAAATGTGTTTATGCAATTTGCAGATCAGGGCTAAAATAAATACTTAGCAAAAGGGCTGTTGATGTTTAGTCTTCTAATTCTCGTCGCAAAACCTCGAAGTCGTAAACGTACCAGGGGGCATTTGTGCGAACGTTTTCTCGAATCTGTAAAGTCATTTACTTTTTCTGCATCAATTGTCATCGGTATCAGGCCGAGTAAATTTGCTTTTTGAAGAATGTTCAATATCCCACTTGATTTCCCCCGAATCCGATGAAGGCATCCGCAGGCGGGAATGCTTCATAATCAGTCGCTCCATCGCCAATCATCACCAAATTCTCGTATCCATATTTTTTTCTTGAGAAGTGCACACACGCCAGGCTTGCCTATCTTGAAAATCAATTTCAGAACATTAGACATTTCTTTTCTTTCACCTCTTTACTTCCCGAATCTGAAGTCAACTCGTTTTCATCAAACCCCGAATACGATCCATCCTCGTTGAAAAGTAGCACATTTGCATAGATTTTTGTGCTGAAAGATCGTATTTGAGCATACGGATTGAATTAGCATCGATAATTAGTATATGAACTTTGAAATTACCGTGAAATCTTCAAACAATCAGCCACCGGTTCAATGAGACTTCGGAAACCCCCAGACACCAAGTAGACTGGAATGGAATGATTGTGAAGGGACGAGATGAGTTTATCTATTCCCGGTGTCAACTAAAAATTTAACTTTTAAAATTTAAGATAACTCATTGACAACCTTTGGCGGATTCTCGATTTTGAACTTTTCAATCTGTTCTTTTGATGGTTTCATCACGTTTAGCCTTGAGCGGAGAGCTTCTCTGAAAACTGGCTTCAATGAATTCGATTTAGATTTTAGAAAGCACAAAACCCATTGTTTATCACTTTTTAACAAACCGGTATCTGAAATGAAAAAGGAATTAGATTAATAAATGTAAAGGGAAAACTGACCTGAAACGCGTATTTCCGTTCATTGCCGCTTTTGTCGCTTTTGAAACGGCTTCACCAACGCCGAGGAAATTCGCCAATTCATCGATTGCTTCGTCCTGGAATTTGTTCGTTTAAAACTTGGATACTGTTACCGTAGTCATGAAAATTTTAACTCATAGTTAGCTCACCCGACAAACCGTCGAATCCACGTCAAAGCAAACACAATCCGCCATTTTCCAAACTCTTTTTGCTCTTTCCTCTCCCGTTTCATCCTCCAATTCCACTTTTTTTGGTTCCATTTTTTGATCACTGAATAGAAAATATGTATTTCAAATAGAATTTCTAAATGTGAAGTTTTGAAGAGATGAAAACTCACGAATCAATTCTCCGATGATGTTCCACCATCATGATTTGTCTCTCTTGCCAGTCTTGTCTGTCCTCTTCGTTCTCTCTAGACACCAAAAATGGTCTGATCAGTCTGGCTGAAATGAGAATCCACCGTATCTTTGCCCGAAAGAAATTGGCGGAAATTTGATTTTTCAAATGAATCCAAAAGGTATACTCAATTGAAATTTCTAGAATGAATTCATTTTATCAGCTTGATCAATAACAATTTCAAAAAAATATTGCGGGAGAAATTTTTATTATTTTCTTTTTCATCCCAGATTTCAGTGTGTTAAAATGTTTTTGAATGTCAATGAAAAAGGGGGAAGAAAAAAAAAGAAAAAAATAGGGGTGGAAAAAAAAAAAGGAGGATGTGGGGGGAGGGGGATTGTTTTTTTTTTTGTTTATTTTTTTTTTTTTTTGGGGTGAAAACGGGGAAAGAAAACAAATTGAGACAGAGGAATAAAAAAGGAAATTTTATTTCAAAAAACGTTGCAAAATTTGATAGTAAGATCTATTGCTTTTATACAAATACATATATTAGATATAAAATTATGTGTTAAAAGATGTATCGATTATTCATATTGGATATGAGTGGAAAGAGTGGACGGTGAAGAAGGATGGGCTAATCAAGGTCAACATATGAGGTCAAAAGATCAACTTGGTGAGAATGAGACAAAGAAAAAGACAGAGATCTCATTGAAAGAAGAGATTGAAAGACTATGAAATCTATTGTATTGCATAGAATGAACTGTAGAATTCTATGAAATATTTGCTAGTTTATAACCAGAAAAAGGAATATGAAGATGATGTTAAACATGAATAATACCTTTAAAAAAGGCCATTACCGTTCAGAACTTTTGTAAGCTACTACTACTGTTTTAAAGCTTTATTCCACTTTAAAACAAAGCTGAAACGCTGAACATTTGTGTGAAATGAATGCTATTTTTTTTTTGTCTGCCACGTAGACAGCCTTAAACTCTTAGACAATAGTGAGAGTGAAAAGGAGGAATTTGGGTAAAAAGGAGAGATTTAGGGATAGGGGATTTCTTCGTGAGTGAAAGAGGCTAATTGGCTAAGTTTTGGCTAAGTTTTGGCTAATTCGGGTTGGCTAAATTTCATTAAAATTTTAGGATTAGAGTGTGCTCTTCTCGAGTAATTCGTTTTCTAAAAAACACCATTTGAGGAAACTACTGTACTCAAATCGTTAGTTTTCATTCGATTAACCCAATTTTTATATCATTGACTGAGCCTTGTAATCCCTATCGAATGATAGAAAAAAATTTTCGGTTAACCGAATGAAAAATAACGGTTTTGAACAACTAATTGTGTTAAAGGGGGATGACCTGTAGGGCTGGATCTTCTCAAAATCTTTTTCCGGGAACCCCCTATAGTTTTCCTTTTAGATTATCAAAAATAGTCCAAAAACACTAAAGTCGAGACTGGGGGTCTGGAATCAAAAATTTAAATTTTATATGGCACATCTGCCAGATCCGACTCAGCTTTTGGGATTCAAATGAAAAGCGTTCCTTCTCCATCTAGAATAAATCAATTGATTTACGGTTTTGACAATTATTTAGAGAAATAGTTGGGCACAAAAAATAAATAAATAAAGATTCAGAATCTCCATAATCTTACAAAAAACGTTTCTGAAGAGTGCCAAAACGCGAAATCCAAAATGCTCTTTGGAAATTTCGGGAAATTTCGTTTTTTATTCATGTAAATAATTGCGCTTCGGCTTGGTTTCCAGCAGTTCCACATCTTGTGTTAAAAAAAAAAAATACCGACTGGGGCTACCAGTGGTGAATTTATCGCATACACGAAATATATCAATCACAATACAACGACACACACAATACTAGGCTATATCTTAACTTAACCCACGTCATGACAGACGGCTCCCTAACCCTAAGCTCAATGGGGAACTAAATAGCTTTTTTGGTGGTGAAGGGAAGATGACGATGAAGGAGTGGCTTGTCACTTTAAAGAACTGGGGCCACAACCACCAGACTGCCCTCCAGAAAACCTCTCAACCCGAAGGGAAAGGAAATTCGAAGGGGGTGACCATGTCGCATGTGGGGTTCGAACCCTCGACCTTCCGATTAAGATAAAAGACACTTAACCAGTCAGCCACACGTGTTACTCAGAAATATTTTATTGTCAAAAATAGAGCTGGGTATTTAACGAAATCGTCTCTATTAGTATTTTTTAGTTATGTTCCTTTTCTTGCTTTTATTCTTTGAAACTGTTCTTTTTACAATTCAAAATTGATTTTCTGCTTTCAGAACGATGACCGCCAACGCGCCACTTGGTGTCGATGGAGAATCGATCCACGAAATGTTCGGCTCGGATCAAGCCATATGTCAATATGCATGTGAAATTTGTGATGAAAGTCTCTAGGTAAGTACTTTTTGTAAAAATTTCTTAGCACTTTTTTAGGATTGCGACCGTTATTTGACACATTTGCAAGTTTTTCAGAAGCAGATGAAAGGGAAAACGGTGAATGACATGCAACAGGGTGCACCATTAGCTCTTCCTATCAACTACTTGAAACTCATCTCAGCACAGTGCATCCAACAAATGGTGGTATGGGGGAAAATGGCAAGTTGAAAATAATTCCTTCTAAAGACTTCTCTTTTTTAGATCGAGCTCGAACAAAATGTGTGCAGAGCAATGGCGCCGATGCGGACAAACATGATGAAATCGTTATCGTTGATTAAGTCTTTCTTTTTTGACTTACCGTAAAAATTCTAATAGAAGACTAGTCTCCAATAGAAGACCACCGCCCTGACCCCCTGAAATCGGGACTTTTTGAAACTTCTTTTTAGGTAGAATGGTATATTTAGGTCCAGATAGAAGTATTTTAGCCTCGGTAGTATAATTGAAAACATGATTTTTGAAAAATGGAAAAATATTTTTAAAGAAATTTCATGTAGGGGACCACATGGACTTTTTTGGAAGATTCGCTATGGGTCCGGGTAAAAAAAAATAGTTTTACTTTTAAACATGTTTTTCGTACGTTTTATGTCAAGGTCTATCGTTTAAAATAATTTTTATTTAATTTTTTGACTCATGTGGGAGACCTTTATCTACTTTTTTGATCGGCCAATTTTAGGGGTTTGAAAAATAGAAGACCATGGTCTTCTATTAGAATCTTTACGGTAAGTTGGTATTTTATTTTGTCGTGGACTTACTTTATCTCTTTTGTCCATTTACCCTAAAAGTTGTTATTTACCTTATTTTTCTACTTATTTTTGTCTATCTCAGTGAGAAGTGCGTTTATGAAATTTGCAGATAAAAATAAATACTTAGCAAAAGGGCTGTTGATGTTTAGTCTTCTAATTCTCGTCGCAAAACCTCGAAGTCGTAAACGTACCAGGGGGCATTTGTGCGAACGTTTTCTCGAATCTGTAAAGCCATTTACTTTTTCTGCATCAATTGTCATCGGTATCAAGCCGACTAGATTTGCTTTTTGAAAAATGCTCAATATCCCACTTGATTTCCCCCGAATCCGATGAAGGCATCCGCAGGCGGGAATGCTTCATAATCAGTCGCTCCATCGCCAATCATCACCAAATTCTCGTATCCATATTTTTTTTCTTGAGAAGTGCACACACGCCAGGCTTGCCTATCTTGAAAATCAATTTCAGAACATTAGACATTTCTTTTCTTTCACCTCTTTACTTCCCGAATCTGAAGTCAACTCGTTTTCATCAAACCCCGAATACGATCCATCCTCGTTGAAAAGTAGCACATTTGTATTCCGTATTTCCGTTCAATGCCGCTTTTGAAACGGCTTCACCGACGCAAAGAGCAGAAAAAAACAAACTGTTTGTTCCAGCTTGATGCTCGTTTCCATTATTTTCTTTTTACTTTTTCCCTTCAATTTCAAACTCATCCCTTTGTCAGCTCGATCATTTTCGTGCGGAGTATCGTCACGTTATGTAAACACCTTGGAAATAACGAAAAAGGAGAAAATGGAGAGGGAAAGGACAACGAAAACAACTTCCCTGGCAACCGTTGGAAATACTTTGGAATTTCTTTGCCAAAACACCTAATGGTGTTAAGGTTCAGAATTTGCTAAAATCAGAAAATCTCTTATCTTACGATTTTCATTTGGGTTTAGTTAAAAGAGTAAACAAACTAAGTGAATACCCTTTATAAAAGCACTCTTGCACTTTGTCAGGTCCAATTGCAACAGAGAAAAACGCGCAAAACAGTCTTACAGAGCCATTTTTCCTTCTCTTGCTTGACTAAAATCGAATCTTTAGCGATTTCTAAATGTTTCCATTCAAAAATATTCCTTTGAGCACTTTCGTTTGTTTTCAGAAATCGCAATCTTCGCATCCAATCTTTCCATCGGGCACACTTTGAAATGTTTCACTTCGAATATTCTTGAGAAACGAAATTTGCACGAATTTGATACATTTTTTCATTTCCAATTTCGTCTCCTTCACGATCTCTCAGATTAACTACCATGACAACTATGCTTTTTCATAAATTTAATTTCTTCTAAATGAAACATTTTAGCTATTCGATAAAAATTGACGCACATTACTGAGAGAAACTAGTACGCAAAGTAGAGCTGGGTATTTAACGAAATCGTCTCTATTAGTATTTTTGGTTATGTTCCTTTTTGCTTTTATTCCTCGAAACTATTCGTTTTACAATTCAAAATTGATTTTCCACTCTCAGAACGATGACCGCCAACCCGCCACTTGGTATCGATGGAGAATCGATCCACGAAATGTTCAGCTCGCATCAAGGAATCACTTACAAGTAAGCTAATTGTATTTTTACCCATCCACGTTGATCTAATGTCTTTATTTAGTGACTTCAACATTTTGCCTGGCTATATCGACTTTCCAGTGGGTGCTGTCTGTCTTGAGACCCAACTCACAAGGGGAATCAAATTAAAGGTATTTTTATAGTTTTTGCAAATATTTTGTTAAATTTAGGCGCCACTCGTTTCTTCTCCGATGGACACGGTCACTGAAGCGGAAATGGCGATTGCAATGGCGGTAAATTTGAATGGTTTGAATACTTTAACTATTAATTTTTAGTTGCATGGTGGTATTGGAATCATTCATGGCAATTTCCCCACTCCCGAAGGTCAAGCTGCTGAAGTTTTGAAAGTTAAAGTAAGCATCAATGTGATCATCTCTGTGAAAATGAAAATTTTCAGCGCTATAAACAAGGATTCATTTCAAATCCAAAATGTATCAAACCGTCCGACACCGTCAAGGATTTGATGATGATTAAAGCAAAGCATGGATTCACCGGAACACCTGTCACAGAAAATGGACATCCTGGGGGCAAATTGATTGGTCAGTTTTATTTAATGTGAGAAATGGTAGCGTGTTGCTAAAAGTGTCCGCTATTTACTGAGACATGACTTATTTTTTATATAACATCTCTTTTTTAGGCCTTGTTACTTCCCGAGATGTCGATTTTATTCCAGAGAGCCGTTACGTAACGACTCTTATACAAGATGTATGTTTGTGTAAGTTAAATTCCGAAAAGCTTGTTTAGGTGATGGTTCCACGCGACAAGCTCATGACTGGACACGAGAAAATTGCTCTCAAAGAAGCTTATGAAATTTTGGAACTCGAAAAGAAAGGTTGGGCTTTTTTTTCAGTATTCGGTCATATTTTATTGATATTTTTAGGAAAACTTCCAATCGTTGACAGCGATGATCATCTTGTTTCATTGATTGCGCGTACCGATTTGAAAAAGGTTGTTCTTTTTTATAAACTTTCATATTTATGTTTAGGCTCGAGAATTTCCATTATCGACTTATGATGAGAAGGTATAGAGATTTTTTTTCAACAATCAATTACCAATAACCTAGGGACAACTTCGCGTGGGAGCTGCGATTTCAACACGAGAAAACAGCAAAGAATCAGTTTCTCTTCTTGCTCAAGCCGGCGTTGACCTCATTGTGATTGTAAGTTTTTCTTGGTGAAACCAAAGCTAACTTCAAATTAGGATTCGTCGAATGGTTCTTCTATGTATCAAGTCGGTGGGGTTTTTTTTACGATCTCAGTCAGCGTAAAAATGACCTTTAATCGAAAAAACCTTTAATTGCCAAAATTTAGAAATGTTGCAACACATCAAGAGCAAACATCCTGAAATCCAAGTCATCGGTGGAAATGGTATTTTTAGCACAAAGCAAAATGAACATGGTTTTAGTGGTGACACAAGCACAAGCAAAATTGCTTATTGACGCTGGCGCCGATGGATTGCGGTGAGTTTTATTGTTATTTATTAATCTTTCACTTTAATTTTATTTTAGTATTGGAATGGGTTCGGGATCAATTTGTATCACTCAGGAAATTATGGCCGTTGGTAGGGCTTTTTTGTCATTGTATTTTTACTAACAGATCATTTTTAGGTAGAGCTCAAGGAACCGCTGTGTATCAAGTAAGTTTCAGTAGTGGTTATTAATTAAGCATAAAATTGGCAGGTTGCAAGATATTCGCGCTCTAGAGGAGTTCCAGTGATTGCTGATGGCGGAATTCGGGATGTTGGCTATATAACGAAAGCTTTGGCTTTAGGTGGAGTTAATTTAAAATCACTCATGAGTCTCTCGGTTTAAGGCGCAAGTGCGGTGATGATGGGTGGACTTCTAGCAGGAACTACCGAGGCTCCAGGTGAGATATTTTTCGGAATTTTTGTCTCATTTCATGATAGGTGAGTATTTCTGGGGAGCGAATGGAGTGCGTCTGAAGAAATATCGCGGAATGGGATCACTCGATGCAATGGAGGCACATGTAACCAGCCAAGATCGCTACTTCACAAGGTATCTAAATACATTTTGTGATTAATTGTATGGTCCAATTTATAGTGAGGCCGATCAAATCAAAGTTGCCCAGGGAGTCTCGGCGACAATGCGCGATCGCGGAAGCATTCACAAGTTTGTTTGATCTAAACTAATATGCTTAATGGCAATGTGGTTTTACCTATAAGAGGTATAAGATTAAAATGTGAAAAGTTAACCCTAAACTATTGGCACTCTTTTAGATTTGTGCCATATTTGATACGAGGTGTTCAACATGGTTTTCAAGATGTGGGAATAAGATCACTTAGCCTCTTGCAGTAAGTCATCTTTGATTATTTTGAGTAATCAAATTTTTTAGTGAAAAAGTGGAAAACGGAGTAGTGCGTTTCGAGCGTCGTTCTCCAAATGCGCAACTCGAAGGCGGTGTACATTCATTGCATTCGTGAGTTTTTGATGCTTATACTGTTGACCTGATAATTTCGGAAACTGTTTCTTAAATTATTAGATATTCTCTTATGGGTACGACGGCCAGTATTATAGGTGAGGCAGGCACTTTTTTTCAAAATGATTAAAACTTCTCAACACCTATCCGTAACAATCTTATCAAATACTACTTTCTCACGCTGCTGAAAGATTGTGATGATTAAAAAGTTAAATTTTTGCGTTTAGCATTAAGCGTTGGTTTCATTTTATGGGTTTAATGATTTCGAAGTTGAACTTATGGAACTAACAGGGTTTGGTTTGTAAGGGTAGAAAAGGTTTCAAACTTTATACTACCCCTATTAAGCTAAATTTTACCGATAAATGAACCAGATTGAGATTCGAAATATTTTTGTCGTGACGAAAGCATGCTTCTCATACTTTTTTCCAATCAAACAGCACTCATTTATTGTAAGAATTGTGGATAATGTCACATTGTTTTTGTTCAAAAAATTTAAACAAGATTCGATTTCAATTTGGTCTCAAAAGTGGTGGGTTGAGAAGTTAACAACTCCTATTCGTACTAGCTACTACTCATTGGCCGTTTAAAGTTAAAACCAACGATTTAGAAGTGATCGGTGTATTGGTTTTATTTTGTACAACCCAAGACATTGCCAAAGTTCAAAATCTGACTATACTTTTCTTTTAGATATGACAAGCGGCTCTACTAAAGATGAACTTTGAACTTGAGATTGGTTTGCAATATGTCGTGTATGTTTTGTCTTTCTTTTTCTTTTTTTGCTTCTTTTTGGTGTTGTGCTTTCGATTGTCATTTATTTGAACGGTGATTTTTCTGAATTTGATTTTTTGTGATTTTAATTTTGATAAATGGTATTACCTATTATTAAAAAATGCAAAATTAGATCGGTTTCAAACGGGTTCTCAAAATGGAAGGAAGGACTTGCAACTTGGAATATTATCGGAGATAACGAGTGGGTAGCATTGGATAGACTAGAGGCTTAACCCTTTATGCCGTTGAAAACCCTCATCAAGATAAAGAGATTAAAAAACAGAAGAAGGGCTTAGTCTCAAAGCCGATTTAAAACCACCCAGAGACTTCTAAAAGAAAAAAATTTCAATCATTTTCGATTGTGTGGAGTTCATTGAGTGGGTGCTTGAGTTTTTCAAGTCATGAAATCCATTCTCTATCCCATCTTTTGATTGGGTCATAAGAGATGGGTATAAGGGTCAAATGGATAGAGAGAGCTCGCGAACAGCCAGCTGGAGAATCTCTTCCACGCAAAGACCACACCACATGATCCTTTCTCCTTCTCCTTTATTGTGTTGCTGCTTGATGAATAGTCCCCCCTTGTCTCTCTCTTCTCTTTCCCTTTTAATCTTTTTCATTAGCTTTGTGTGTTTATTTCTCTGTGTTTCCTCGACTTCTCCTATCAATTCGATGCATGACCTTTGATGGCCTCTCTGCCTGATCGACACTTCCAATCACACTACGTTCAAATTTTGCCAATATTTCTCTTTTCCCCTTCATTTCTTTGCTTTTCGAAATAAAAAATGGGTGCTTCTGTTTCGAATCTTTTCGCGGGGTAACGATTTGATGATTTTACGAAAAATTTTTAATTTTTGGTGCAATTTTTTGGTTTTTAGGGGTGAAATGACTCAATCAACGGGTCAAACAAATGGAGCCGCCATTCATGAAGGGTTCGTTTTTGAGTTAGTAGAGTGCTTTTAATTTATCCTTTTATTCTGAAACTCGTAACTTATGAAGTTTGCGTCAAAAAAAAAACTTGAGTTTAGCTCTTTTAATCGTTAGCGAAATCATTTTTATCATCATTTTAATCATTTCTTTTCGTTTAGATCAGCCACAGACAAGTCGATGCCACCATTTTCTGCGAAGCTAACGAAGAAATTCCCCTTTCCAAAGGTATTTCCCATTTTCGCTCAAATATTTTTGTCTTTTAGGTGGAACTCCATCTACATCTTGACGGAAGCGTGCGTTTCACCACTTTATGGGATATGTGCAAGTAAAGTGCTCTTTATTCCTCTTAACTAACATTTATTTAGCAAGAAGGACATGCCGGTGCCTGATGTGCATGACGTAGAAGGACTCAAAAAAGTGAGCACGATATTTCGATTGTTTTTTCAAAAAAAAACTCTTTAGGCAATCATATCAACGAAACCGGGTAATCTCTCTCAAGTGTTGGAGGCGTTCAAAATAATCCTCCCCAGAATTGCGTAAGTGAATCTTTTCTTTTGAAAAAAATAGATTTGAGTTATAGGGGTGATGTGACGGTATTAGAGAATATCGCTTATGAAACATGCGAGGATCAACATCGAAATGGTGTTATTTATTTTGAGGCTCGGTAGGGAATTTGCTCTTTCACTGAAGTAAGCAATGTGTTTTAAGATATGCGCCACATTTTCTTGCAAACACGGGTCCTGGCATCGATTACGAGCACACTTATCACAAGGATGGACCGGTCGGTTATTTGTATGTTGATTATTGTACACTTTTACAGGTAACCGCTGAAGATGTGGTTCAAGCGGTTTATCGAGGATTTGAACGGGGCAAGAAGGATTTCGGTATTGAAGCACGATCGATTCTTTGCTGTATTCGCGGACACGATCTCTGGAACGATGACGTACTTGCCCTAGGTAAAAGATGTTGTTCACATATGGTGTCACTTCTATCAATATTTGTGCTTGCCTATTGGCGAAGACTGTCTGGGATGTCTCTAGTGTAATTGAATCTTTGCTAACTTAGATTTCGCTGGAATCTAAATTTCTTGAAAAATTCTTTAGCTGATTGCAAGTAATTTGGACAGCCATTTAGTAAAACTTTCTTTTAGTTTCAAAACATCGTCACGATTTGGGAGTTGTGGGAATAGATATTGCCGGCTGTGCAGATGGAGCTGATGAAAAATATGAACCATCGGCTATTCGTGTCTTCAAGGTATGGTAGCTAATTGTTTAACACATTGACGACCAGACGCTTTTTTAACACAAAAGCCCGTGGGACCAAAAATCGTCGTAAATTTTATTTGATAAAAACCGATTATTTGTATCGTTATTATTAAATTATATATATCTATATGATTTTGCTACAACCTGAAAACCCATAAGCTAAGTGTACATACAGACTTTACAGACCAGAGAGATGGAGCATAAACTCATATATACCTGAAATCCCTTGAAAAACTTTCTTATACCACCGGTGGTCTAACGATCCCAGATGGTAGACTGTTTTAGACCACCGGTGGTCTCACGGTCGTCAATGTGTTAATCGCCAATAATTTGTCCAGGAGGCTGCCGCTATGGGAATTCATCGTACAGTGCACAGTGGTGAGGCTGGAACAGACAAAGAAGTGATCATGGTTTGTGGTTTGCGAGCTTTAATTAGTGAGATTTTGGTCAGCTTTTTTAAATAAAATAGCCATGTTTAGGCTATCGAAGAGATGCACGCTGAACGAATCGGACATTGGTTACAGAATCATGCGAGATGAGAGTGAATACGTAAAACGATTTGTGCAAGTGCGTAAAATGTTTAATAGCTTGTTTATTTCTATTAATGTTTTGTTTAGAACCACGATCACCATCTCGAAGCCTGTCCATATTCTTCTGTTATGACAGGATCGGTTCCACTGAATTGGCCGACTCATCCAATCAAAAGGTTTGTTTCCAATTTACCGCAGCAAAATCATTGAAGTTTAGGTGGGCAGCCGATGGAGTTAATTTTTCAATCTCGCGCGATGATCCAACGTGTTTTGACAACTCACTCTGTTCTGAGCTCGAGTTAGTCAACAGCCGGATTGGTCTCTCTGTTCATCAGCTTTGGCAATGCGTAAGTTTTTGAGCCAAGGGGTCATTCGTTTGAACACATTTGGATTTAGCAACTGAATGGAGCACGAGCCGCGTTTTGCGATGATGAGTTGAAGAAGAACATTGTTGATCAAATCCTGAAGAGCGAGCCATCAAATTGATTACTCTGTCGTTTATGATTTTCACTTAAGCATTTTGTTAATAAAAATTGATAAAAATCACAAAAACATCATATCTACTATGGCTGCGGGAATTTAGTGTTGTTGTTTTCGGTTGCTGTTTGCAAAGAGATGAACGTGTATACCGAAAATACAAGAATACAGAAATATTCACATGTCTGTATCGGTGCCATTGCTCTGCAAACATTTAGTTCGAGCTCGATCTAAAAAAGAGAAGTCTTTAGAAGGAATTATTTTCAACTTACCATTTTCTCTCATGCCACCATTTGTTGGATGCACTGTGCTACAAGGATACAAAATAAATGTTCACAAAGAAAAAACACCCAACGAGAGCTTACTATTAGAAGAGATTGCGGAAATGATATGGAAACTGTTTAATGTCAGTAAAAAACTTTAAAATAAAGCAAGTCAAGGAAAGCTGATCAAACGCCACAAAGCATTGGCTACGTGGTAACCGCTAAGTTAAAACAATTTCATCGAAACATCAAAAACATAAATGCTCTTTTAAAGGGGTAAATTCTTATCATCGGGCAAAAATGGAAATTGAACTCGTCTTTCCCTGGCAAGGAGGAAATGAGAAATGAAAAAAACTGGGCAATTTTAGCTTTAAAACAAATGTTATTCTGTAGATGCTTACAGTCCTCCAATTGAATAACTTTTCCAAAAGGCAATTTCATTCTATCTACATGAAGAACTTTCGAATTTCTCAACAAAACGGAATCACTGTAATCCTGTAATGCACTATCTCCAAATCGTTACAACTTAACGGTATGCTTTTTTTATAAAACTTTTTTGAACTTGGTGTATTTTCACGTTTAATTGGCCGTCCATAGAAACGGATCTTTGAAGCTTTGAAGTGCACCTAACAGAACCGGATTTCTGGAACCAATCAACCAAATCATATTTTCAGTTCAAAACCGATCGATCAAATCAAATTTCGGATTTTCGTTTTAAATCAGAAGTTGACTCTTCAAAGAACGCAGTTTTCCAATTGAAATATTTATGAACCCAACCGACACAAAATAAATAACATCAAAAAGAAATTTTTGATCGAGAAAGACCGTGAAATAACAAATAAAAATACAAAATAGGTACCTTACTGTTTTCTTTCAGGGCTCCGTCCAAGTTTGCTCGCACAAGCCACTTTATTTTCTGAGATCGTTTGACTATGCCGCCTAAAAGAATACGTAGAAATAGTAATTAGTAAAAAAAAAAAATTAAAAAAAAAATAGTAAAAAAAAAAAAAAGGAAAAACCTCTTTCGTTGCACTTGCATTCGTTTCTCAACGCCATCATCGTTGCCAGAATCGGAGTCGGAGTCATCACTTGATGAAGAAGATGATGAAGAATCACTCGAAGAATTTTCATCTTGTGGCGTTGCTTCAGAGGCCTCCATAATTGAAATCAGTTCCGGACGTTCGCTTTTAATTCTGAATTGGTATTTAATAGAAGTTTGATAAATAAAAAAAACCTTTTAAACCAATGTTTGCTGAACTTCGGTCGACCTCGTACTGTCTTGGGCCAAACAATGTGCAGGTTGGCAATCGAACAAAGATTCTGTGTGATTGCAACAGTGACAGACTCATTGATAACCACGTGCCACCAACCTAAATCAATATAATCATGAAGTACATGTATTTTAAAAACCTGCAGGAACAAACATAACTTCCCCTGGTGCTTGTCGACATTCGATTATTGGATATTCTTTTGGCCACGATGACGAGCGAACCCTAAAAACAAAAAGGCTTCCATTTGGTCCAAAATAATCGGTAGATCTATTTGATTGAAGAGCACCTTTTATAGACGGTATTAAACCATGTAACAGCTTCATCGGGGTGCTTTCCAGCTTCATGCTTCATTGGTTTTACAAGAGCCTTCGGCGCATCTGGTGGAATTAAAACCCATCTGTAAAAAGAAAATATCGATAGAAATCGAAATCGAAACCAAAACCAAAACCAAAACCTTTTGTGCCCATGTATTAAAGCATTCCACGCGCTGGTTCCCAAAGGATCAATATGAATAGCCGTTCCAGAACGAGCCGGTCCAAAAACGATCCATCTAAACGAAAATAAAAATTATAGAGAAAAGAGTCCACCTGTGCGGAGGACGCTTTTTCATCTCGGCGTACCGAAAGAGATCATCTTCCCAAAATTTTGGAATCTCGTAATCTTCAAGCAATTTCTTGGTCTTGTGGCGCTAAACATTTTTTTATAAAAAGAAATGCAGCCTATGAAAAAAGAACAAAATCTTCATAGAATGATTTTAAAAGCTGACATAGATTTAAAAGAAACCTCTCCAAAACTGCTATCGAAAACATAAAGCGGTGAGTCGTCGTCATTGGTTCTCATGTAGTCGTAGTAATACTAAATCTGTGCAAGTAGAAAATAAACAATTCATTGTCGTACCTTCATCTTTATTTTTACAGAATACCCATCGTCGTCCTAAGTTTAAAACAAGTATTAGGTATTTTATTAAACCTAACCAACCTCTCCACATTTGAATTTCTGATTGCGGTACTTTTTCAACAATCTCTAAATGTTTTTTAAAACTTGGTTAGTTATAAACAACAAACTTCAGGAGTCCATTTTTCATGAGCAGCCCAATTGCTGGTGAGCCCTGTAATAATGACGGGAATTCGTGGTTTCCCTCATAATTCTCACGGAACTCTTCCAAACAAATTTCTGACCCATTTAACCTTAAATTTTATATTTTATATTGTATTATAAAACATTAAAACATTTAGCCGTATGTTGTGCCAGGGCTGGATCTTAAAAATCAAAACTATCTATTCATTTCATTAGACTAACCACAAGGTAGATTCAATTCTTTTTCTAGAGGCATGACCAGTAGCCAAAAGTCAGATAATTTTCAGTTTAATTTTTTACAAACCTGATAATGGTGTCTGTAATTGGTGGCAAGTCGAACGAAGTAGCAAAACCGAGCGTATTCCATCCATAATTGTTGAGCTCCTAACATTTAAATATAAGACTTTTATAAGAGTAGTTTACCTGGACGAGCTTTTCTTTTTGCTTCAACGACTCTTCTTGTGGAACGCCGATGAATTCTGAAAATCGTAAAATCAAAACAGAAACTCGAGCATACTTTGTGACTGGGTCATAGTTTGACGTTGAGCTACCTTCGCAACCCGTATTCATCATTGTTTCTAAATTAGTTTACTGCAGAACATCGAATATCGATACGAGGCAAACACTTCGATAAAGATAAGATCGCAGTTCATAAACAAACCTAAAAATATATGATTGGGTTGACTTTTTCGTCTCGACTTTAAATCTACAACCGTTTTTGCCAAAATCTGTTAAAATTTTATTAATCACTATCCATTTCGACTCGTTCACAATTAGGTACAATAATACCAAGAAATCAGACACGCAATTCAAACATCTAAAAAGCTATTCTACCCTCAAAAATCAGAAACATATTTGGGCAATCAAAAAATGACTACCTAAACACATAGGTATTTACATAGGAAAGAAATTTAATCTAATCATTTCTTGGGTGGAGAAAGATCTGGTTTCTTTTTCATTTGGAGGATGAGGCGATTTTTGGAAGTCGGTCCATTCCGAACGAACAGAGGCCAAGCCGCCTCGGATGAGATCGACCTAAAAAGCATCCATCTTAACAAAAACAATATATATATATATTACCGTTTCTTTTGGATAACAAAATGCTGTCATTGTCGCCATTCCGGTGGCAGAAGTGAAAATTCGGCCAAACGCACCTCGTCGCATTCCAAGAACCAAGCCTGCCATACCACCTAGAATTAACGTACATTACAGTTTTTAGACGATTGTTGGCAAATAGTGCCAAAGAGTAACTTACCAAGAGTAATTGCACCAGCCTTAGGAATTACGCTCCACTCATCCTCTACGTAGCGTTGAACCTAAAAAGCCAACGACTAAAAGCTTTTGACAAAATATATACCTTGAAAGCGGTATTTTGAACACCAGTCACCGCATGATCTATCAAAGAAAACTCTCTGCGACCCGGATTATATTCTTCTTGCCAAGCCCTAGAAGTAAAATAGGTGACTCTTCATCCCAAAATGGTTTCACCTTCTGATCGTCGAAAATTCTCTTTGTAAAGGCAACGGCTCGCTTTCAATAAAATACAGTTGTGATTTTTTGTCTTCTGCATAGATCTAAAAAAGCTCTGTAGCTAGGTACGCTGATAAAAAATTACCGGCAATTCAGCAACCGAAACTAGCCGTGAGGGATCGGCTTTTGGGTGACGATCGGATGTTACGAGACCCCACCATTGTTTGATAGGTGTTTGATAATCGGTCGTACTCATTCTAAAACAGTGATTAATTGTGGATTAGGGATCTTTCTTAATAAAATTTTCGGCGGCAACATTTTTCAAGGAGATTATCGGCCACCCGCGCTAAATTTCAAGATTTAAAGCATATGTTCGAGTGGGTTTTGTTCCAAGAAATAAAATTTTTATCCAAATTTTAGCTCATAGCCCAAGAATTCCCTCCACAAGCAGATTTTTGCCCAATTCCAGTGTTCATTAAGGGTTCCAAACACTGAAAATCCTTCCGACGATTCATGTTCCCATAAACATCACTCAAAATCTAGGGCCCCATTTTTAAAGATTTCAACAATTTTATGGCGGCACCACGTGTATCTAAATTAAAAACGTTATGTTGTTAAAAGGTAATGAAACATTCAACAAAAATTGGTACTTCTTTAGTATCGGGCGGGGGTAGACAAAAAATCGCTAACTTATCGGCAACTAAATTCACAACAGTCCGGGTGAATTTAGCCTAGCTCTGATGTGCGTTGGGCAGATGTCTTTAACCTCTGCCCATCCCACATCAGGTTAGGCTAAGTTCAAAACAGCCTTGGGTGAATTTAGCCTGATTTTTTGTCTACTTTTGGCCGAATATCTTGAAATTTAACAGGGGCGGCCGTTATTAGGGAAGATCCTGGATTAGTTTTTAGGCTAGTCACGACAGCATCACATTAATACCTGACTCGATCACTTTACACTAATTGTCGGCTTTAGCCTTTAAAGCAATCTATTATCATAAACGTGTTTGGTGCTAAACGAATGTAATGCGATTTGCGTTAGTTTAGTGAACGATCAAAAACTTTATATATCTTTCTGCTTAAAGTAAGATTGGTGCAAACTATACCAATAGAAAAACAGCCAAATAAAACAATTATTTATTTATAAACAATAAAGCTTTAAAAAGACACATCATTGGAAGCTATATTGAAGTCAACTATAAATTTAGCCACCAATGAATTTGAAGCTTAAACTCGCGCTTTAACAACAAAAAAATCAACAGGCAAAACAAACTTGAGATGTTTATATTGAGACGCACAAAGAACAAAATCGCAAAATTTGAAAGCAATTTAAAAAATTAATTTCATGGTCATTTGGGTGTCGATGAGATCATTCCGGCATGATCTGAAAAACCAAAATTAGCGTATAAAAATAGGCAAAGCTTACTTCTTTTCTCTCTTCACCAGTCGATTTCTTGGTGCCGGACACGATATCATCAATACGAAGCAACATTACCGAAGTTTCAACAGCTGTTTTCAGCACCTAGGCAAGCCAATTTTAGAAACATTATTAACCAATCGCTTACTTGAATTCGCACTGAAAGTGGATCCCAAACACCCAATTTGTTCATGTCTACCTGCAAGCAAAAAATATTAATCGATAAACCAAAAAACAGTTACCAAATCTCCTGATGAACCATCTATTCCCCATGTCCAATTTTCAGGACCTTGCGCATGCTTGGCACGCAAAGCCGTAATTTGACGAATTGTGTTTCCTAAGGCTCGAATTAGCATATTTCCTGAACAATTCGCAATACCTCCACAATTTTGAATCAAAGTCCTAGGAATAACTTCAAGCGCAAGGGCAGCTGCATCGTATGGACTTTTCCTGGAACCTTCCATTTGCCTGCTATTTTCATGAAGAGCCTATAAAATTGTTTAGTGCGCCAAAAAAACTATAAACGCACATGAGAAAGGGCCATTTCGAGTGCACCACCTCCCGGTACAAGGCGAGGATTCAGAAGAACATTGCGAACAACATTCACAGCATCGTTCAAGTTCCGTTCGACCTAAATATTGACACATGTAGCAAAAACAAAGTTTAGTACCTCATTAATGATATCCTTTGAAGGACCACGCAGGCAAACCGTTACAGCAGTAGTTTGAGAAGAAGTGACATAAGTGTAATACCTAAAAACATTGATCATCCATGGCATTAAAAATTAACCAACTCATCCCCAATCTTGGTAATCTCAAAAAGCTCGGCCTTGAGCCCAACATCTTCTTCCCTGAGATCACATGTCTCATTGACGATTCGCGCACCGCAGACTCTAAAATAAAAAAAATCAACTTCAATGCTCAAAACAAACCGAGCGAGGCGATTATTGTCGGTTTTCTTCAGACGGCGAATAGCAGTGATTCCAGCCTTTAGAAGAAAGTGTTGAGCCAGATCAGAAATTCCTTTTTCAGTGGAAGATCAAATCCGGCTTTAAACGGATGATTTCATCACATTGTTTGCGAATCTCGGTTTCTCTTCCTAAACACTCAACTTGAATTTTTGAAAACATCTCTGAAATACCTGTTCCAAGATTCGAGTGATATCCTCCTCCCGCATAATTTCTAGCGAAGTTTGAGATTCACCCTTCTTATACTCGAGATTGCAGTCAAGAAGAATAATTCGTGGATTTTCAATTCTAAATTTCAATTCAATTTGAATTTTGCGATTGACCTTTTTCAGCTCATAAAAACATAAACTTAGACGTCTCTTTTTCCAATTCTTACCGACGCTTCATTTTAGGATGTGTGACGTCTTTATTGAGGACAACTCCTTTTACTACGCGACTGTCTTCAATGGTCCCTCCCGGGATTTTCTCGATTCGACAATATCTAAAAATTGTCTTTTGTTTCATATATTTGCAAATTTTGTTACCTTTTAATGTCGATGTCTTGAACCCCTCCCTTGTCAATTCGAATTGTTTGGACGGCATCAAGCGCAATATTAACTGCCAAATCCATCCACTTGGCTAACATCTTGGTACCAAGGCAAGATTTCACAACCTATTCCTTGATTATAACCACAGTGCTAAAAGATACTCACGACGGTAAGCTCTTCGGTGTTGTTCACATCAATAGGCTTGCTGAAACTTGGTTTCCGCTAATTTAACCATATCTTCAAGAGCTTGACGGTATGCCTAAAAATTAAAAATCATCCAATTAATTGTAGTATTTTACCTGAATAATGATAGTTGGATGAATGCGTTGCTCCAAAAAGACGTGGGCTTTTGACATGATTTCTCCAGCAAGAACTATCACCGAAGTTGTACCATCTCCAGTCTCTTCATCCTACAAGCAAAACTGTTCGAACTATAAAATTTAATATATACCTGAGTCCTAGCAATATCAATCATGCTTTTTGCTGCCGGGTGCTTAACCGTGATTTCTCTAAACAAATCGAGCGTCAACATTTACTATTTCCATTAATACCTCAAAATCGCGTTCCCGTCATTTGTCATGACAATACCTCCCATTGGATCCATAAGCATCTTTAACATTGCTTTCGGTCCCAAAGCTGTTCGAATCACATCGGCAATTGTCTAGAAATAAAGAGTTGCGCCAAATAGTTAAAAAATTACTTTGCACGCAGCGATGTTTCCAGTTTGAACTTGGTATCCACTTTCTCGTTTTGTTCCAAGAGAAAAGAACAATTACAGGCTGTTGTCCTCCTCCGCGCATCATCTTCACAGCAATGTTGTTACCTGAAACTAGGAACAACAATAGTTGACCAAAAATTGGTAAAACAAGAAAAGAAACTGATTGACAATTCAAAAAATTACACTCGCCGGGGAATTGTGCATTGCAAAAAGAACACTGCACAATCGCTTTCTCTAGAAAGTTGTGGATGAATACCTTTGTCTCAATACGTAGCACGCCAAGTAACACTATCAGACTCGTTAAAGCAAATCAAAGATCTGCGTAAATTATTGTGTACAAAAGGGCTCCTCAATATCAGACGTGTTTCAATAATTCCCTTTTAAACGCAGGAACAATGCTATTCAAAACAAGATACAACTGTAGGCGTTTACAAAGTGTTTGTCGCATCAACTTGCATACATAAACTGAAATGATACTACTGTTAGATAGGTAAAGCAGCATAAAACTACACATAAAAATCTCGCGTATAACTCGTAACAAAGATTTATAATAACATGATAAAAACTGTGAACGATTCGTGATAGATAAAAAACAATAACATTTATTCAACAACTTATTCATTTTCCTCGGTGCGAATTCGTGCGTTGCCATTGGTCAATTTGATGTTTAGTTGCTTCGCTCTTTCGACAATGTCTTTTCTCTTCTTGGCGCCAACAGCATGAGCGATCTCGGCAGCGTACTTTTGGTTTTGCATCAAGAGCATCTCGAGTTCCTAAAAACAATGATAAACACAATTTTAGAATCCACCCTGACAGCCAACAATTTCAATCTCAATCCTACTTTGTCTCAAAAATTTGGATTGCGCTAATTCCGACGTTTGTATCAGTTTCCAATTGAATCTTTAGCAAAAATTGACGTAAAATTATATTTCATTTTCATAAGCTTTCATCTTTCATAGCCTCACAAATTTCACAAATTAATTGTTTTCGCCTACGATAATAATTAACATTAACAAAATCATACGCATGTAAATACTACCTTGGGATTGTGAACGAGGACCTTCTGGTAGCCGGAGGGGAGGACGTGCTTGATTTGTCTGTTGTTTCCATAACCAATGTTGGGCATGTCTCTCGTTCCCTTGAATCGGCGTCTCATACGGTTGTCGATACCATGAGGTCTTCGCCAGTTTGGTCGGATGCGTAGATATCTGTCCGACTCGTGGCGAGTAAAGCGACGAGCCCTCTTCTTGACCAACTTCAACTTTTTACCCGAAACAAGGACCATTTTCCTGAAAACAATGATAAAGTAGTTGGTAAAACGGGGTAAAATAAAAAACAACAATAAAAAGCAAGAAAAATCTTTGTGAAATGCCTAGAAACAAAAATTAGGGAGTTATGGTAGGACCTCGGTATCAATGAAATCGACCGATGAATCTTTTTGCAGTGAAATGCGGTTTCAATCCAGAAACGAGCTACCTAATTTTAACCAAAGTATTTTTAGAAAAATTCAACGCAACAGAGCCAAAGAAATTGTTCTTACTGTAGCGGAAAAAGCGGACCCTCTTAAGACCTAAGTAGTGCTAGCACAAGAACCAAGTGTTGATTGGATTGAAGTGTTTTCGCGCTCTTTTTGAGGTTAGCGCTAATAGAAAAACTACTGAAAGCTATTAATGCGAATTTAATGCGTTCAACTGAAGAAGAAACTGGATTGCAGAAACAATGAATGACGAAGGAGAGAAACACGGTGCTGCAATAAAGGTACAAATAATTAATATTCAGTTAACGATCTAAATATTTATTTTTGAGGTAGCAACAATATATATTAATTTATGTTTGAAGCGCTTACCGTAAATGCTGTATTTGAACGACATGTCGTTTTATTTTTCAACCCCTCAAAATCGGTCGACTCAAAAAGAAGGCAAGGGGGACCACATGAATCAAAAATTTAGAACTGGTTAAAAACTATTTTAAACGATGGCCCTTTGTCCAAAACGTACAAAAAAGCACCTTTAAAAGTGAAATGGTTTTCTTACCCGCGAGCCCCTTTGAATCTCCAAAAAAATCCATATAGGGACACTTATGATTTTTTCAAAAATAGCGTTTTAAATTTTACTGCCGATGAAATATTAATAGGTTTTAGGCCTAGATCGTTCCATAGAACCCCCACAAGGGGGTCTAAAGTCAAGATTTTGAGGGGTCTGGGGGGGGGGTGTCGTTCTAATAACTTACGGTAGCTAGATATGCTGTCCGATAATTTTTTGCCGGATCGGATCGGATAGCATGTCTAATCTTAGCTAACCTTGGTAAATATTAAAAGAAACTGCTCTTTACTTTTGTTTGCACATTGTTATATGTTGTGCTTTTCATAGCTTTTTCCTCAAAAATTCAGCATTTTACTTTAGCATGGGATTTGAGCTACACTATGCCAACGAAAACTATTCGGACGGCTATGTTTCAAAAATTACATCGTTCAGGTCTTCAAACTCTTTTTTTTTTCATGAAACGTGTTTAGGGATTTTCTAGAGGAATCAATTGCAACTCAGCAGTCAACAGTACAATCGAAGAACGTAGACGCAAATCGACAAGGAAGTGGAAATAATTGTACAGTCTCGAAATCATTTGAGAGGTTTGTCAATAATTTCGTGCTTTAATTAATGCTTTTTATCTTAGGGCCAAACTTTTGTCGTTCAAAAGCTGTGGTGAAGAAATCGACAATACACCGCCAATGGGATTAAATTCGCATAAGTAACATTAAGAAAAAAGTAGATATTAATTATTTGTATTCAGCTACTCTTACATGCTGGACTTTTTGTGCGAAGACTCTCAATATAAATCGGTTTACATGCGTTCATTGAAGGTAAGATTTTTAATTTTGGCTCTTGGTTTAGATGTTGGAAAATTTTTACAAGTTTGTTTTTATTATGACAACTTTACCCTCAATGCAAACTTAATTGACCTGGGTAAAATGCAAGAAAAAACCACTGATGCTTCGAGTAAGTTTTCTTTCACTGGCTTCTATTTTCTTTTACAGGTTTGTTGGCGGAAAAGGGGAGCATGGATCACTACGAAAACATCGATCATCACGGAAATTTGAAGAAAACGCAAGTCCAAAAGTTCAATCTTTCACCGGATCCGGATGCGAATCTGTGCATCTCTCTATCGCTTGGTATTGGCTACCACCGACCATTGAGGCATCATGAAATTCGACTAGGACGTTTGGTTGGTTTCGACTTAGTCTCCGGGTGCATTTTGCTAGTTTTTAGTTAAAATCCTCGCAAGAGTTACATTTTTTGGGTTCACAGACCCTGAAAAATGTCCAAGAGACGTCACTTGTTCCGAAGATTGGGCTTTCGATGATGACTTTACAAAATCTCATCCAACGCGCGTTGATGTTGCGGGGGTATTTTGAAAAGCTTATCTTGAGATAGTCATTATTTAGATAAAGTATCCTGGCTCCTTCTTTTTTATTCACGACACATTCTTCGTGGATAAACGCTTTCCGGATTCAATTCTGATGGGGCAACGTGCGAAGGAGTTTATACATTCGCAAGGCCACACGTCAATGAAAATTCAATTTATGCAAGACACAAAGTAAGATATTTATTACTTTTCGTTAAAAATACAAATAACAATGTTATCACTTGGCAATTTCCAAAAACCTAACTTTAGACTCGCTGATCTTACTTGTCGGCTTGGAGAACCATACGTATACATACACCAAGGGAGATGCGAGCACCTTTTGGTTTTCAGAAACATTTGTATGCGGCAAACTACAGACAAGGTACCTTTAAAACTTTTGCCCGGTTCTATTTTTTAGATATCTTTGGAAGATTATCCAATTTGCACATATTTGAAAAAATTCAAGTCTGTCATATGTCGTATCTGTGAAGAGAAAGCAAGGTATATTCTTTGAAAAGCCACTTGATTTTAGCAAAATTTACTTAGCTTTGGATAGTTAGCTTTTATACAAATTAATTTTAGCAGAATTGTAGTGGCCCCCAAATCAACGTGGAATACTTTGGCTGAAAAACTCTCAACACGTATAGACTGAACGATTCTCCATGTTTTATTTGCAACACCTGTTTTGCGAAGTTTGCATTGTAAGTTGCTAAAGTAATTTTAAATCCCCGGTGAAATAGTTATTGGGTGTTGGTAAATTTTTTTACGATTCATTTAGGGACGAGGATGGGGAGAAAAGTTTTCCATTCGTTTCCGCGCCGTTTTTCGATAAGAATGTAAGACAAAATTTATATTTTAATGGTTTTGGAATTTTAGACTGTGAAACATTGAGCGGCAGTAGCAAGCGATGCTAAAATTATTATTGTTTTTCTTCACATTTTCTTCAATTCTATGCTAATTGACAGAAGATTCATCGATCTTAATTTTTTTTACAGCCAGTCTTTGTTATAGCTCGTTGATTTTTGGCTTTGTTACTATTTTTGAAGAAATAAATTTTTATAATCCACTATTAGTTCGTAATGTCTGTGTGTTCTGGTTTCTACTTTATCACCTTTCTAATTTCTTGATTGAGTTTATGAAATTTTTTGTAAAATGACAGTTTTTTCACATTTATAGATATGGCGCCCAACTTGAAGAAAGTTTTTGAAAAAATTGGATGATCTCCCCGCTGCGGTGCACAAGACAAGTAACGAGCTTCGAGAGCTTGACACGAAGGTGGGCTTTGGCATCACTATTGTTTTTGAGTTTGTAAAATCGATAAATTAGCTGGTTTTTATTAAATCTTGCTTTTAGGCTGAAAACACAATGAGGACGGCAAAAATAAAGCTTAACGATCTGCTTAATAGCCATGCGAAGCACAACAAGGAACAGCATTTAAAGATCTACAAAGAAATCCATGTTCGGTTTCTTTCCTAGATTTTTGCTAATCTCACGCTTATAGGAGTTGCTCAAAAGCGCCGAAAGAATGCATTCTCGCAAAATTCACTTGGCTGAGAAGCAATACGATATGATCGATGGTAAGATTAACAATTTGGATCGTGACTGGGCCGAGTTTCTTGATATGCAACGGCAAACAGCAATAGATGAGAAAAATCGCTTATACGAAGGTTTGTTTTTAATTTGATGAATGTTTTGTTTCTTTTATGTTGCGCGGTTTTTGTCTCACACTATAAAATTTAGCCGCCGCCGAGTTGGAACCATCATCACTGAAGCGTAAACCAGCCAGCTCGCGAAAGGAAAAGAAAAACGAAGACTATAAAGCAATTCGAATGGCAAATATAAGTGGTTTGAAATACAGAAATTTCGTCGACAAATAAAACTTTAGCCGCACAACACAAATCGTTCGGAATTGGTACCACTCCCTCAACACGTTGTAGATATGCCAATTGATCCAAACGAACCAAGATACTGCACATGCAATCAGGTTTCCAAGTTTAAAAAGCAAACGAGTAGTTTTCTATTCAGGTATCATTTGGCGAAATGGTGGGATGTGATAACAAGAATTGTAAAGTCGAATGGTTCCACTTTCAATGGTAAGCATTAAATTTCTTGAAACGCAAACATTAAAGCTCGTACTTTTTGGCAGTACAACGCAAGAACACTTAAAACTCGTTTTTTTGAACTTTAGTGTCGGTTTGACGGAACCTCCTACTGGAAAATGGTTTTGTGAAGCGTGCTCGCAAGCCCGGAAGAAAAAGTAAAATCTCGTTTTCAATGTTGATTTCATTTAATATTTCATGCTTATTTTGACCCTTGGAAATCTTTTTTGCATACTTTATCGTCGATCTTTAACTTTGTTTTGATCTCATTTTTTTGAACAGTTACCTTAAATAAATGTTATTTCGTTTTTCAAGTCGGGCTGAAGCTGGTGTGTTTGGTAGAAAGGGGATGGTCGGGGAAGAGAGACTGGTGCGCGGGATAACTGAAGTGAATAGAGAGGAGATGAAAGGAGCGGAAACGGCTGCGTTGCGTGTGAGAGAAGGGAGGAAAAGAGGAGAGGATCGCTCATTGAGGACACCGAGATGAGAGAAGAGGCGGCTGCCTATTGATCTGCCGAGGGCCAACAGCAGTGTCTACCAAGGCTCGCTCGACAACCCCATTCCCTCTTTAGCGCAAAGACCCGTCCGCTCCTCCCCTTCTCCTTTTCTTCTCTTTTTCATCCTCTCGCGTATCTCTTCTTTTCTCTCTGATGTGTGTCGGTTGAGTGCCACCGAATGGCTGTTGCCCCCACGCGTGTCTTCTCCTTTTCTCGACACCCCTTCTCCCCTTTTATGCTGTTTTCACCTTTACTCGGTGGAAACCTCATATCCCTTCTCACATCTCGTAGGGGGGACTCAATTTGCGCAACAGAACCCTCTCGCGCAATCGCGATTTTCAATGAAACGTTTTTTAGTCGGTTTAATTTTCAGAATTTTTCACTCATTATGCTGTGCAATCTCGCTAATAAACGGAGTTTTTAAGTATTTCTGAGTCAAAAATTGCTCGTTTGAACCCTTTATAGACCTTTCTTGTGAACAGAATTCTTCCAGTTTACTGTAATTGAACACCATGGAATTGATTGAGAAACTGTTTTATGTCTAGATTGATCTCATAGTCAGAAAACAATTTTTTTTTTTTGCTTGGTTTGCATTCAATTCTTTGTCTTTCTCAAAATATCCTCAACTTCTAAAGTTTCTAAATCATTTTTCAAGTGAAACGAAAAGAAGAAGCATTCCTCGATTGTGTATTCGGGTGGTTTTCGCCACTTCCTTTCGCTATTTATTGCCATATTTCCCCTCAAAGAATCATGGGCCACTGTACTTCTAAAGATACAAAGGTATGGTTTATCATTTTTGAACTACTCAAAAGTTATTTTTTCAATTTCAATTATTTCACTGCAATTCTTTTTGATATTAGAGAATTGAGTGAATTTTGATTTGCATCAAACCACTCAAATCCACTGTTTCACCATCAAACCAATCCACTCAAATCCCATGTTTTTTCCAGGACCAAAAAAAATTGAATCGACGAATTGAGGAGCAAATTCGAAAAGATCAAAGCATGTCCCTGCGAATCATCAAACTTCTTTTGCTTGGTGAGTTCAAGAAAAGTAAATGGGGCACACAAACAACACATTTTGGCTGAAGATCTTGAAATCTTTTGGGCCTAACTTATTGGTACTGAATTTCAGAATTTCAGATGAAAGTTGAAAAAAAAATAGTCTTGTCATCAACTGATTCTATCCAGCGATCAACTGATATTATCCAGCAATCAAATGATTCTATCCAGTGATCAACAAGACGCTTTTTTTTCATTGCAATTATTTAGAAATTAGATTTTGAATATCTATCTTTAAATTTCAAAAACTTTCATGGAATTACTTTTTGGCTCAATTAGATAATCGCTTTTCTGACCTTCATTTTTATCCCAAATAGCACATCCCATCAGAAAAACTTCAAAGCTTCGAGAAAAATAGTGAAGATGTTTTGATCGACTTTTTCCTTCTTTTTCTATCTTTTCTTAACTGGGGGCGTTCGTTTTTCCCTTTTCCTTTCCCCCTTTTTCTTCAACGTTTCAGAGCTCACATTCAAATTGAGTTTCCTTCTCTTTTTGAGATCTTTCCCCCCTTTTTGACGAATCTCTCTTTTCCGCCAAAAACGGCGAGTAAAATGACAAAACGTTTCACACCTCGAGACACTGATTGAAACCTAAAGAAAAGGGGATAACTTTTAAATGATCTCTGAGCTGAAAAAAGGAAAAAGGTTAATTCATTGTGATCTTTCTTGGGTTTTCTTGTGACCCTTTCAATACTATCTTTCTCCATGTTCGATTGGTTAATTCTTTTCCAACCCATCTCTTTTTCCCCCATTTTTTTTGCCTCATCTCTACTCTTCATTTAGCGTTTGAGAAATCGATTTTCGCCCCCACGGGAACCCAATTTTAGAAAGTTGGGAAGAAAAAGAGATGAGGCTGGATTGGCTTGTTTTCAGAAAGAGATTCAATGAAAGTTTCTCAATGAATGAAAGAAAGAGAAGGGAAAGGAAAGTGAAGAGAAGGGGCTCCATCTCCGATATGCGAAATAATCGGAAGTAAATGAGATTTTTTGGGAGGAAAGGGGTGAAGGTTGAGGAGGGTGGAGGGGAGGAAGAGATTGGGGGTCCCGGGGAGGGGATGGAGGGGAGGGATGGGGGTGGAGGGAAGGGCTCCTCCACCCCATCCATCTATCGAAGTGTCCCCCTCTCAAACATAGGGGTCCCCTCCTTCCATAAGAGATGCTTTCCCCTGCCTTGCCCCCAGAATCGCAATCGCCACCCCCTAATTGGGAGCTCTGAGAGCCAAGAGAGGTTACCCCTCCCTCTCCCTCCCCCTTCCCCTCAATCCAGCACACAAAAGTCCCCAATTTGCCAAACAAACACCAAAAAGTTTGGGAGAAACTTATGACGAAGGGATCAAAAAGTGTTGAGCTCAAAAATTTTAGGCGCTGGTGAAAGTGGGAAGAGTACTATCTTGAAACAAATGCGAATCTTGCATAAAGATGGCTTCTCGCAACAAGATCTCGAGATGATTCGACCAGTTGTTTACAGGTTAGAGAAAGAGATTTCTTTTCAATTTTGGAATTGAAAGTGATGAATCGGTAAAAAGGCTCATTTCAGCAATTGCATCCATTCAATGTTGAGCATTTTGAGAGCGATGTTTCATCTGCAAATTGAATATGGAGAACCGGAAAGAGTGGTAAGGAAAAGGGAAGGGGAAAATCGAGAATTGAAGTGGGAATTGATGTGATTGGGGATTAAGAGAAAGGGATTGGATAACTTTAGGATAAGAAAGGGATTGGATAACTCTTTGAATAACTTTAGATAAGATTTGCTTATCGGCTAGGCTAACTTTGGAGAAAATTAGGTTGTGCGTATTTGACATGCATCCGAAAAAGAAAATAGACATCTGGCACGCAAATAGACATCATTTTAATGAGGAATTGCACATTTTAAAGGGGTTTTTTTTCGAGAACTACTGATAGATCCAGAAATTGAGCATACTGCAGCAAGTTTTCTAAACTTTTAAACCATACATTGATGTGTGAAACGAATGGCAGAGTGTACTCTGCTTCAATTTTAAAGCTTATTTCCAAATTTGTTCTTGTGAAGCTTCAAAAAGTTTTTATTACCCCTTTTTTTCTTGTAGTACAACGGGTATTGAACGATCGTTTGCCGGTGTAATTTCTCATTTTAAAGCCCATTTTCAAGGGGCAACCCAAAGGAGAGCAAGAGAAGAAAAGAGAAGCAATTCAACGCCAATATTAAACGATTTCTTTCTCTTTTTTCCATTTTTTTTGTCGACAATCACCAGCTTTTACTCGTGAATTTATGATGAAGAATATGGGACAAAAGATTTCTTTTAGGAAAAGGGCGAATGGAGAAAGAAATCTTTCATTGACAAGGGGATCCTGGAGATATCGAGATCTATTTTTTTTTTTTGCACAATAAGCAATAATGAATGAGAGATGAAGAGAGGATTGATTGGGGAAAGGAAAGGAGTGAAGGTACAGAAAGGATACCTTCCAAATTTAAGATCTCGAAAAAATTTATGCAGGGTTATTAGAAAAATTTTTATTAGAGTTAATCTAAAACACTATTGAAGCAATTCTGGAGTGTCAACTTTCGACAATTACCGTAATCTTGTTCATGGATAGATACAAGGATTACGGTAGTTTTCGAAATTTGATACATTTTAGAATTGTTTGCTTTTGCTGAAAGGAAACTAATGATGTGATCAAGAATAATATTCCCTTTTGCAGAGAGACAGTCAACTCGTCTTTGCCACCGTTCACGCGAATAAAGAAGAATTGACGGAGGAATTGGCATCGGTCAGTATTTGATAACAAAAGGAAAAGTGATAGCTTTACAATTTACACAGCTTATTTCCCAGTTATCTTACAATCATACCCTTGTTTTTCGTTTGAATCTCTTCCAGAATTACTTCAGTCACAAGCAAAATTCGAGGGATTTCCATTTTTTCTAAGACTTGACAAAACTTTGATCAACATATAGAAATAGAATCTAAAACCAAGCTTGCAAAGATTGATATGAATCTCAGATCGCTGAGTCATCGATCTGATATTCATATCAATCTTTGAACTTTCTATTCCTCGATTCCAGGCAATGCAACGATTGTGGGCCGATTCGGGTGTTCGTGAGTGTTATCGACGAAGCAATGAATATCAGATCGATGACTCAGCGAAATAGTTCGTTTATTTGTGGATCCATAATTCAATTTCTCCAATTCAGCTTTTTTGGATAATCTTCCCCGATTATCGGCTCCGAATTATGTGCCCACCGAGCAAGATTTGTTGAGAACGAGGATAAAAACAACTGGCATTACTGAAGTGCTTTTCGAATTGAAAGGATTGACGTTCAGGTGGGCTACAGGAGTGCCAATAAAAATTGTTGATGCAAAGTTTTTAAACTTTGATGCTACCTTTGAAAAGAATAAGGTCAAGTTGAACCATGCCCTATTGTTAAAAGTGGCTAAGATTTATGAAAAGTTTGAGAACTCAAAGAAATCAAAACCGAAAACTTGTAGTCAGTCAATTTGAAAGTCCTTTTTATCGTAGCAACTGTTGAATTGTCTAGATTTATCTTCTAGATCCAAATTGAATGCTTTTCAGGGTGATCGACGTTGGCGGACAAAGATCGGAGAGGAAAAAATGGATACACTGCTTCGATAATGTTAATGCAATCATTTTCATCTCATCGCTTTCAGAATATGATCAGACATTGAGAGAAGACAATTGTACGGTGAGTCGGGGTTCTCATCGAGAAAAGAGCGCAGGAATCGATGCCAGAGTTAAGAGAAATGAGTCTTGATTGGCATTAGAACTTGTTCCTCTCAAACAATTGAGTTTCTAAATTGTGAGACTTTCAAAAACTACCGTACTCTTGGCTCTAGTTCTTCAATCAGATCAAACTTTTGGCCTGATATGGTAGTTTTTAAAAGTCAACAAATTTTAGAAATTTGAATGCCCAGCAACTTGTCGATTGATTGAACTTTCCCTCCTTCAATACTCGTTTCAGAATCGAATGCAAGAATCGTTGAAATTGTTCGATTCAATCTGTAACAGTCCATGGTTTGCCGATATTCATTTCATTCTTTTCCTCAACAAAAAGGATCTTTTCGCTGAGAAAATTCAACGATCACCTCTAACGATTTGTTTCCCGGAATATAAAGGTGAGATTCGAGAAATTGGTTTAAAGATCAAAGGAAACATTTAAGGGCAACAAAATCAGACAGAATGTATCAACTATATTCAATGGAAATTCGAACAGGTAATTGAGTAGTGAAATCGGGGTAAATGGGATTTGAGTGTATTCAAAACATATATGCCGTATTTATTATAATAGCATGCACTTCTATTTCTCAATCATTTCACAAAATTGCTTCTATTAAAGGCTGCGCTTCTATTTTTCAGTGACTAAAAAAAATTGATGAAGTAGAAGTTCGTAGAAAGGAAACCTTTAGGTAACAACTAATTAAAAACAATTGAATGGTCAAAAAAAGCATTATTCTCGATTTCATTACCGTTAGAGTCATCGACTTCAATCGAGATGTCACTATCGCAGTCAATGCAAGAAAATGCAAGAAAAGCTACTGATTAAGCAATAATAATAATAATAATAATAATCTAAGAAAAACCCAAGCAAGAAAAATTCTTTGCTAAAGGATTGACTGCTAAAATATAAAACGTCAAAATGTTTAGTTATGAGAATTTTATGGCATACCGTATTTTCTCTAATAGTAGTGCAGCCCGGCGAGCCGAGTTAGTGACTATTTTACGGTTTCGAAGCTTTTGCAGAAGCTCAACACTCAAACCCCCCACTAGATCTCATCGTGAGCTACATTTTCCGACCCCACATCGATAGGTTCTGATAAACGGTTCTCGAGATTTCGAGCAATCTAGGCGACGCTCAGGGTGCACTACTATTAGAGAAAAGACGGTAATTTATCATAAGCTCTACGGAATTTAACCTAGTCTAAGTTAAACATTCAATCCAAATAACCTCCTAATTACAAGAAAAGCTTATCAAAAATTGCCACTACTTATGCAAAACGAATGTGAAAGAATGCTATTTTTCTCAAGGAAATGGTTATATAACCTTATATTCTTAAAGACTCAAAACTCAGGGTATTCAGTCTACTAAACTGAATATCCATAGTTATTGTTTCTATTAGACGCTGCGCTTCTATTTTCCAACCACCACAAAATTGGTTCTATTAGAATCACTACCGTAAATACTGTAATAGTACCCCACCCCCATAATGACGGTGCGAAGTGTTGCGTAGTCTAGCTTTGAGCGAGTTTTTCTCGACACTGTTTTATGCTACAATGCGCGCTTAGGTATCAAAAAATAGCGCTGAATTTCAGCTATTTTTTTGATACCAAAGACGCATTTTTTGAGAGTACGGGCGCTTTGAAAAAAAATGAAATATTAAAAAACTTTTGCGACTACGCGACTATACGAGGAGGGTGGGGTACTATTACGGTAAGTTATTAGATGTTACATTAATCCATAAACAACCCTAAACGTCCGAATGAACTAAAACCAAATTATTAAACCAATTAAACCCGAATCCCATCCCATAAAACGTTTAGATTTATGGGATGGGTACTATTAGAGTATTTACGATACGTTAATCCTTATGAAATCTGAATTGAAGACCAATCTATAAAAGAAAAACTAATCTTTTTGAAAAGTATACTTCTTCAAATATTTTGATCATTTCAAATCTTCATCATTTTAGCTAAATCGATCATCTCAACGAGAGATTTATTGTCATCATACGTGTGCAACAGATACAAATAATGTGCAATTTGTATTGGATGCGTGTTTGGATATGATTATTGCAAAGAATTTGAAGAGTATGGGATTGTGTTGAGTAAAAGAAAAGGAAAAGGAATTAGAAAAAAAAGAGGGAAATCTCTTGGATCTTATCTTTTGAGCGATCTTTCATGGATAATTTCAAGAAGAAAAAACTAGGTTCTCATGCTAGTTTTAAGAAAATATTGAATGTAAGAGAGTAGGGGATTCTTAAAAACCCAAAGGAATCGGTGCGCCAAATGGTGAAAGTTTACGAAATCATTTAAATTCAGGGGATTTTCAAAAACCTATCCTAATTTTGTTTGTTTCCAATTTGTGCATTAGTTTAAATTATTGTAAATTTCGCAAACCCAAGAGATTTCCCAAATTCGATTGCACTTTTTTTTTAATGCGAAACCTTAATCTAAACGAGCTTTTCCCCATGGTTGTGTGTATCCACGAGTTCGGGTAAATTTTTTCGCTATTTTTGTCAACTTGATTGTGATTTCTTTTTTCTTTTTTTTTTTGATTTCCCGAAATATTTGTTTGATTGCATTCAGATTCTCCGATGATTTCTCCTTCTTCACTTTTATTTTCTTTTCTTTTCTCACAATAGTTTTTCCACTTACTTGATCTGAGAAATCATCACGCAAATCTCTTCAAATCTCTTCAAATATCCCTTTTTCATTCAAAACGATCTCCTTTTTCTTTTTTTCTTCTTTTTTTAAGCTTCCTTTTCTTCAAAACACTGATATTTATTCAATTTCCTTTCGCCATTTCAAAAGCGTGTGTTGTTTTTTTTTTCTTTTGTTTGTTTTAAAGTTTTTCTTGTGTGACGAATAAAAACTGTCTTCCGCTCAATATACCCAAATATCGATTTATAAATTACGATTAGACAAGTGCAAAGCCCTTTTCACCTTTCCAGTGAGAACAATGTTTGGAAATCGAGATTTTCAAATGAAAAAGGGTTTAGTTTATTAACCAAATGTTAATTTTAGGCTTTACAAACCAACAAAACATCCTCCTTCTCTTCTTTAATTCAATTTTGTTCAAATTAAACAAGGAGCAATGAGAGTCATAATAAATTACGACTTCAGAGAGTAAACATGATTGTGTTTTTCGTTTTCTTAAAACGCAAAAGCTATTTGATTATCTAGCGCACTGAACGGACTAGGCAGTCCGTAGTTAAAATTAGATAAGAATTAGATAAGCCTGCATTTAGATAAGGAACGAACAGTGCCTGTCCTAGATGGATATCTATAGAAACCTTTGACAATAAAACTGGCTTAAGCGAGGCTTCTTGGTTTTAACCATAAGCCACTCGGATCGGACCCAGCTTTAAATTAAAGCCTATTCTATCCGGCTCTTTGTCAACACGAATGACAGGAGTGTTGTAGAAGGGTTTTGAAAATAAGTGCAAAATAAGAGAATCAAATTCCGACAAATATTGGATTACTTTTAACTTTTCAGAAAGTTCAAAATACAGGCAAGACAACAAAGAATTTGAGGGGAAAAGATTTGTGAGAGAGAGGAGGAAAGAGAAATGATAACGGGGTTCAAACACTCAAAATATGCTCTATTCTTTCGTTTTCCATTCATTTCATTTTCATATTTTACTACAAAACTTCTTTTTCAACAATGCTTTATCGTCGAGTATTATTGAGGTGAGTCATCCATTCAAATTAATTTAGTTCTGATTCTTTTACAAAATACAAATTTCCAGGTAGCCAGCAAAAAAAGACCCGAGTTTGAGCATTTCCGTCAATTACACGCAAGATGGGCGAATAAAGTTGAAGCTGGTGAGATTCGTGTACAGTAGATGTACAGTAGATGTAGAGTAGATGTACAGTAGATGTAGATGTACAGTAGATGTAGATGTACAGTAGATGTAGATGTACAGTAGATGTCCAGTAGATATACAGTAGATGTACAGTACATATGCCATCGGGTCACCAAATGCATTTTAGCAAACGGCTTTTGTTTTCTATTGTATCCACGTTTTAGAAAACAAAACTCATTTGCTAGAATGCATTTGGCGACCCGATGACACATGTCTAGTGTACAGCTAGAGACGGACATGGCAAAAAAAAGTATAACACTTGCCTGTTCTTCTGGGTATTTTAAGTGGCAAAGCAAGTTTTAAATGAACAAGAGCCCAATCAGTTCTATTCGTCAATTTATATTCCATTCGACATTTCAGAATATCCCTTCGGATCTCCATCCTGTCCTTCCATTTCACCATCAAGCATCCATCCATTCTCCTCAAATAACGTCAATTCCCTCCATCCATCAAATATTCGAATCGTTGCTTCAATTGGAGATTCTTTAACGGTAAATAATCAATGCATTACACTATATCCTCAAAAAAAGGCCGGCCGGGCAACATTAGCCGAGAATTTCTCCGATTTGGATACAGAATATCGTGGGGTGAGCTTCGCAACGGGAAACGATGAAACTATCGATAAACAAGCTTCTCTGTTCAGTGAGTGAAATGGAAAAGATGATTTTTAGGAGTGAGGATTGATTCCAGATATAATATCCTCATTTTCTTCATCTCCTTTAATTGGTGGAGCTATTGGATCAAATGTGGCGCGCAGTAATTATTCGAAAGATTGGGGTTTGAACCTAGCAATCTCGGGAGCTGTGGCCAATGATATTTATGCACAGGTCAGAGGGGAAGGGGTTTATTGGCAATAATATTGATGTTTTATCGTCAGTGAATTGATTGCCAAATATTCCCAAACTAGTATCTTGAGCTCAATGTTAAAAGCTGATTTTTGAGCTTTAGCAGATGCTTAGCAAGATTTCAATTTCAATTATTCAATTATTCAATCTCAGGCTCAACACTTGGTCACGAAAATCCTTATCGATCACCCAGCCGACTTCAAAAATCGTGGAAATTCGTGAATCTTTTCATCGGCTCAAATGATCTCTGCAAAATATGCACAAATTCTGTAAGATATTTTATTTTATGAAATTTTCGAAATAATTGCTTCAGACTCGCTACGGACTGGAGAACTTTAAAGAGAAAATGACGAAAACTGTCAGATATTTGAGGTGAAAATGGAGATGTGAAAATCTGGAGAAAAATCAAGAAATTTGCAGATCCAATCTCCCACGAACATATCTCAATATCGTCTTACCGATTCACGTTCAATTTCTCGTCGAAACACACCGATTTAGCGATTTTTGTGCCGATTTTCACAAGTAAAACGGGGGAAATTGGTGACGTGGTGATAGAAAAATTCAGAGTCTCATGCCCTTGTATCACAGTTTTATCAAAAGAGCAATTCACGAGGAATCAAAAAGATTTCGATGAATCGCTGAAGGGATTTTATGGTACGAATTCTATACTTTACTTAGAGACATGGGCTCAGACACAAAAATGGCGAACTGTCACACTAGAAACGCTTCGAACTTGCTTCAAATCTGCCGCATTGACATGATCTATAGCTCAAAAAATCGAGAATCTCAAGAGCTTTCGAATGGACTAAAACACACCAAAAAATGTGAATGCAAAAGAAAGTTACAGTGGTTTGTAGTCCTGACTCGAAACGGACCGTACTCGCGCGTAGTCGAAGCGATCGAGGGAGGCTATCAGCCACTGTAGCTTTCTTTAGCATTGGTATTTTTGGGTGTACTTTGGTCCATTCGAAAGCTCTTGAGGTACTCTATCTTTTGAGCTATAAGATCATGTGAATGCGGCAGATTTGAAGCAAGTTCGAAGCGTTTGTAGGGCCATTTGTCTACTTTACTTTAAACTTTATCACCTTTAAGCATCCGATTATCAAACGGAGACTTTTGCCGTCTCGATTTCTCCGACAACCGCTTTGGATATCTTGCCGAGATACGAGGTTGGCTACAATTTATGGATTGATTGCTCGGTGCTAAAGCATGATATTCTTCTTTGGAGTTGATTCACGACTTGGGAATTCTATTAGATCACAGCTCAAAAAATGGGAACTTAGACTGATATTTGAATGTAAAAAATTCTTCTCTTACTGTAACTTGTTCGGGTGTTTTTCGTCGGTTTTTTTTTCGTTTCGTTTTTTTTCGGGTTTTTTCGCCAGTTTTTTTTCTCTTGCACAATCTCGAGACTGTAAAAGCCAAAACTTATAAAAAGAATAAAATTGAAGAATTGAACGTAAAGAGGATGAGTGGAATGGCTTATTAGTCAGCTTATTATCGCCAGCTAGCTTATTAGTTAGAGGAATCATTTTACAGAATGGTCCAAATCTCGGAATCATCGCACTTGATTGTTTCCATTTTTCGCGAGCAATGCAAGATGCAATGGCGAAGGCAATTTGGAGGAATGTTTTAGAGGTAAAATTGAGAAAAAAGATTGTTATATAGAGGATTTAGCATGTCGACAATCGTTCGACATTTTCCCCGGTCGACTATGAATTTCCACAGATCGCCTGTCCGGCAGCAGTTAGTTGAAAAAAAGAGAATGAAAAGAATGAATTGAGTATTCTTTTTCCCTCATCCTTATCTTTTTTTTGCTACAATCTACACAAAAATGGCTGAAAGCCACCATGTGTTCTTCATTTTTTTTCTCTGAACATTCTCAATTTCCCCAATTTCCATTCTAGGATTGTCCGTATTTGCGAACGATCGAAAATTCGATTTCTTGTGTGCCAAAAGGAGAAAAGAAGAAAACAATTCAATTAGAGGCAGGTTTCATATAAATATCCACAAAAAATCAATCTTTGTTTTGTTTTTAAAACCGAAATTTACGTTTTTTTAATTTGACCAACACGAATCTTACTAAAAAAAAGCCCAGCCTATTTCAGACAAGGAACATGATTATTGATAATGGTGTAAGCAACATTCGAGAGACGTCATTTCCATTTCTCGGAGTGGTTAGGCTTTGTGAGGAATTGACGAGTACACGATAAAGTTCCAGCTTTTCATGGGTATGGGTGTCATGGTTGTATCTCTTGTTTCACTCGTGATGATTGTGAAAAAGAGGCGAGGAATCGCTAGGCGAGGTAACGATATCCAATTAGATAAATAGACAAACTAAATTTCCAGCAGAAATTGATGAAACCTCTCCCCTACTCCGAAGTACCATTTTTAGCGATGAAGAAAATCCCTTTTGAAATGTCTATCACAATTTATTATTCAGTATTATCACCCATAAAATATCACAAAACCTGTATACACGATGAAAAACAAACAAATGAATACGTGCAATGGTTAGTTTTAGTCGGCTTTACCATCTTTCTTTGGCGACTTCATCGGTGGAACGTTGTGCTAAAAAATAATTTTGTTCACAATGTACAACGTTTACCCTAAAGTTAACGTGTAACTTATTAAACTTAACTTATTAAAAGTAACGCTCCAAAGTAACGTACCTAGGTATTCGAAAAATATATTACAAACCTCTTCATTCAAATCAATTTCTACAGTGTCACCATCATTCAATAGGCTCATTTGGATCCACAGAATCATCACCCCATCCCCATTCATCATTATTGGTAGCCGCTTCCATCAACGCTTTCAATCGAAATATTATGGCCACGGCTATTTTCAGCATCTAAGCAACCTGGTTGCAAGTAGATCTCAAAAAAAATAACCAAGCAATGTATCCGTTTTAGCAATAGACATGTTTGAAGGTGAATGAGCCGACTGGAAAGAGTGGTGCGTCTTCAAATCGTTTGTCTCGCTAATATCATCACCGTCAATTGAAAAACGAACGCTAAAGAAAAAGACTATTAGACATACATAGAAGATTAGCTCTACCTCGTCCTAGCAGTGTTATAGGAGGTGACATCTGTTGGAACCATTCGCCCGCTGGATGTCGTAACCAAATCCATCTAAAAAATCAAGAAAATAGAAATGGCATAAAAGATGCATACCGATGACAGAGGCGTCGAATCTGTCTGCAAAGCTTCAGTCAAAGATGATGTTTCCGTAATGTCCATCTAAAACAGGTTAAACCAAATAAAAGAAATTAAATTAAATCAATACATCTGACAATTGAGTAGATTCAATAGTGACATCAGGATGAGCGTTTGGAATTGTAGTGCTACTGGATGATGGAGCTGTGCCCAAATGCAATGTCTAAATTAAAGTTAAATTTTTTGAGGTTATTGTTGAAATTACTTCAGGCTGTTTTGAATTTGGAGCATTTTCCGCAGCATTCAGCAAAACATCTTCGGGAGGCGGCTCAGAAGTCATTGTCTGTATCATTGTATCATTGTCTTCTAAAAGAAACGCTTTATTTTTCAGCTGAAACTAGAAGAAACCTGATTTAGAAAAATCTGCGATTGGTATTTTCTTGGCTAAAAGAGTTTCTAAGACATCATCATCAACTTTTGGAGGCTCCAAATCGGTTTGAAGAATCTGGAACAAAACCATAGACAAATCCGTAAGTCTTTGAATCACCTCTTTCATCGTTTCGCCACCATCACATTCATTCAGAATATCGCGAACATTCAAATGGCAAATTTTTTCCTGAAACAAACAGAATTAGATATAAGAAAGAATGAAATTTACGTATTCGTGGCGAGGCAGACTAGATCCATAGAGTCGATTGATAGTAGAATATGGAAAGTAGAATAAGATACACCTTAAAACAGCATATATTATCTTCGAAAACACAAAAAACTTACTTGTTGAAGAAATCAATTAAATGAATTGCCAGTATGCGAACAGCACGGGAAAAATGAACCGATGAGCGATGCGAACTCAACCAAGAAAAAGATCGACAACAACGAATCGCGGAGAGTAGACACAACAAATGGCAGCTAAATTCGTGTCATTGACAAAAATCATTAAGCTAAAGACATACCAGTATTGGACTCAAGGAATATCGCAGCACATTCAGTGACTCCACTATTCCATTTCCATAGATACATAGCTGAAATACAAAAATGTTACAAATTACGCGTTTGCATACTCACTTCGTCGCACATTGAGATTTCAGCTGCTGGTTGAGGAGGTCCACCTGTTAATAGAACAAAGGTAAATTATTCATGGTCTATGACTTACCATTAACGTTGGCTTTCATACCCGCAGAATCCCAGTTTGTATCTTCCACCGGGAACTTTGATTCTTTTTACGCCGTTGACAAGCCTAAACACAATCACCAGGGACCCACACTCAAATTTAAATCACCGATGTGTAACTTGACGAACATTATCTACGAAACGCTTTTTAACCATTGTCATGAGCGAATCGGCAATTAAGGGACGAAAATCGAGTCCCATTCGACCAAACGAAGCTCCAAAGGCCATCAATTTATTCCATACTGCAGACATATCCACTTGACTTCTAAAAATAGTAAACATAAGTCGATTAAACTAATAGACTTACTTCATATCGGCACGTTCAATTAATTCGAGAAGACGGTAAACATTACGGATTGCCCACTCAGCTAGAACAGAAGATGGACTGTTTGCTGACCATTGCTCCCAGCGTGGATCAACTCCCGGCTAAACAGATAAGTTGTAAAAACGGTGCTCTTAGTCTACTTACATCTCGTCGCACAATTTCGTTTTCAGGAAACACTGCCATGTAAAGGACCATTGTGTCGTACATACAGTTGCGATAAATTTCAATTGCTTGTAGAGCAAATTCGGGGTTGGCCTAAACGCCTTTTAACATTCTGGTTTATAAAATAAAAGATACCGACACATCGAGGATTTGCTTATCCAAGTATAAATCCCTGTATTGAAGGATGGAAACACGCAGCTGAGTACTTGTAAGATATGGGATCTTGCGCACGTTTTTCACAACCTAAAAGAACACTGTTATTTGAATTTTGAATTATACTTTACCTGAATTGATTCAGCTAAATCAAGAGGTCCACCAAACTTATTAAAAAGCTCTTCCAATAGAAACGACCTTGAAGCAATAAGGCGCTCAGCTACATCCTAAAAATAGTCGATAACCGATATACCAATGAGCACCCACCGTAAAAAGCTTTTTATATTCTCCATCAGGTAGAGTTGCAATTTGTTGATTGAGAGTCATTCCAAAGTTAGTGAGTGCATAAGCAGCATCATAAGAACCCGTGCGAATACATAAATCCATCAACTAAATAGACTGGATGTAAATTCGACATTAAAACTTTCTAGGAAAATTTAGCTGATAAACAAGCTGTAAAGAAACATACCGCTGGCATCTCGAGAATCTTCTTGATTGGGTTTTCAGTTCCCGCGGCTTCTTGTAAGATGCCAGTTTGAAGGCGCTGCTTTTTCAGTATGTTGTTTAAAGCATTCACCTAAAACTTTGATTATTTAAATAATGCATATCATACAACCTCTGTAACCACGGACGGAATCTGATGAGACATATCGCCAAGAATCCCATTGAGCTCCGAAAACTAAATGAAAACAATACATTAACATTATTATACACACCGCTTACAGTTTGTTGGCAATGTTTGGTCGTTCGGTTGGCGTTAGCATATGTGCGGTAATTATTGAAGGCGAGATCTCCGATTTGATCTTGAAGTCGTTTCAAGTCATTCGATATGGCCACACGTTCTCTCTCTAAAAAGAAAAATAAACGTTGTCTTTAAAAGCTCCATACTCAATTGATCTGCTCCCATCTTGCCGAGCTCTCGTTCAGCCTCCATTCTCGCAGGGAGGAAGTGTATACTCTAAAGTAAAATTGATTATCATCTAGCTGTGAGTGTACAAGAGGAATAAATAAGATGGTCGATGTCGCTGTGCAAAAGACACAGCAAAACACTGCCCGCAAAAAGATGCTTACTGTCGTTTGTGGAAATCTTGGGGGAAAACGATACGCTTCTATGGACAACACGACTGGAGAAAGAAAACGAAGGAGGGAGGGGAGGCAAAAGCAGTTATTAGAACCCACGAAAAATTAAGAAGATTATTCAACGAGTGGGCATTACGACAATCGTGCATTTTAGGATTTTGGATTAAAACATGACCACTAAACACAAAAATGAAGCGATGTTAGCAATAATAAACGCAAAATGAAAGAAAGAAAAACGTGAAGGTGATTCAAAAAGCCGCTAATGTTTGCACTGTCAAAAAGCTGACAGTGAAACAAGAAACGAAAATCATTTCTTTTGAGAGACAGCCGGCACGATGTTGCCATTGAGTTAAAATTAAAGCGCCTTTGCCATTGGTTGGCCAAAGTTTTCAAATCAAGATGCCCTATTCAGCCGAAATAATTTCCGCTGTGGTGATATGAGGCTATCATATTGGCATGTTCGTGTTTGCAAATGGAAGTAAGTTATTCTCTATGATTGACTTGTACGCTTTGAGCATCGAGATTTGCATTGATAAACAATAGCGATCCCGATACACTTCATTTCATCGAGCCTAAAAGACAAATCCGTCGATGAAAAATATGGCGAACACTTCCCCGCAACATAATACTCCCACCACCGAATTTGCGACGGGTGACCAACATATTTGTTTATGGCATTTAATCCAATTGTCTTCTGGTCAAATGGTTACCGTCCGGGTAGTATAAATTAATTCTGAAGTCATCGGTGAAACTATGACTCGGGCCCAGTCATCAGCGGAGTCCCAGCACTCGTAGTTCTTTTGCAAATCATATCTCAGCTTCCGAGATTTTGCGATGGTCAAGGAAGTCGTTTTGCTGGTTTTCTTGCATACGATCCCTGCTCGAATAAAGCGACGATTTGATGTTCCATCGAGAAATATTTTTGTTAGACACGACGCTTCAACTTCAACGATTCCCATAGCTCGAGGCCAGATTCACGGTCGCGTCTATGGTCAGCGATAAGTGCTCGATCTTCGGGTTTTGTTGTAATCGGTGGATACCACTTTTCGAAGCCTCTATGAAGACTTTGGCCTGCTTTGATTTTTGCTGCTGGCAGAATTCACCGTCCTTTTATTGCATTTGAAAACATATCACCAACGGAGCAGTGATGAATATCCATATTTCTTTGCTTGCACGATCTTTTGCTTATCAGGTTTGACGTAAATATTTGCGAGTGCGACATCAAAAATAAAAATATAATACAAAATTCATGAAAACAAACAAAGACAAAGAAAATACAAATTTTCTTAGTGAGACAAGACTTTGCACCACTTTTTTCTCAAATTTTACCACACGAGGTTTTTAAACACACACAACAAAATATTAGATACGGGCATTTTACATAGTAAAAGATGAAGGGATAGCTGCTCCCAAGGCTTTGTTACTTGGGACTGTTTTTTTTGTAGGGCATTTCGAAATGTTTCGGCTCAGTAGTGCCAAGACCGCACCCCCATCAGCGCAAAATAGGCGCCAGAATGTTTCCTATCTGAGTTTTCTGGGAGTACCTTTTTTAGATGCGGAAAAATGTGCTGATTCCGAATCTGAAGAATTTTCAAATCCCTCTGACAGAAATTTTTAAAATTTAGTTTTAGCGGTTTTTGGTCATTTTGTGGTACCTGCAGTTTGGGGCTCGCTAACTCGACAATCAGGGTCTAGACAAAACGAGGGGATACGTTTTATTCAAGAGCTCACTTACGAACATTTTAATGCAAAAAGCATAAAGTTTGCTCAACTCTACAAAAAGTTATAACATCTTTAAAAAAAGAAATTTTGCAAAATACACACCAAAAAACATAAGGGGAAGCCGTGGCCCAGTGGTCTAAGGCGCGCGACGTGAATCCCGCGCAAAAGTATGGGGTTGTTGGTTCGACTCTCCCGCGCACTTGACTATTATTTTTATATTCCCTTAATTGATTATTGCTGATTTAGGAAGATTTCATCGATTTGTTTACAATTTACATTTGCATTTTGTTTTCTGGTTTGACTTTTGAAATCAGTTGAATTCTTCAGTGAAAAACAGGCGCTTTGTGTGATTTTATGTTTTCTTGATGAATAACATTCAGTGAAGAAAAGTTGCAAAAACGGAAAAATAAGGGGTACTATGGGAATGCTTTATAAATAAACAGGTTTTAAATTTAGGATACAACTGTATCAAATTAAATCATGTATCTCGTCTGTTCCGCTACTTAAGCATTTAACTTTGTAGCAATCCATTAGAACCCCTCCAATCTCCATATTACGTTTGTTTCTCTGTTAGCTGTGTCGTTGAGTCAAGGGAAGAATCGGGAAAATATGTTTCTCCCCACATCTAAAAGCCCCGATGATCAGCAATTATTTGTGTTTGATATTTGTGCCCTTTTCCTCTCCCTCATTTTTCTCAGTCTTTTCACGCTTAGCTCAATACCCTGTTGTCTATCAAACCCCCTTTCCGCCCCTCGTCCATTCCATGAATTCCACGAGCATTGCTTTTCATTTCCCAAGCATTCTTGTTAAAATTTCTTCAGTTGAATTTTCTTTTATCTACATATTTCTTTAGGCATGTCAGTAAGTCCAGTCGTCAATGTCTCCCTTGGAAGCCCGAAGGATCTAAAGAGGTGGTTATATGTACACAAAAATGTGTAAAAGAAAACCTTTCCTTAGCCTACTCCCTTGTTTGCTCTGTAATCTTGTTTTTTGGGTGAAGTTCTTTGAAGAGCCGATGCCCGAAGTACCACCAAGGAGATGGAGCTCATTCCAGTAAACTTTACATTCTTTTCCGCGTTAAAATTTTAATTTAGGTTTGCTACGCGAGGTGTCTGTCTCACGGATTGCCAGAGGTCCACCAGCCACAGACGAAACTCGGATCACTAACGGGATCAAAAGACACCGAGAGTTTATTCCCAGGTTTGTGGACTGTTTTCCCACGTTTACACGCGGTTGAGCAAAAAAACATGATTTCCCAGGATACCGAAGTCTCCGGAAAAATTCGGCTTTCTTAGATCAGTTGTAAACCGGATGATTTCGATCTCAGGCTAGAAGATAAAGGTATTTACTTGACCGTGACTATTTCTTATTAGTTTGTAAAAATTTCACTTTGTAGTTGATTTTTGAGTCATTGTATGGCCAACTTGTTGAATGGCTGCCCATGGCTGCTCAGTTCCGTCGTTGTTCCAGCTCCATTATCTTGGGTGAGCTGTGAGGAAGATTCACGCTAAGGTTGGATTTTAGATTCCGGAATCGATAAGTATGTAGCGGCTTCTATTTTACCTGCAGGTGCTACTTGGGAGCTTGCTGCCGTTCTTCAGGTATTTTGTGCTTTGGAATGCTCAATTACGTTGTTTTTAGGCCCGTCCGATTGTTGAAGCTTTTTCTCATTCAAAAGGTTTCTTTAACAGCTCTTCTAATTGTTGGTGCCGGCGGATTGGGGGTTGTGGCTTCTAAAATTGGCGAAGCACTTTCTGACTATGAACATGAAAAGTTGGCTGTTTTAATAGGTTTTTATTTGTTCTTTAAGGAAAATAAAATAATGACCAGCTGATGCAAAAGAAAAGAGCGTCTCTGTCTCGCAGAAAGAAATGGAGCCAAATTTTGTGGTTCATTGGGTTGATAATGGTATTTTTAACTGTTATCAGAGTTCATTTTATCAATTTTAGAGTTCAGGGAGCTGTTTTTGTCATGCGCACCAAGGATGTAGCAAGAACTGGAGTTCAGGTAATTTTTGTCTATGCCTGTTTATGATGCAAACAAAGTTTTTAGGTTGTTTTTTGATTTCGTCACAAGCCCGAGAACAGTCACAAGATCATTAAAATGTCTCGCAGAAGTATAAAGTTTTAAAACCTATATAAAAAGATAGTTTTAGAGTGGAGTTCTATTCGTTGGTGGGCTTTCTGGGTTAGACGTGCAACTTCCCAATAAAACTTGTTGCAAGAAATCGTCTCCCAGCAATTGTGAGGTGTCACTCGTGAAATATTGAACCGGCTTCTAAAGACCAATATGCGTTTTCCGTGTTAAACTTTCCACGTTTTGAAATTTGGTAAAATTTTGATAGCGGGCGGACAGATTGAAGCGCCCGATTATGATCTGATATCCAGCTAATCAGAAAAGCATCAATGGTGAGTGTTCAAAAATTAAACAAATGCTTTTTTTGTCAGGTTCTCCGGCAGCTCTCGATGTCGGAAGTAGAAGGAAGAGCAATTCTAGAAGTTTGTGATCCAGCCAACGTCAGGAGAAGCAGCAAGAATAAGTGTCTTATGTTTTATTGTTTTTTTAAACTGACATATAGCAAAACTGGCACGAAATTTGTTGTTTATATTTATTTTTTAGTGTAAGTATTTTGTTTTTTTCGTCTTTTTTTTGTGTATTATTCGTTTTATTTTTGATGGAGTATTTTTCCTATGGTACACCGCGTTTTGGGTTTAGCATTCTTTTATATAATAAATTTTTAGCAGCGTCTAATCCCGCCACACAAGTGTACTAATCTCGTGCATTCGGTGTTGATTTGTATTTGAAAATTTTACTTTTCAGGTTTCCTACTTACAGTTCGAGGCAAGAAAATTTTTCGAAGTAACGCTGATGTCCGATGTCGAAAATTGCGAATGATGTTAGGAAGTTTAGAAAACAATTGCATTACTGCGAAAAGTGTGCATAAGGATTTTGCCTCGTTCAGATGAATCGCCCATGATGTCGTTCAAATTACTCAATATCGCTGGAAAGACGAGACGAGGACAACTTTTGTTTACTCATTCAATCGTCGAGAACGCCGAGTGTTCATGCCCGTTGGAACTCAAGGCACGATGAAGTTTGCCGAATTCCGAAATTTGTCGCGTATTGTTTTTGTTATTAGGGCGTTACCAGAACAACTTTCCGAGATGGACTACTGCCGAATTCCCACTATGTAACATTTATCATTTAGGCCATCGACCTGGCCACGATATTTTGGTTATTGATAAAGTCGCTTTTTTCAGATGATGTATGTTTAGTGAAAAAAGCTGGTGAAAATTACCCAAGATGATGAATTGGCCAGAAGTATTTTGACTGGATTCCGGAGGTTTCAAAATAACAAGTCTTTTTGTACTTAATAATTTAGGAATTTAGATGGATTTCGCTTTCTAAAGTGATGACGGTTGATGAGGAAGGCGTCAGAATTTTGAAAGTCCACACACCAAAACGAGAAATGATGCTACTTTAGCCCCGAACAAAGCATTGCGTTTCAACAAGTTGACGAAAACTTTTTAAGAATTAATAGTCATTTTTAGTGCCTAGGGGGCCGATATAATGATGCAGCGATCATGTGATTCATGTTCCTAGCAACGGGCCAAATTGTTCGCGAGGCGATGGAGAGGAGCATTCAGAATATTGCTAACTTTTCTCATTTGCCGGAAAATAAATTAGTTTTTAGCTGGCTGGATCCAGATGCAATGCAGCGCGCTCGTGACAAATCCGGCGCTATTCCCAATCGTTCAGGTAGCATAGTTCGATAGTAAAACTAAACCTCATTTTGCGGGAGAGCTCGATATGGACATGCGAAGAATGTGTGAAGAAATATTGGCTGGAAGCAAAAGATGGCTTATCAGGTTTCAACATAAACTTTTTTTCAGGTCGGCATTGCGCATAGGTGTAGTTTATCTGGTGGTGAAGAAGAAATCCGCACGTTTTGGAGAGTCGCCAGCTACTTGTTGTGAGGAAGTAAAATCTTACATCAAAATCCGGTATCCAACCATTATTTCTTCCAGAGCACTCCCTTCCATCTTCCTCGTTATGTGGTGGTGTCGGGCATCTGAGTGAATCTGGTGGCTGAACACTACTCCTGGCCAGAGCCGATATGTTTGACTTTTTCTTTGACATACAATAATGACCATGTTTAGAGTTTTGATTGTGTATCCCTTACCTGCATTTGTTGATTACCTTAAATTTATCAATCCGCTTGGATGTTAGATTTTTTAGATTTGGAACAGGACGAATTTGGAGGGATTTAGAAACTAATCAAAATAAATCCGCATAACGTTTTTATTTAAATTGATGATAGTAAGTGAGAACCGTTTTATTTTAAGGAGTTTCAATTAAACTAGATGCACTTGCAGAGAGACTTTTAAAACACACGAGCTTTATCCACGCAATTTACAAAAGGTCCAGTTTTAGAAGCAGGCTCACAAAGTACCAAAAATGACAGTTTTATAAAGATAAGTCCCCAGGTGGGTTTTTGTCTCATTTTCCGTGCACACGCTATCCCCCTCATTGCTGAAGCAAGACGAGCCCCGAAGATGGTTTCCAAGTCTTTTTAGTCCCTCATATTTGCCCCCTTCCCCACTTTTCGTCGATCGGGGCGCGGCAGCTCACCCCGGGAAAGGAGGGGAAGAGGAGCACAATCACGCTAACAACATATGCTGACGCATTTCTCCGTCTTTATTATTTCCCTTTTATTTCTCTCGTCTCTCGTCTTCCACTATGCCCGCTTTCTCACCATCTGACCCCCTCTTCCAGCTAGCTTATCTATTGACACCTTCCATGGTGCTCCTCTTTCTTCCCAGCTCTCGCCTCGCAAAATGATCTTTTCTATCAGGACACTTTCTTATAGACTTTTGAAAGAGTAAAAAATCTACTAACAGATTTTCATAAACTAAGAGATTACTCGAAGTTTTGACGCATTCAAACGTCCCTCTCTACCCGTAGAAATCGGAGATTCCAACATGAGACCAAAGCGAGATGGGGTCTGTTTCTTCCCAAATGCATTTTAGTGTTTTCCCAGGTACAGAGAGTAGGTAACGATAAATTCGATGACCCGTCACCAGATAATATCTTTTTCATCCGAAAACAACACAATCTTGGAATTGGATTTCTCTTTGGGGTATCCCTTTCTTTTTGCCTTTTGCCGAAAATATCGATTGATTGTGAACCTTTCTTTGATTTTGATTGAGGGCGTGCATTCCTGGCTGGAATAAGCGTGACTTTTTTAGTTCGGGGTTTCCCAGGCAAAAAATAATGCCCTCGTCAAAGCTTTTGTTGCTTTGAATCAGCATTTAGGAACTGTCGCTAATGTACTTTCGTATCGTGCACAATATCAAGCACCAACTGGACTTAGTGCGTGCTGATGTGCCCACTAAACTTAGCCAGCGACATAACTCAGAAATTCTTGAAAACTTTCCTTGAAGAGCAATACCTCAGAACTTAGTGGTACCTCAATGGGTTATTGATACAGCTTGTAGATTATATGAGGATCCACATTTATTACATTTTAATTTTGATTGTTTGATGATAAACTTTATTTACGGATGACTGTTTTTGAAATCAAACTAGAAAAAGAATGCGCTATCTCTGGATATACTCACTAGAAGGAAAGAAACCCAAAAACAAGAAATCTACAACAAGATCAGTGCATATTTGGAGAATTCATTTTGTAATGTGAAACCGCTAGTTCGACAAGTGTGATCGACTCTCTCGATCGAGTTACAATATCTGCAGCTTCGTGCGGATCGTCAAGACAAGGTTGTATTGCACGAGCAGTACGAATGCCAGTTTTCTCTCCTGAGCGTTGCATCGTGTATTCCAAGCCAGAGTGAACCGATTATCTTTCTCCGAGGCTCCAAGCCATACAAGCCTAAGTATTTTAAAAAACTAGTGTTAAAATAATCCCACTTACAAGAACGCATCATTTGGTTCTACGGGGCAGGTTGCCAGTGCATACTCAGTAGATTTTTTACAGATTTCTAAATTTAGGAGATGCTATTGGCAGATTACTGGGCAAACTCACGGAGAAGATGTCTGGTTAGTTTTCACGCTCACTACTTGAAGGCATGAGCGACCAAACGAGACGTGGTTGAGATTCTTCATCCATTCAAAGAGCGAGACCTAAGATTAAACCCAGTTAAAAGGTTGCCAAAGCCAAAACTAACCGTCCACCACCAGGGTTTACATACATATCAGGATGACCAAACCAGTATTCACCACGAGCCAACAGGGCTTGTCTAAGCAGCTTGGAGTTTGTTGTGTAACACCCGTCTGTGACTTCAATCTTAAAAGCATTAAGCAACCCAATCTTGACCCAATTATCCTGAAGTTATCTTCCCTGACAGGGATAACAAAAGTGATTTTACCTTAGCTTGAACCAGTGTGCATTGGTTTGTGAATGGCTTTTTCACAAGCAGCGCTGGGATGAGAATGTCGCATTTTCTAGCGAAATCAAGTCGGTGAGAACTCAGTAGCTCTTAGCTCCGGAAATCCGCGATAGGTTCCATGCTCATCTTTCCAGTTCCCTCAGCTCTTTTGGATGAATTCAGGTTGGGTTCGTAGATAGCTGGTTCTTCATTCCCAAAAGTAGACTCAAATTCAAGCCGAAGGGGAGTTATAAAGAGAGTTATCCTGTAGTAGAAACTCCACAACGTAAAAATCTCACCTGCACAATTCCGTAGCAGATACCTCCTTTAGTAGAATAACACCTTATTGTGAAGTCCGACATTACCCAAACCTTCTGCCAATGGAAGATTTTCCAGCAAGCCCGGTAAATTAGGCCAATCTACATTTTGCATGAACATTCCTAAATAAACACTGTACTTGAAGACATATACTCAGGGTCATTTGCGTTTTACACCTCAAAGTCCTTTCCCTTTCCCCCGGCCCGGTACACTTGAAACTGACGTCCGTGAATTCCTCCAGAAGGGGCAATCCGATTTCCGGTCAATACAGGCAGGGCGTCTTTTCTCACGGTTAGTCCATCAGTTTGTGTCGTAGGTACTAATTTTTATCAATTAGGAATCTTGATAACAAACGTTTTGTTATCGGCTATAAATATTATTCGAAACAAAATCTGCTCTCGCCTCCCGCAATCCAGGTCTTTCCCACTCTCTCGGTACTCAGGGTAATTGGAGTTCAGGTGAGACCAGTGGGTAGAACTAGCGAAGATCTCATCAAACGCTAATGCCAGCGATTCAGAACACAGAGCTTTGGAACTTTTTACGTTCGAAGGTAGCCACTGTTCTGAGCATCAAGCAGGCATAGCATTTTATTTCAAAGTGGCCACCCTATCAGGTGCTGGGTACGTCAATTCCAGGCCCCAAAATCGCTTTCTTGGCAAAACTCTGATAGCGATCGTCGAGTGATCTGTAAGAAAATAACTTCATAAGCATTAATCTCAAACCACACTTTTCTTTTTCATACTCGAAGTACAGCTTAGGGTCAATCTTCACTCCTCCTTTCAGCTCCTCCACAGTACATCAACCACGGCTTTTGTTGTATGTCATCATTGCGGACAAGGCTTTGACTTCATCTTCGCACACATCAGAGAGAACTCACCGAATACCTAGGCAATGAAATGATACTTGCCCGCCTACTTCGGTACCTCCTTTATTTGGAGTCCTGTGCTCCAGGTGTTGAGAGCGCCACGCTTCGATGATTTTCGAATTCTCCCTTTTTCGCGACGAATGGGAAGGTGATGCCTCCATAGACCTAGAGAATGAGTCTAAAATAAAAACTCCCCCGAACCTTGTTCACTGGCCCGGTTGACTTTGGGAATTCCCAGACAGATTTCCCTTTCTTTTTGGTTCTGTCCATCACCCTGATACTCCTCGACCAGCTGGGTTCCAAAACACTTAGGCTCCTTTGTCACGAAATAGTCGACCATCTAAATTGAAATATCATTAAAAAAAAAAAGAAAAACGCTACTTTAAAGGACGAAGAAGTTGATCTGCTCCTCCATCGGTTTCATGTCTCATGGTCCTTTCATTACAAGATTGAAAGCGAAATAGTCTACCTTGTTGTTATTTAAGCGTGAAAACGAGTGTCTAGATTCAGTACCTCCACCCTGTTCTCAAAGTTTATCATCTTGATAGTGGTGACTATCAAAGCTAAAGCTCCTACCATTGTTATTCACCTACCGGTCACTTTCCAGGCCTAAAATAACTTTCTCTTTTACAGGTGAATCCAACCTTATCATGTTACCTTTTATCTAAAAAGGCAACACACCCAGATCCATTAATATATTTTTTGGAATAATTTAATGATTGAGCATTTCCAGAGTGTGGGTCCAAGTTGAGCCAGAGGACGTTCACCAGTGCCCTTACATTTGCAAGACGGCCAGAGCGACGCCTTGACGAGAGAACCTTGAGGGTCGACAGCATCCTATAATTAAAGTTAAAAATCCGGAGCTTACAATTCGAAAGGGAAAGAAAATCCTTATTCCCACTTGGGGTCTGAACTGCGGGCAACCACCGAAAAGACATACTTTTAGCCACGCCCTTTCAGACACGCAGCGTTTCAGCGATTTTCTTTTTGCTCGAGCCTGACCCCTCTCACAAACAGGCCTATCGGCTTGAGATCATGAACATTTGAAACAGCAAACTACTTGGTTCAAAATCAGGCAGCCGAAAAGAAAAACCCACTCCGAACGTCTAAAGTTTTACGTAATAAGTTGCAGCAATCCATTGTATTTAGCAAAAAGCCAGAAACAACAATATTTATTCAAAAATTAACAGATTTGCAATGAGTGGTCGTCCGTTTAGCCGCAAGTCTTCGGTCACGTTCTTCAGCAATAGTCAGCTTAATTTCCCTTTTGAGAAGGTAGAGACACAAAGAGCCTTTGTTCCTTTTTCTGTGATGAAGACATTCGAGATTCTAAAGAATTATTTGAGTTTGAAATAAAACTTATCTTTCATAATTTGGCTCTGTTTTTCGCCCGATGTAACAGGGATGAAACCCTATTATCTGCATTATCAGCAAAATAGGGACTGGCCTCGACCGGAAGTTTTCGCTATAGCCCCGGCCTTTTCTCCACATTTCCAATAACTTACCGTGTTCGCAACGTATCGTCCAACATCATCTTTGACGTGAATGATGTCGAAGCTTCCTGGGTGATGGTCGTGATGGGCAATCACTCCACACGTCCAACGTTACGACCGTCAGTAATCATAACGGAAGGTTACCAGTTTCGAATCCGGACGAAATCAGTGTCTGTCCGCTGTCTGGTAACCTCCATCACAACAGTGTCATGTTAACCTAAATAAAGCCCTACTAAAAGCAGTTAGAAGAGCGCCACCTTGACCTGTGGATCGAGGGTAACGGAGAGTGCGTCCATCGTGAACAGTGATGAGTGGGACATTCTTGGGTCCTGTGTACTTGTTGGTGACTTTGCAGGCTTGAATTGTCCACTCAGCTGCGGTGATACGGTTAGCACGGCGAAGCATCGTCCTGAGCATCGTAGAGGAGACGGAATGTCTCGTTCGTTTTCGCGCGATCGAGATCACATCCATGAAACCCGCACAGGTAACATCTCGGTACGAACCTAAATTTCAGAATGAAATAGATACCCCAATATTGAAAGCCTCGCTTAAAGCCAATACTAGTCCTGGAAGAAATTTTATTCTAATTTTCTACTTTAACTCGAACAAAAGACAATATTACCGTTTCCGTCAACCTTGGTGAGGCACTGCATGCAGATCTTGCAAGGCTTCATCATAAGTAAAACCATACTTCAGACGATTACCGGATGAAGAGAACTCATTAACTCAGTGGCTCTCCTCAATTTGTGTCCCTCCGTGCACTGGTCGAGGCGCAAAAGTTCCTCCAAAGTTTATCGAGCATCCAATTCTTGGGCGCAACAAGGCGCATCAAATGCTTCTTCAATCCTACCCGAGCCATGTTTTACTGATGACCTCAAGAGTCTAAGCAAAAATCTTATGAGTTACTTTAAGTAAAAACAAGCGAAAGGAATCCGAGAAAGAACATAAATTCAAAATATTTACGAAGCGAGAAATGAAAATTTCTTGCAACAGCAAAGGATTTTTTGCGACAAGAAAATAAAAGATATTCAAGCAAAGATGGAATGTCTAAAATTTTTAGGCCCCTCAAATTGTTACTGTTAAATCCTGGCGGAGCGCAAAATAACAATAGCGTCGACTTTGAAAGCAAAGGAAGAAGAAGAATTTTAGTTCTCGCTTTGCGCTCAATCCCCTACAACGTAAAAAAGAAGCACACCACCTGGAGACATAAACACGAGAAAGTATGCAGCATTTAAGGGGGTAGTGGGACAAAAACTACGCTTTTTTCGCGGGAAAGGCGCTTGGAAGGCCGTAGAGCTTCAAATATTTTTTCATAAAAACTCGGAAAAGCGCTAAGTTGCCTAGTTTTTGCCTTTTAGCCCAGATTTGATGTGTCAGCGAGGTTTTATTTGTCGATTCCGGAATCTACTTGCTCCCATTCCCTTAGATGACTATTTTTGAAGCTCTCCCGGCCTTTCCGAAGGTCTTTTCCAGCGAAGGAGTCGCATTATCCCATTTCAGAAATCTAAACGAAAAGAATTTAAACGTCTATTATTGATGAGAAAGTAGATATTAAAAGCAATGTTGGCCACAAAGCTGATATAGGTTTCATAAATGCCTTCCTCTCCAGGTATTATTTAACTTATCTGCTACATCTATGAAAGGGATAAGGATCCATTTAATCGTAATGATAGGTTGTAGCCCGGATCTATTAGATCAGCGTGCCGAGGCTGAGTGAGTTGCAAGCTCCCCATTACCCTCAAAGCACCTAGGTACCTAACGTTTTTAGCATCCGCTTTACCTTCTGTATTTCTTTATTAACTTGCGCGGAATCTAGCTGTTAGCACCTAATTAGCTTTCTTTGGTTCTCATTACCTAGGGTTGTAAAGCTTCATTTACATAAGTTTCATTCTTCAGATATTACGTTTACTCAGATCCAAAATGGCTGCGAGTCGACATTACTGGGGTGATCGAAACCATTATGACAAGGTAAGTATTTGCAATTTTTTGTCTACTTTACTTCTGCTTTTAGATTTGAAAGCAGCCTTTGACGATATGAGTCTCAAGGAAGAGCTCCTTCGTGGTATCTACTCTTTCTTATGGTTTTGAAAAACCTTCGTAATCCAGCAACGTGCTATTGTTCCAGCTCTAACAGGTATCAACCAATTTATAATCTTATTTGTTTATCTTACGTTTATCATTCAGGACGGGATCTCGTGCTCAGGCACAATCTGGAACAGGTAAAACTGCTACGTTGCCATCTCCGTTCTTCAACGAAAGATGCGAGGCAACTGGAAGAAGATTATTCAAGCGCTTATAATGGCTCCCACGCGTGAATTAGCTCAACAAATTCTTAAGGTCCTTTTTGTTGAGTTTGAGCTTTACGCTCATTGTTTAGGTGCTTTATTGCTTTGAGTC